CGATATTGCACGTCTCTAAATATAGAAATGAACCTCATAAGATCTGGAAAGTAATAATTGCTACTTGGCATTCTTGAATATTTCATTTGATCTAGTTTGGGGGTGGTCAGTACTACTATACCAACGAACTAGAATTTCTTACGGATTGCTAAATGCTCATTTGATTCAACCACCGATAGTGCGCTCGATCTCTTCCGGGGAACCCTCTCCAAGTCGTGAAGGTATTGTAGTAGGATGCGGCTGTTGGAGTCGACTTTTTGCTCCATACTTCGTATATTGCTCATTCTCGCTTCCTATTTAGGAAAGCCGGAGCATCCGTGATGGAGGGTTTGCCGCCCCGGTCTACCGCGATTGTAACATTGCCCAACGCATAGTTAAACTTTCTTACTTGTACCGTAGTTCTACTAGGCATTTGCGGACCCGATCTCGACGAACAACTGCTGCATTGAGTGAAATAGATGTTTATCTACGGGATTTTCTCGATCCGAGTTGGGCACGAATAGGAGAACTAGGTACAAGTATAGCTGAAATGTATCTTTACTAGAGGTACTTTATCAAACGCGTGTGCAATGTTGCTTTGAGACCTAATCAGGCTGCCGAACGAGGTTGCATGACTACTGACTCCAACATACATCGATCATCTCAATTTTGAGCGGGCCGGGAGTGGAGGCGCTTAATAAAGCACGGTGATAGAGGCAGTTTCTCCTCTTATCAATGCCAGCCTTCGGGAAAGGTGTATTGTGGAACACTCTTAGGTGGTAGTATTGGCATAAGCCACAAGTAAATCGATAGGCCACGAGACTTGATGACGCTGCGGACAGGCCAAGCCAGTTAGTTGTCTGAATGGAAAACAAGCAAAATGTCGTGTAACAATATCACAAATTAAATGCAGAATATGATGGAAAGTGGCGTAGCTTTTCTCTAACTGCCGATTGTTAAATGCGTGTTCCCGAGGTGTCCTCTAAAACTTCAAATGGTGACCCTCGTTAAAATTAGGGGTACGGCTAGAATTAGAAGTTCGCAATTGAAAGATACCTACCTAAATTAGTATTTTATCGGTCAGAAGACGTGTTTTACAGCCATGAGTTACCTAGATAGAGCAAGTGTGGGGAGTTGATTTCATCTGATTGCAACACAACTATTCTAGCCTTAGTTCCAATCTGCGAGGTCGGACAGGATTAGATCTACTTGCATCTCCTGTGGTATATTAGCTAGACCCTTATGGCTTATGTAAATTAAATGGTAAGGATTAAGAGCTAGGTAGCACATCGTGAATAAATTGTCCTCTATCCTGTAGGCTATGGCCGCTGGAGACAAGCGGCAGAATACGGCTGCTCATTGAAAGGCCCGTATTAGAGCACTTATTAGACAATGAGGGATTTGGAAATATGGCGTACCAGTGAACTCCGCTTAGGTAGATATCATAGAAGCGTAGAGTTTATTAGATCGATACCAGAATTTGTGTATGGAGGTGCTGACCAGATTATACCGGCCCGAACTACTTGTGATATTCATATCCTTCGACGTTCTTATTAATATTCTGCAATCCCATAGCTATTAATTGGTGCAAGATCATATTCATATTGCTCAGATTTGCTGCCGATGCCCCTATATGCTTATTGGTTCTCCACATTCACCGCATAGAGATAGATGGATTTGATGTTAGGTACATCATCTGTCATTGTCCATCATAGCTATTGATTTTTATCATGATATAGCTCGTCGGCTGAACATAAGTGGCGGTGTCCGTAGGCTGTCTCTGCATGATTATCTTCATTATACGGATGATACTGGTTGAAGATACCGTTGGATGGCGATTGGGTCAATTAAACATTCGTATTTGCTACCCTGCCGGTCGAAAGTTGCATATGCCCCATGATTATTATTCAGCTTTCGTAGACGGGAAGCTAATAAATGGCAACATCTTCGCGTAACATTGAGTCTCACCCTCTGTACAACTAATGTTCTTAAGCTGACTTCATACGAGGAGCAGGGAACTTATCAAGATGAATTTTCTTATTGGAAACGACACGTCGATCCCATGATGAGGCTTAGAACTTGTGAGGTAGTGGGCGAGAGTTTGAGACTAGAGGGGCTTGGAAGCCACATTGTTTTCAACTTCTAAGATTATATTGGAAAATATTTTGGGCCGGTTTGACTTTAATTAGAGATGTGCCGAAGGATATGATAGCGGCTCTAGGATTATTTCTCAGGCATTCATACATGATGATCTGAATTAATGGATGTTCTCGTTTGTGATAGTCGATCCACTACTAGTGTAGCAGATGGAGGATGATGGAGGATGATGGGAGGAAGTTGATTTGGACATGGTGATTGGTTGATTGGTTGATGAGAGTAAGTTACGAATTGTATGGAAATTCGTGGCTACCTCTTGATGCATTATGTATTGTGTACTTCGTACCTTAGGTAGGTACGATTACAAGGTACATAGAAGGCAACATGGGAGAATGGGGTCAAAAGCGCTAGGCCGGTTTAAGTCTAAATAGATCGACGTCCCGAGTCCTAAGTGCAAAAGCTAGACGATCAATCATATGTATTCTCATTCATGATTTTGCCCTATCAGGCTGTCCGGTAGAGCCCTATCAAACCTTAGTCTCTCTCCTCAATTTGTCAAAAAAAAAAAAAAGATCAAACCTGGTAGCTAAGGTCTTATTAATAATACCGGACCGGATACTTCTCTCCAACATAACATTTGCTGCCTCACTAGGTAGCTAACCGCTCAAAGCTGCGTGGTCGCACTGCATGATAAATTAGCACCATCTCCTCTAATTGACGACAATTTGCAATCAAGCTTTTCAACCGGTCATAGATGGGTGGTAAATGTGTAATAGTCGCAGGTTGTGATATTGACCAATGCTACGTCAAAAGGAGCGCGTGATGGTGAATGCGGCTACAGACACCGTCCGTGTTGTCTTCTAGAAGCAATGCCCTGCCAGACTTTCCTCTCTGGTTGGATCACTAATGTGGTGGTCGAAATTGTTGGCCAATCCTGTCAGGGGCAATGTGCAAATATTGCAACCGTAGATCTCCAACATACTGGAGTGCTACATAGTAAGGGTGTGTTGCGGCAGGCCTTGCATATCAGAATTGATACTCGACTGAGTAAACGACGGCGGTGAGAAAACTGAATTGATGATGATGGGCTGTCTACAAATTGATCGTGAGCATTCTAGTTGCAATTGGACAAACAGGCTAATCTCGATCTACTACCAGGACGGAAGCTCAGATCGCCTGTTTCCCCCTGCTAGATCGTCAAACTGGACGATGGGAAGAAGTGCGTGCGCGTCCCAACTACAGTGCAGCATTAATCGTATTGGTTGTCGACGTTATCAAATTTTCAGGTTCTATGCAGGTGGCAGAGTCGATCAAGCTCTTAAGGGCCAATATGCTAGCTATCGGAAATAGTTGAACTTGCATGTAACCTCCTTTTCATCTTCGGCATGAGTTAATGGTCGACCATATTCTAACCGCGGGAATATACGGTGCATGTCGAGTTGCGGTCAGAAAACTCCAAGCTCGTCATCATGTACATACTTATTAGCGCAGCAGAAAAAAAAACTTGATCGGACTGGGGTCCAGGAATACGACGCTTCTACTCCATGGGGAATACCGACTTTATTTTACTATTTTACTACCTTATTTTACTGTTCCTAGGGGCTTATAACGTGTCTATGAGTTAAGTACATAAAAGTACATTCTCGGGGTTCTACATTCATGTACGTACCTAATATACCGGGCATTTCTCCATGTTGGCCGGCGGGATCGCTGTTTGGTTAGTACATCTATGTAGGTCAGGACCGGAAGGGGTTACCGTAACTTGGGGGGGTTTTTTTTTTAACGTTGCAACCTTGCAGCTCTTAACTCTGGAAAATATACGTTTCTTTCTTTGTTGTCGCCAACACGACATCTTTTCCATTCATCTCCAACTACTTGCGTATAGTTATCACTTTCAACAAACGCTTCTAAACATTGGTCGCCTGAATACGTATATTAATTTTCAATCTAACATATTGCGAACATCACTTGCCTTAGCATTCGCGTATTCCACTGCATTATCTCTATAAATATCAAAATTACCTGGTAAATGTTTTTTTTTGGGCTGTGCACGTCATTAGTACATCTATAGGTACATAAAATTAGGCGAATGACCTCAATCACATGTCTCCATAAATTGCCCCGCCACGGAGAAGAGCTAGTGCATTTCTAAGTTCGTATGCACACACAAAACAACACCACGCCCCCATAAGAAACTTTCCGTCTTGAAATTTTTTTTTAATTTCCCTCTTGTCTACCTACTGAAAAAGACAAAAAATAGATATACAACACCAAAGTTCTCGAACGGTCCCTTCGAGATCCCGTCCCAAAAGCGCCGTACCACTATTTTTTAGATCATATAAAGCTCTCTCCACGCCCGAGAGAATTCGACTCGAACGACTCCTACTAGCAAGTCGCGAAACTTCTTAAGCCTCAGCTCCATCTCGACTTGCCTTTGGTCTTCTCAAAGGCAACCCAATTACTACGGCTCCCGCAGCCGTTAGCTTCGTCTCTGATCAAGATTTCAGTCTGCGAAAGACTTTCCACATCATCAATTCGAGGCCACCTCCACCCACTTCTGCTGAAGTCGCTTAAAAATACACGAACGCCTATCTTGCTCGATAATACACCCCAACTAAATCCTTTTCTATCACCAACCCATCAGCTGCCGCATAGGACGAGTTCTAAGGTTCTTCCTCTAATTGAGGGAGAGTCGAGGAGACCTCGTCAGATCGCTTCGGGATCAGAAAGCTACCGTTTTCGACCTCCCTAACACCCACTTGGAGGGAACACGTTTCTAGTTTCTTGACTCTTAATACGATATTGTCTATCCACTTGGTTGGATAGCATTTAAAACTACAAGAGCTCCCTGTGGGATCCGTTACCTTTACAACCCACCTCGTCACTCACCCGATCGGTATCCTTCACCGCCAAATTCGAGGGATATGGTTATGGCAACAGCCGCCGTCGACCGCTTTGCACCGTATCACTTTGATAATCATCTTCTGAGGAAGAATTTCTTCTTCGATCAACACCATCAACACAATGGCGCCGTAATTGCTAAACAGTTGATTGGCGATGCCCTTCGCCACCGTGTTGAGAATATTGACCATGAGTCTTGTGAACCGGGGGATGAGGATACTTTTTTTGTAGGCGATCTCGGCGAGGTCTACCGTCAGCACATGAGATGGAAGAAGAATCTTCCACGTGTGAAGCCATTTTACGGTATGTCTTAGTAAACCTATATTTTCCCTTATTCCTCGATATATCAGTACTAACATAACTCACAGCGGTCAAGTGCAACCCAGACCCTAAGGTCATTCAACTCCTCGCCGGATTGGGCACCGGTTTTGACTGTGCTTCCAAATCTGAGATCGAGCAAGTCCTGAATATGGGTGTTGACCCAGCTCGTATCATTTATGCTCAGCCATGCAAGACGAACTCTTACGTGCGCTACGTCGCCAACCGAGGCGTCAAGCAGATGACTTTTGACAATGCCGATGAGCTGCGCAAAATTGCGAAGCTCTTTCCTGATGCCGAGCTATTCTTGCGTATTCTGACCGATGATTCCTCAAGCCTCTGCCGGTTGAGCTTGAAATTCGGTGCATCCCTCGATTCTACCGATGAACTTCTGGCACTCGCCAAAGAGCTCGGATTGAATGTTGTCGGCGTGAGCTTCCATGTAGGCTCAGGGGCATCCGACCCCCTTGCTTTCCTCAAGGCTGTTCAAGACGCGGATACCGTATTTAAACAAGCTTACGCTCACGGCTTTGACTTGCAGACACTCGATGTTGGGGGCGGATTCAGTGGGGATACATTTGAGGACATGGCCCACGTTCTCCGCGATGCCCTGGACGAGTATTTCCCACCCCACGTCAATATTATCGCCGAGCCTGGCCGTTACTACGTTTCCTCGGCATTTACTATCGCTTGCAACATCATAGCTCGTCGCACCATCGACAACCCAGCCACGGGTGAGACCAGCTTTATGGCTTATATCAATGATGGACTATACGGCAACTTCAGCAGCATTATGTTTGATCACCAACATCCGGTTGCTAAGGTGTTGCGATCGGGTAACCAAACATATACTGCTCTTGCTGACAACCTTCCTGAAGGTGACAGCGCCGGCATTGAGTACTCAATCTGGGGGCCTACTTGTGACGGAATTGACCGCATCACTCAGAGTATTCGTTTTCCCCACGAACTCAATGTGGGTGATTGGTTGTACTTTGAGGACATGGGTGCCTATACCAAGTGCTCGGCCACTAAGTTCAACGGCTTCAGCGACAGCCACGACGTCATCTATGTTTGCAGCGAACCCGGCGCTAGGGCTCTCATGGATTTCTAGATTTTCATCTTAGTGCTCATGAGATATAGTCCTAAAGCTATAAAAGTTAGATGTGGTTTTTCTTTTAGAGAATAGATTTAATGGTGGCTTAGTCGTCGCTATCCCAGAAGGGACCATCTTCCATTCGTATCACTCCGTTTATAGACCCATTTACCCGGCTAAGAAGTCCGGTGCATATAGACAAAAAAAAAGAATCGCTTTTCATATTATCCTCGCCATAAGGTGATATGCATACAGTAACATGTAAAACAAATGAAGTGATCTAATTTAAAAATTAACTTAATCAGCTCTAGATTAGATGTAAGAAACTGAACTACTAAACAAGTAACCTAGATTAACTAGGTGCCTAATATATATTGAATCTGAATTTGTCTGGCTTGAGTCAGGTAATATGATCTAAAATCTCAAGGAACACGAAATAGGGGAGGTCCGGCAGTTTTGAATCAGACTTCAGATGGTTAGCCCTTTTCTCTAAAATTGCAACTTTTCGATATAATCATTTACATCATCAAACCATTAAACAATAGGGATAAATTTAGATAAGCATGTGTCCAAAACATGAGCCCTCTGCCTAAGCTTGTCATTTCTGAAATTCATAATAGTTAATGTTGAAATACCCACAATAGTAGATTTGGATGTGCTTAATCAAGCCAGTGAAATTATAATAAATTGCCACCTTTATAATCTACGATAAGAAATGCACTTAATTAAAGTCCTGCCTGTCCCTTAGAGACTTAGTTAAGTAAATAAAACCTTAGATTGATTCATATATTGTTAGTATACTAGGTACTTAGAAAGAATGTAAATACCAGAAAAACAAAAGCAAAAAGCTAAATATTTCCTGTTCATGAAGCAACTGATTCTACCTACCTTGGTAGGTACTTATCATAGAAACTCTTCCATTATATGCCCTACATTGCGTGATTTTTAGGGACATAAAACGCATGTAAGTGTCCCGTTATGGAATTAAATGATATATGCCCATATATTAAACCGCACAATAAGCAAAGAAAAATGTTTAAAACAGAGGTACCAGAGGAACCATTAACATAAATAGTTCGTTCCTACTTGTAGATGAGCCCTGGCGTAGCATAAAACCTCCATGCATGTAGTCGTCCTTGTGCCTTATACAAAGACAACTAAAGAAGAAATTGCATCCCTACTTGCCTTGCAATTATGCTACGCGTGTGACCAGGTTGAAGTGAATACAGTGTGTCACATTTAAACACTTAATTCGTAGTAGTCAGGTGCGAAGTTTCTCGATCGAATAACTGCACAGGTAATCATGTAATTTACACAGTCTATTAGATGTGAATGATGGTTAGCTGTTCAAGAAACTACCTAATTCACGCAAAAATAAGATATCTTAAGGTAGATAGGCAGGCACGGAGTCCGATAAAGAGTAGTTGCCTACTTCGTCGCTTCCACTTACATTTGGTAACAAGAGCAGTTGTATCCTCAGGGACCTCAGTTCGCGGCTGTCAACGGGCGTTTAAGTTTCGTTGCCCGGTGGCGTTCACCCGAACAAGGAAGTTGCGCACGTAGGTAGCCTCACAGTTCTTTGGGCAACAACGATGTTGTTTCCAAACTACGTGATTGTATTGTAACAGTAGGAAGGTGCACGTAACATGCTCTTTCTCTCCGTACACATCTAGAGCCTCAGATATTTTCTATATAAACATAGGCACCTCCCACCCATCTCTCCCAAATCCTAACTCAACCACAACCATAACCAGTTCTCATCTCTCCAGACCACACTCAATACCAATCACTTCACATCTTCATACTACACTTCGACTTCTTCTAATCACCGTCAAGATGAAGGTCTTCTCCATTGTCGCCCTTGCCTCGCCCATCGTGGCCGCCACTCTCGGTCGAGCTGTAGCTCCCACCGCCGATCAAGCAAACAGCACTTTCGCTGAGGTAAGTTCTAAACTCCCCAACTCAAGTCCCTCATCAATAAACATAAGTACCTGATAATTTCTAACACTTCTACAATAGCTTGACGACATCCAGGTCCTCTGCGGTCTTCCCAAGCCCGACAACGAGCTCCCCGCTACGTCCTACAGCTACCCCATTGGCCTGCTTCTTAGCGCTGGAGACAAACGTCTTCACATCGATGCCGGCCCAGCCAACTGCCTGCAGGCGGCTTGCGGCACCAAGAGCGGTGCGGGTGTCATCGTCTGCAACGATGAGAAGAACAGTGTCGATCTCTTGTACTCGGACATTGTAAGTTACTTATTTTCTCTCCTCTAATCCCCTTCTTTGAATGCGGTAAACACCTAGAATATAGCTAATTCTAAGTTACAGGGATTCTTTGCCCAGCAGGTCTACAACAAGTGCAAGCATCGCCGCGATGACATCGACTATGTCGAGAAGGGCCAGGCCTTCTGCCCTGACGGCTGGAATGTGATCCTGACCGACATTGGCACTGACTGCCACGCCTCGTCTATCCCGCCCAACTAATTTGCTCATTGCCTATCTACGCCGTGGGGGACTAGTCTAGATCTCTCACCTGATGGCGGTCGGAAAATAGTGCAGTACATGAGTTTTCTCTTTTAGTTGTTAGTCGATTTACGACCGGCAGTTTCGAGTTGATCTTGTTGGTCATATTCGACTTGGAGGCATGGTACCTACTTTAGTTAGTTAGGGAACGTCCCATCACAGAATAAATGCGAACTGAATTTCAGTAATTCACTGACTTAAATTTCACGTGACAACCTCTCTATTGTGACATGCCCATAAGTAAGAAGAATATCAGACATTATTTTCCATTAATAATTCTTATGAAAGTTCATTCACATCTCATACTACACATATAAGTGTGAGCTTGTTATGTGTAAAACCCAAATCTTGAGAAATTATATAATGAGAGTTGCTATTCATAGAAGAGTAAACTTATTAGTAAACTCATAGTGAAAATATAAGTTTAAAATGAGATAGGATTCAAATATAAAGTGAACAATCGACTTTTCTATATTCTTGAGTACTTATGTCATGTTCACCTGCTTTGTTGATTGATTATCCATTTTATTTAAGATATATAAGATATAAGTCTTAATATGGCCACTTCAAGCATTTGCAACTATTCAAAAATGACGTTTAGAGTGGCATAAGACTAGTCAGTCAGGATACATACCATTCAAGCCTATATAAGGAATTGGATATTTCTTATTTGTATCATAGAATGCCCTGATGCTTGTAATTAAGGTGTTGCTAATGGTCCATAGCATAGCAGTCTTGAAAGGTTCTTAAGGAATAGCTCACATACTCAAATTTTGCAATATCTTTACACTTGCGAAACATCAATCTCAAATTCCTTTTATATAAACAAGCTTATCAGGGTGAATGATGGATATACAATTCACAGTTCTATAGACGTATAAATATCTATGAAAAGCATGTTAATGTGGTACGTACATGTTAGAAGTAATGATAATACTAAAGAATTCCTTTGACAAGCAATACACTAGACCTGCCCCGGCAGTCCAGTACCTCCATATTTAATTACATAGGTACCTACTAGACATAAAAGAATTCGTTATTATCATCATTAGTGGAACATTATTAAAGTCTGATATCTATGTACTTAGGTACATAATCCTTGGTACATTAGCGTATAACCTTAAATTGCGTCATATGATGGCGCGTTCGTCTCGCGTGGTGAGTGGAGGCTTTGTCGGTACCACAGTACTTTCCTTTGTTCAAACTGCCTGGAAAGTCACACTTTAATTGATTTACGCTTCCGCACCGCGTCTTTTCTGTCTTATTTTTCACAAGTCCGAAATGTAATCTCATGATATATCAGCATGGCTCGCAAAGCTGCGAAATCGATTGTCACAGCAAAAAAAAGAGCTATAGCTAGCGAAAATGAAAGCCAAGATAGTCAAGATATGTTAGAGATGCACATGCTGCGGCATGGGGTAGGAGTGGTGAGTGGTTGTTCCGTAAAATGATCAGCACTGGGTTATTTTTCTGGCCTAACCATGGCAAAAACAGGTGAGTAGTTCGCCTGCGCCTATGCAGCCACCCTATCAATCGAAAAGAAGTGCCATGGTATCAAGCATTGGACCAACAAAAACAAAAATCTTCCATTCCCCAAATTTGTCGGAAGAAGCGCCTAAAATAACCAAGGTACGTATGATATGCGCATTCCTATTGCAATATTGCAAGGTTGGCCATATACCTGGCTTTGATTTTGGCAAGGGTGGCACTGATTTAATTGTATCTCACTAGGGACAGCTACAAAACGCGTCGAACGCGCTCATTGAGCCAAGTGCTGAGGATGATTCAATGAAGCAATCTAGCCAGACGCGATTAAACTCCGACTCGCCAGTATCATGTTCTCCCTATCTACCGTCAACTTTAGATCCCGAAGAACCTGATCCGGTTTCTATCCAATCAATATGCGACAATGCTACATCTGCAGTTGAGCAGCCTACTCAGCTAATACATATAAATGATGCGCTGCCTACTCTTCAACAATTGAATGCACCAAAGGAAAGAACAGAAGAAATGTCGTCAGGATCGCCAACACAATCAAACGACGAACGTAGTTATGAGCAGTACAACGAAAATTCGCAGCTACAATTAACATCGCAGGCAAGCAGTGTTCACGAACACCCCACTCTTGGCGAAAACGACACAGGGTACTTAAATTTTAGGCGTACTCATTACGACATACCAGACTCTATACCAGAACGGGATGAAGAAGCTGAGATAGATTTTGCTAGCAATGTTGCTAGAAAGTCGCAACCGACATCAGAAGCGCCTGAAGCGAGTGGCCATTATGTAGCGCCTCCCCAGACACCTATAATAACCCAGAAGTTATTTCAACATCGTGGGGATGAAGCCCAATTGATCCCCCCATCACAACTTTTCGGGCAAACACAATGGACTTCGGCAGTACGGAAAGCTAGTCCCACGTCGTCTCGTCCATCGCCCGATATCTTTAATCAAAATACAATCTCACCTAACCCAGTCGCCTCGTCTCCCTTAAAACACAAGGGGCTTAGGACTTCCTCTACTCGCGCTTTCACCTCAAGCCCAACATTTCCTGGAATATCATCTCGACCTTCAGATGAAAAAACACCATCCGCCCCGACGAATAGCCACGAAGATGAAGGAACCAATCAAGGAAATGATGACGAAACTCCACTCCCTTGCTTTGGAATCTCTAGACGTAGAACTGTACCAGAACCAATTAGCGAGTATAAGTCTTGTCGAAAACGGAGCTTGGAAACTGAGGCGACGGATCCTTCTAGTCAAGTTCACGAGGGATTAGATTCGGATTCTGAAGCTGACTTAGTTGCGCACCGCCGTCGCCTGGCTAGGTTGAAACAGGAAAAGGCTAGCAAATCATTCCCCCGTCAGTCTCCCTCGTGCAGGTACAGGCAAGGGTGGTAATGTAGAAGTGCCATCGACTAATCGCGTCAAGTCGTTTCAGGGTCGAAGTAGAATGAATGCAGAGCAGTATCTGGTAAAGTACCACAGTGAGACTGCAGCTGATAACAACAAGTCGCAGGAAACAGTTGCAGACTCTCAAGAGCATCTCGTACCACCGCAACATACTAAAGCTGACCCCGATATATTTGATGATTGTAACGAAAAGGATATTGACAATGTTGGAAATTCTAATATCGACAATCTTTCGAAATTCAGAGCCCCCTTGTCCAATATGGAATATAGGGAGACTATTCCTGAGACTAGTCCTCCAAGCACTTCTGTGGAGGCACCAAAATTCTTGGATGATGGAGTGTGCCTTTATTCCAGTGCTATGTCCGAGTCCGAAACCCCCCCATTGCCAGCGCTATCAAATGGTATAAATTCTGGAGAGCAAAAAAAAGATTCAAGCGGAACCCCAAACCTTCCAGAGCAGCCTACATTGATGACATCTGCAGGTCGAAAACCCAAGCCCACCAGAGAACAGTCTACTTTAGACTCTTCGCCATCTATAGTTCCAGCTTCCACTCCACAGAGTGTAATCCAGCAGTCGGTGAGGCTGAACAACGTAGTCACGCCGTCATCTACTGAACATGATTTACCCCCTACCTCAGACCCTAGGACGGGAACGTCAACTTTGTCAACCCTATCGGCAACCCCCAGTATGTCTTCGAGTATCACACCTAATACAGATCCCGACGTCGCACTTGAAGGTGTTGAAAGACGTAGTTCGTCCCCAGCCATAACGAAAGCACAACGCCGAGGAAGGCAATCACTCCCATCTTCACTGCCTCAAATCAAGACGTTCTCACGCTCTCGAGAAAGTCTAAGAAGGAAGACGCGTTATAGTTCAGTATCAACCGATGAATTAGCTAGATCACCATTATCTGCATCTGATAGGAACGAGCGGAAACCACACACCCGAAAACTTGCAAGGCAGTCTTTTGTTAATCAACATCCACTGGAAGATGATTCCACAGCAGGTCGTGGAATCTTCGAAGGGATGGTTTTTGCCCTCTCTTTCCAAGGGCCACAGGTTCGGAAGAACAAAGGGAAACCTACGGATAGAGCTAATGTTGAACGTATGATTCGCCAAGAAGGGGGCAAGATTCTCCCAGATGGTTTCGATGAACTTTTCAAATTTGATTCATTCCAATCCACGGGAAACAACACCTCTTCTCGTGACCTATCCAGCTCATTAACACTTCTCGATCAGGATACCGGATTTACAGCTTTGATAGCCGACGGACACTCTCGGAAAGTGAAGTATATGCAAGCTCTTGCACTCGGTATCCCATGTTTAGCACCCAAGTGGATAATGAACTGCATTTCAAAGAGGGAAATAATAGATTGGTCCTCTTACCTCCTATGCGCCGGTCCAAGTACACTTCTAGGGGAGGCTATTCGCTCGCGCAATCTACAACCTTATGATGCTTCTACCGCCAAACTAGCAGATGTGGTAAACGAAAGACCAAAATTATTAAACAAGGCGCGGATTCTTCTCGTTATGAAGAAGACTAAGAATGAAGGGAAGAAATTACCATATGTGTTTCTAGCACAAGTGCTTGGTGGTTCTTTAGTGCGAGTTTATAGTCTTGAGGAAGCCAGAGTCAAGCTTCGGGATGAGGAATCCCAAAATCAACCGTTCGATTGGGTATATGTTGACGACTCTCTGCATAATGCACGGGACGCTCTTTTTGGATCATCTACAGGAAACGCAGCTACTAGGAAACGAAAACGGCAGAGCACAGGATCCGAGGAAACCGACCCGCCGCCGAAGAGGATTAGGACCCTCAGTGACGAGCTGGTAATCCAAAGTCTTATTTTGGGTAGATTAATTGAAGATGGCGAAATGGAGGAGTAAAATCGACCTTGATTCATACCAAATCCAGGGTTGCTAATATGTCATAATGATATGGCGTCTTGGTCGGGGCATCTACTGGCGTCTTGATAAGGTATTTTTCCTAGTATTGACAGGGAGCAAAATATGCCGTTCCGATTGGGAAATAGCTAATGTACGTTATGAATTATAAATATGGTGAACGATACTGGATTTTATGGCTATAAGTTATAGCTCATGCTTATTTGGTATTTCCTCTACTTGCTACATTAGCTTCCCAAGAATATACAGTTTATGTTTATTCGGTAGGGATGCGAATAGCTCGGCTAATCAAGATGCACTGTAAACAAGGCTTTGAAGCTTCGCAAGATATATCTCTAGTAGTAATGAATCTTGAACGATGTCGTCATCCCGACGAGATGCATCAACTATATAAAGCTGTGCTATAGCGACCTTCCTTGATTTCCAGCTAAGGGGATACGTTGCTAAAATGGGGTCGAGATGTCGCATAGCCAAATCAGGACCCTACTTGAGTCGTGTAACCCCCGGTGGTTACTAAAAAATCAATAATATATGTAGAATGTACCGGAATGAGAAATGAAGATGAGAAAAGGGGGAGACTCTTCGGTTAGATCGAGATCTTGAGGCTCGATCGGAAAATAATACTGATTTCGTCTTAATTGTCGGCTTAAACCTGTTCAGAGCTATGGTTAAGTTCTATATGGAAGCTAGAAATTACTCAGTTGCGGCCTAAAGTTAAACCCTAGTCATTTAGATAATGTAGTAATAATAAGGGGATTGTTGGAAATACTTGGAAGTGCAGAGACCAACACTATCCTATTAGAAGGTGGGATTTCGAAGGATGGGGAAAAAAAGGCGCGTTCCTGACGCCGGCGGAGACAAGGGGCTGGGAGCAGAGGGGAATAACTCGCAATGTTTACCCACTAATTACTTTCTTTTATTCTTCTGCGGGTTTTTTAGTTACAAGATAGCAATAGAATGTGTTAGATTCCCAAGCGAATTACTAGAACCGGACGAAATTGGGGCAACCCCCATTCTATGAAGTTCGATAATAAATGTATGTATGTCTTAAGGAAAGGAAAGAGAGCCGCCGCAAGCTCCGGCGCCGCTACGAACCTTCCCCCCGCCCGAGATTTTTCGGAACCTTTTTTTTTCTTTTTCGTCTCATGGCCGCTCCTGAGGTGTGAGTTCCGAGATGGAGGTACCAATCTGATAGCATTGTTTGGTTTGAGCATAAAGTTATACAATATACTTGCATGCATGAAAAAAGAACGGCCCAGACTTTTTGAATGATATCCAATTTATTTGCCCATTCTCTCACGAGCGATTTCGAGATGATGGAGACATTATTATCTTAAGCCTTGAGGGGAAGTGAAAGAGAAGGTAAAGCTAAAGCTATGTATTATAGCGGGGCCGAAAAGAATTGCCTATCGCAAATATTGTTGGCAACATGGGGATTATGGATACATAGATGTGGTGAAATTGATCCTATTCACACACTAACACTTCCTTGTTCCTAGGCACATGAGACTTTCGATAGTCTCGGGCTAGAACAGAACCAGCTGCATACTACAATCCGTCGCAAAGCAACAGCATGGGGAATTATCATGCATGAGAACGGCACGCACGATAGGGCCATACCAACATTCCTACATTAGACTAACTACCTTCTAATGTGCTCTTACACTAGGTACATTATGTATTTACCTGCAACTAGCCTTGTCGCTGAATGTATCACAATAGGTAATACATGGATATATCCGAGGATATATGCGAACTCAAAAAGTCAGACCGCTTGGATCTTTTTTATCGTCGCATTGCAGCTCTGCCTTTAAGCTCTCGTGCCGTGCCAGTACACATGCTCATGCTGACATGGAGCCCAGCCTTCCCAAAGTCCCAGCGCATGCGGGATTCCAGCGTGACGCCCCGTAGTAAATGCTCCGTGCTTTCCATACAACCTCATTCTTCGGGACAGTAAGTAAGCCCAGGTCGTTGGGGGAAGGGGGGGAATTCTAGAATCGAACCATTCGATGATGATTCAAATTAAGTTAACCAGGTTCTCGGCCGCTGGCCGCCGAGACCAGATGGTATCTAACATATAAAACTGGCTCTGCTGTATCGGAAACACGTGCTCTATTCCATAAGGCCGGAGGTATAGACTTCAGCCCGACAAGTATAGCAAAACCATATGATCTGATAATGATAATGTCTTCTTCTGCAGCGTATAACATGCGAGCTACATACCTCTATAAGGAGCCAAGCTAGAGTTATCCACTATCCACTGAGGTATTTATCCGAATACGCTATATTTCTCTTATATCGAGTTATCGTATAGTTCTATATAAACTTCGTTTACGTCAAGGGTTTAAGGTATTACAATAGTTACGGAATAGCAGGATAACTAGCTATGCAACAATTGATAGTTAATCAAGCCCTTAATGGGCTTGTAATTTTCTGATTGGCGTTAGCCCTGGATCCGCTGGTGATTGTTACCATTATACTTCTATTCTAACATGACTCGAAATGAATTACAGACTAGGTCTGATTCTCTGACTCTAACTTAATATACTAAAACATTGAACACTTTACATGAAAGTCCATGCAGCAGCATGGGGGTCAAAAGTGAACAATGCTTGGCAATGCACCTCCACATCCCCGGCCGAGCCTCGCGGAGCTGAACGATAGAAACAAACGACATAAATATTATATCCGATTCTGCCTTGCTTTTTAACTTACTTACATTTATCTATCACCCCATAATTGTGCCAGAGGTCTTCTAGATTACATCATCTAGCTTGTAACAACTCGAGGGTCTTTTGGAACTTTTTTTCCCCCTTGCCCCCCTCCTTAACCTCTATGCTATAGATGTATATATAGAAAAGAAAGAAACAATTCTCGTGTAGTCGGACTGGCGTTTCGCTTTCTACCGAGAAACTCTTGGCTTCTGTCATTGTTTGCAAAGCCGAAAGGAATATAGGAAGGAGAAAAAAAAAGGGTACCCATGCAATTAGGACGTCGGTCTATGCAAAGTGGATAATGCTTCGACATCATAGTCTATCCAGCTTTGTTGCTCCTGAGCGTCACAGCGTTTCACTAGGAGCTCCAGCTGTCGGTGCTGGCTACTGGAGATAGCTAGGCCTTCTTTAGGTAGTCTTGTTTAGGTACCTAGTCTAAAAACTTCAGGCCAATTGTCAATTCGCCGAGCATAACGGATGCGCTGGAAGACATTTCGTCACTATTTGTCGTGCTCATATCACCTACCGAACATACAATATGAATTAACGTTAAGCAAACTTGAGTATGTTTGCTACAGGGTATCCTACCAGGAAACGCATGATAAATGTACAAATGTGATAGGAGTTTGACGACGATTGCAACGGTACCATTTAGAGTAAGTGTGGGGTTTTGCTAGGCTGACAGGGATCTTACCTGCTTGGTACTTATAAGACTATCCCAAACCGGCCATAAGTCATATCATTGATAGGCTTGGTACCTAAACTAATTATCTGTACCTACCTACGTGAGTACCTATCGTAGTTAGGTACCTAGGTAGTTGTAATGTCCGTAGCAGCCCTTAAAACAGCCCTAGAAGGCCAAAAACTACCTAAAAGGTAGGTACCTATCGTACAGGCTAACAAGCCTGCAGTCTCCCGTAACATTGCGCAAAATACTACATAACCTATCTCCTTCGAAGGCGAATAAGGCCGGCAGCACGGCAGCACGGCATGAGCATAAGCATGGCAGGAACTATGGGAAATTTGATCAATGATAGAAAAAAAAAAAAAAGGAAGGAAAAAAAATCAATTACGCGCACGACCAAAACTTCGGGGAATCCCATCTACCATAACCCACATCTAACACAATCCCATTCACGATCCTCGCTCCCTTTTCCCGCCTTGGATGGGATAGTGGGCAATGGGCTGATACTAATGATTCGAACAATAATACCGAGACGAACGATCGATTCCATCAATTGTTGCCGAATCAAGAAGAATATAGAACCATACATAGAATCCCCCAGACCTTTTTTCAAGGTTACCCTTCTCGTCGATAATACCAAAGTAAATAAGTGATGGTGTAGGTGTCATCAGGGTTGTCCTCCGCTTCAATCACATACCTGGTACATATATGTATCATACATATATGTATGCACTCGTTTGCAGCTAAGACTTTCTCTCTCCTCATTCCAAGGATTCCAAGGCATTTCCATCTCTACCGGGGTTGTGTCGAACATCTATCTATAGGACCCTTCAATATAACAGCTAGGCCCCTCCCTCGATTTATAATTTATAAATCTTTCTATCCTCACCTTAGCCTTAACTTGATCTTGATCTTGACCTTAACCCTGATCTTGGTTTTGTTTGGCCTTGCATGTGTCGTAGTGCAGCTTTTCCGTATTTTCTGGGAAGCTTAGAGGTGATCGACATCGGCAGCGAGCCCGTATTGACGCCGCCATTGGGCAATCCCTTCTCTAAACGTCAACAAGATATCGAAATCACGTCAACATCTACGAAGTGATTAGCGACCAACGAGGCCGCCCGCTGCGAAGATTCAACCTTGATTGGCTACACTTGCGGACAAGCTATTCGACACTACACCGAATTGAGCACTTTCAGCTAGGATTGCCCTCCCTTCACCACTGTCATTTTTCGCCTCTGTTTATCGCTTTGCGCCACTCAGAAGTGAGAAAACTCGGTTGCAAGCGCTACATACAGCGGTACTCAACCAAATCGCTACTAGCAAAAATATTTAACAATAAGACAAGTGAGCCGACTCGGCGTAAATTATCGACACTTACTTTGTTTTGCATCCCTCGAATACGCAAAGGAGAAAGAAACGAGACAAAACATAAGAGCAAGAACAAAGTATCTACAATTTTGGTATCGGCGCTATTACTATTGTATTAAAGAGGAAGGGCTCATATATACGAAACTAAAGCCAAGCCGAAGCCAATTCGTTAAAGAGCTCTCTACCTCTGTTTTTAAGAACCACGAATGTTCCTTGTCATGATCTCGTTTATTCAAGCAGCTTATTAGTTCTCTTGTTGTCCTTGCGGCTACTACTGTAGCGCTAGAGATACGACGGTCCCCCACCCAAGACAAATTCAGCCCACTTCAAAAACGCTAGACAACGGAGTGCGCGAGAAAAAAAAAAGGATCCCTCATTGGCACATTCCACACTTGTGTCAGCCAGTCAGTACCCTGGACTCCCCGGCGACTGGACATCATCCACATCAGCAAAAGGCACAGCCTATGCAACGTTGACTCGTTGACTTGCCCAGGTACCTGACTACTCTTACCTACCAAATATCCAAATCATTTGTCTCGATCTTCTATTCACCTCAAGCCACCACAATCACACGATATTATTTTATTCAAAAGGAATTCAAATAGTACATAAGGCATCATTGTCTTGCGGATTATCTCGGTACTCGAATTATAAGCGCCAACCGCCCGCTATATATCCACTGCCCCCAAAATCTGACTGCATACATGTCTCATTAGACGAACTCCATCAAACGCCTACCTTCATAGACGCCTATCGCACCCTCCGCCGACCCAACGCCGATCCGGCCAAGCTAAGCGACCCATAGGAATAAGCAATTTGGATCGTCAGTGCTTTTTTTGTGACTGGAATTCCGAAAAGGGAGAAGAGGAGAAAATCCTTCTCAACCATGTTAGGTCAAGATCATAATATGAGAATGAGATCTCTCGATCCGTCTCCTCAAGTTTATTCCCACTCGAGATCAAGAACGTCTTCCTCCAGCGTATTCCCGCAAGCCTTCATTCCAATGCAGCATCTGCAACAACCGCAGCCCTCTATGGGCCATACACGGCGATCCCCCTCCGTCAATACATTCAGCACCACCTCCAGCAACACCCCACCTGCCGCCTACCGAACGTCGCCTACTGCCGATATTCGACGTAGCACATCCTCGAGATCAGGCGGCGGTTCTTCGACCAGCTATGTCGCCCTGCTTCGAAAGCAAAAAGCCACCGTATGGTGCGATCGGTCACAGTCAGAAGACCCGCGACTCCAGGCTCAACAGCGTTTGGCGAAACAAAGGGCCAATCAAGAAGTCGCTGGCGGTGCAATACAAAGCCGCACTTCGACCGGGATAGGAAGCACTGGCGGCAAGGTTGCCGCTAAGATCCGCCATCACGGTAAGCCTGGCGTGGTAGGGTACACACCTGACAGTAATTACATGGGAGTCAGCGGAGTACCGATGCGATTGAGCGCTACCGAGGTCGAGGGCGAAGACGGCGACGAAGATGACTTGTCGATGCGCCGCGTGCATCACCGTAGGACGGGTAGCAGCGGGCGTAGTAGTACCGCCAGCAGCAGACGAGGCCTCGCGTATCGTACTTCCGGTGCTTCTCAGAACAGCAAGAGATGGAGTCCTGGTGATACGCCGGAACGCGCGGGCAGCATGGTTATCGAGGACCCCGAATATATGCCTGGGGACGACAAATTAGAGCGACCGCAGAGCACTCGAAGTGGGAGTAGCGCAGAGAAAGCCGATGCTCTACCCGAACTCGGTAGCGTCAGCGCCGCTAAGCTTGCGAGTAATAGTCTGATGAACGCCGCACTTACGAGAGAGAAGAGCGTCAAGAATCCAGAGGACCTTCGACGCCGGGGTAGTGTGGACGAGCGTACGATGACCCTTACAAGTGGGCGATTATTTATTGCCAACCCCGATTAATGAGGAAGACTTTCAAGTTGTGTTTTTTTTTACTATCTTAGCATTTCGTTTGGACGGTCAAAAACACTACGGTGTATCGAGGCCATATCGAAGGATATCTTGCATTGCAACGGCGTTTATTGGGTTTGAAACGGAAGAGGTCATCCTCGGGGCATATTGAAACCTTTAGGGACAAAGGCTAGCCCTTCATACGGTCGTTCATGGTTTTGTTGGTTTAGTTTTGATTTTTTTTTTTTTTTTCGGAGCATATACCCTCGCTACCGCTTCGGAGCTTGCTTACTTAGTGTTGTTTTTTACATGCCGAACTCGTTGAGCGAGACGGTAGCGATCCAAAAGTCGGTGGAAGCCAGCGGTTATGAAATTGTGTAACTCCACGGCCTTTGAGCCAGAGCGTAATTGGTAGTTTGAGCGAGGACAGAAGAGACAGAGATGGATGCCAATACTACTAGGCAGATGTATTGTCGTCATAAGAATTATTATCCACACTATTTACCATAAGTGATGAGGAGAGAAGAGGAGAGTATACGTTGGAAAGATCAATATCAACTCGGGAGACCGCTTGCGGCTCCAGATGTTCAAGTCATTCTTTGATTTTAACCGTGCTATAATTGTGAAATGTGAAACCATTGGATATATCGTTGTTTTATTTTTATTTTTTATTATGGTATGAAAAAGCTTAGTTATTGCATTATACCTAGTTGACGAAGTAGTTTAAGTTCCTTAAAAGATCACTTAACTATCATAAGCTACCTTAGTTATTCTCAACTTCCAAGGAGAAGTCACGAAGTATCTCTAGTTATATGTCCAATCTTAGATATCCTATCACTAAAAGCCAAGGACCTTTGCTAAAGTTCTTGGCTCTCGTATTATGGGGAATATTTGATTTTACTATATGTAGCTCGAATTGCGCCAGAGCTTGATAACCTATTGGACTTCGCTGCTTCGGAAGATCTCCAAGTCGCGAGCGGAATAAGTTCGGGAGGTGGGTTTATTTTGTTAACCTTTTAACTTCATCAACTCGTACGAGTTTTTGTATTGTGTGCCTGTTAATACAGATAGCTACGTGATATATATCGTACATTCTACTCAATAGTATACAATACAACATACGCTTAACTATCCTAATTGATCACCTGGTTACATATATATACACCTAGGTTAAGAATTCTTCAAGGTCTAGCAATGGCGGAGCATCCTTCCTTCACATTGGCGGCTTTGCGTAAGTGTCACGTGCGACTTGTCTGAATGAGATGATATAAGTGATTGGGCGCTGGCTAACTGAAGGGTAACGTATAGTTGCCGGCTGGTGGAACTGCTGGATTCATCAGGACACGCTCGAGGCCGTCGCTTATCGCGGGTCTGGGATTAGGAGCGTCTTATGCGTTTTCCGGTATGTTCTTCCCCTAGCTACTCGACTCTTGGCTCTTCTCTATTCCTTGCCTACCTACCTACCTACCTGGGTACCTCCTACTAACGGCTGGCTGCCTGGTAGGCTACCTCATAAAGGGCAACAAAGACTACGGCACGGAGCTCGCGCTAGGAAACAGCATCCTCCTGCTGGGCTCGGCCGTGCCGCGCGTCGTCAAGACTAAGGCCCGCGCCCCGGTGCCTATCGGCTTGCTGGTTGCCGGCGCGCTCGCCACGTTCTACTACCAGAAGAAGGTCCGGGAGTTCCGGTTCGGCGTGTAAGGTTGGTTTACTTGTGATAGATTATGTAGGAAGTGGGTATGAGAGAGAGGTCTCTCTCTGAAGAAACTTGAATTCGGCTGGTTATTGATGTGTACGGTATCAGAAAAATGATGGGTTTGTATGATAGGTAGCTAATTGTGTATCCCTTCTCATGCAAAGAAAGAACAGCTCGACCGAGTTTCGGCTCACCACGTGGATTTCAGATTCGGGAACCACTTTGCATCTTCACATGTTCACAGCTTCTATGTAGTATGATTTCGGGTTCGCCGATTACCCAGGATCCAAGGCCGTCGAGTTGGAACCAAAAGTCAATCCTCTCTGTCCACAAAATCAACTGATCATTTTGTCGTCTTATGAGCACCGCACTTCTTCGTATACCCGCCCTACGAGAGGGTTTACCTAATTTCGGGTATGGCCTTGACGTTCCCGCCGCTGACAGGTCGGCTGGGCTGGATGGGCATATATAGAGTAAGCACTTTATCCGCGGAACGGCTGGGATTGACGGTTCTTTTGATAGCCTATGCAGCTTGTGGACGCGCGGCCAAAGTAGCGGTGACTCTTACTTATTATGCCCACGATTAGCGGTGCCAGGTAATTCAGTTGATATACAGCTTGTGGATCATCGTGTGCGATCGGGGTTGACTGGGGACTTACCCGGTGATAATGGTATCAAACGTTACCAGGCATTACAATTTGGTCCAGCGAAACTATATAGAAAGCTGGGAAATAAATTACCTACCAAGCAATAACTGATACATGGAGTACGGGAATAAAGTGTTGATCATGTACGTCTCTACATAGGTAGGTAGTAATCTACTTTAGCTACAGCCCTATAGCCACTTTCCGTCACCTCGCTCTAAGCGGTTGTGGATGTGCTTCGATCTCTTTGACGATCTCTCTCGTCCGTGCATTATCCACAAAACTCAGGCCGATCAACTCGACCACTTCTTCAACTGAAAAATATAGACTAAGCTCGCTTTCCATCCACAAATAACGTACGTCCTGGAGATTGCTCTGCAGCACTTCGCTGAGGTACTTGAGCCTTAGCCAACTGCTGGCGTACTCGGATGTAGTGGGGACTGCGTCCTTTGGTGCTCCTGGAGGAAGGAATAGCTCGTCAAGCTCCGTGATGCGCACGATTAGGCTCGCAATGTTGTACGCTTCATCTTGGCCGATGCCTGCCAGGTCCATGACGTCGGAGACAAGTTTCGCGGCGAGGGTATCGACCAGTGAGCCTACGGCTTGGCTCCAGGCTGATTTCGATAGAATAGTAGACCATGTTGCGGCGAGGGCACGCACGTGCCCGGTTGCGCTGTCGACTTGTGCTTCTAGGTCGGAAGTAGCGAGCCCGTCCTGCTGGAGAAGATTCTGAGAACCACCAAGTAAATCCCTCAAAACTGTTCTCTGTGTAGACATCTCGGACGAGTAGGCACGAGTTGCGAAAGACTGGAGTGCCTTGATATCATTGTCGAGGCGGAGCATCGCAATCGCACGAGGCGTTAGATCTTCGCGGGTTTTCCAGTCCTTAGCGAGGTCCGAAAGCCGTTCGGAAAGATATATCGCGTCATTATATAGGAACCTGAGCGAAAATGAGTTTCCATAAAAAGGGATAATGAAGTCAGACTTACATATTACCGCCTGTATTAAGAGTATAGTAGTATGGTGACACGGCGCGGAACATAGCAAGGACAAGGGTTGGTAATGAAAAGAGACCACCGGCTGTTGACGCCATCGGGTTGCCGTCACTCCTAATATTCAGTTAGATGATCAAGATTTTACGCCTGTATAACGAACGCATGAGCTTACCCAACGAGCGAGGCTGCATCTTCAAGAATAGCCGAGACAAGTGCTAGGACCGGCTCTGGCATAGAAGAAATATTATAAGTTTCTTTTAACGTCAACTCACGAGTCTGTGTGTTTGAAGGTTGAGATTTCGATGTCGGCTCTTCAGGGACTGTTTCCATCGTATCCTCTTCACCCCATCCCCATGCTGCCGCAGGGTCTTCCTCAGCTGCTGGTTCCGTTTGAAGTTGTTCGACTACAGTATCATCTTCACCCCAACCCCACGCATCAGTTCCGTCATCTTCGTTTGCCTCTGGTTTTAAATTGGTGTCTTTTTGAGTATCTGTCTCCCCATCATCCCACGCTGCGCCCCAGTCATCATCATCATTTGAAGGGCCAACACCGTTGGCAACTAATTCCTTACCTTCGGACCGCGTGACGGATTGAGTTTCGACACGTTCTACTTCCTTCGATTGGCCGAGTCCTCGGGACAGCCTCGTACGAACGGTGTCTAATGCAGTTTCTTTACATTTGGATAACCACACCCTCGGAGCATCATCAACCCACTCCTGTAGCTCTTCGAACCCAGAAAGTTTTAAACCCCGCAAACGGTTGCAGAATGCTTTTACAACTTCTGTAACATGTTGAAACTCGTCCATTTCTTTTAGAGATGCTGGAACTGCTATGTCTAGCCAAGTGCTTATAAGCCGAGGGACAAGGTCTTGCATCATTACGTTGGATAAGGAGTATACCAACTCTTCCGGTAAACGCTCAGATAGATAGGTCATCACCTGGTCTAGGTCGGAAAATAAAGCGGTGATAGATCTATCTGCGCTCCCGTCAAGAGTTAAATACGACTAATTTTCTGTTAGTAGCTCGCAAATATGGTGGGAGGGGATTCATACACCCTCTAATCGGATCTTGGGCAGCTCCTGAGCTTCAATGTTGGTGCGTGGACCGACAACAGTTTGGTCGATGCCATGCCAAAATGAAGTCATTTTTTGATCAAGTTCCTTATACGCCTTTAGACCTACAACGGCATCGGCTAAACTCATCTGCTCATCTACAAGGGGTTAGATTGTTCGTGACGTATTTGGTTGTGGTAAGTACCTTCATGACTTTGAAATACAGCAATATTTTTGTTCTCTCGGTCTATCCGTACTAGGGAATCCCAAACACGGTCGAGCACATCGTGAATCGTTGATTTCAACTCGAAGGCCCTCATGTCGAGCAGTTTCATGACACGGCAGGATTTCCCGACGGGAATTACGTCCAACCCAGACCAAGATTCTAGAATCGATCAGTGATGGACAGTGACGGGGGGCTGAGCCTCTTACTTTCTAAGAGATGAAGAGAATCCAATATCCTACGCTCATCCCGCGCTTGCTCAACCTGATCTAAGAGCCCATTCACGTGTTTGATACTCCCTAATGCAAGGTGGACTTGTTGGCTGTATTCGACCTCTTGTTGCAGGAACCTAACTTTAGCTTCTGCTTCTTCTATTGTTTTACCTGATACATCAGGTGCTTGTGAACGCCGTACGATATCATTCGCCCAGGTTCGCGATCGGTTTATATCATCTTCGAGCGATTTCGCATTGGTAATCCATTGGTCTACGGGGCAGTCTCCTCGTTGATCTTATGGATATTAGACTACAGTAGTTTGATTAGCGGACGAATTAGAGAGAAGCTGATGGCTATTTGGAATACCTCTAGTTTTATCTTTGCTGCTTCTAAGGATGCTAAAGCTGGCGCAAGATCTTGTGCTGAAATTTGTCGCGATGATATATCTTCATCCGGGAAGATGCCGTGCAAGGAGAAATCGACCAGCGCCTGGCCAATTTGGCCTCCTTCTTTACTAGACATAGCGATATACCTGGAGGTGGCTTCTTCGGAGTTCATTTAAAACAATGACCTAGATCGAAAGGTTCAACGACAGAGAAAGCTATGTAGCATGGATAACAACAATGATGAGCTGGCTAGAGGTACTAGTCATCATCAAATTTCGAAATGATATTAGTCGCGTAGTTCTATATAATAATAATTATTCTGATTGATAATTAGATTGGACATATAGTTCAGAGGCATTGCTGTACAAACAAAGACGAAGCTTGTAATCGTATCGTGATAGCTTCAAAAAAGAAAAGGCTACGTCAAGTTTTGGTATTGGACAAATCATTCTAAAGTTGTAATGAAGCTTGGACCATATTATTACCTACGTAGGTACCAAGCTAGTACCCTGGTAGTGATTTATGATAGGTCATTTTGTTAAGTCCCACTCAACGGCGATCGCTTATCTGGCGCATAGCGCTTAAGCGTTTCCTTCTCTACTTCTATCGATTACAGCCCCGCCGCGGGGTTAGTAGGACTAGAAATAGGAGGAGCAAAGGGATTTGATTTCACCAAAGTACCTGTTAAGAGGTACCTAAGGAGAAATATCGGGAGGCTTAAAAAAGGTAGTCGCAAATAATTGCACCAACCTTTAAGTCCTTACCGTATCTCTTTTATCCTGGTTACCTACCTACCTCTCAAACTTCATTCAACTCTAACCTCTTTTGATAGAATCACATCCATTACGTTATTGTGCTCATCCTTAATCTTAGATTTGCTTTTTCGTCTTTGTACAATTTCTATCTTTCCCCCTCTTTTGTATGACCTACAATCCGGGAATCATATGCCTGAATAATTCGTACAAAAGTACTGCGTGCTTGACACACCACATCATCACATCATCCCTTAAGCTGACGCCAGGATTTGGACCAGGATTTGGAACCCGAAATTTGGTCACTTCGACCTGCAGCTGGTTCAGATCGAAACCACTCCAATTTCACCTCGATCCTATTGGTCATCTCCTAACGTGTCACCAAGGTCACCAAGGTCACAAAAGTCACTAAGGTATGTCAGAGACATTTACCCTCTTATCATCTGAGATTTGCATTCCCCGGATCGACCTTGTTGAGCACAAAGTACTTCATTCAAATACATACATACATAAATCCTTCTGAGTTAGGTAGCTACCGTTATTATTAGCGCCCGTTGTCTCGTATCCGGTAGCTTCTTACAAAAAAGGATGGGCGTAAGGATACACGGTCTATTTATAATACTATGATCAGTCAGGCGCAACTTAAGGCATCGTTCTCAGCTGCTCTAGTCGCTATCATTGGTACCGTCATTATCTTCTACCGCCAGAGGGTTGGTGATACTGGGTATGAAAACCTACCTTAATGTGATCGATCCCAATGTGCATAGAGGGATGGATGCATGGTGTGTTATCGGAGAAATCTGATGTAGTAGTGGAAATTTCTTCTACTATATGCGTCTTACTTTTCGAAAAAGGTAGCATCTAACTGGATGCCGGACTCTAGTGAAGACGTACCCTGACCGCACCTTGACTCCTCATCACGGATTTTACTATCATCACGAATATGCCTATATTTGTCCATCTATAGAAGTCTTTTTAACATGTTTTATATTTAACAATCCGTAGTCATTTCGCTATTTCGTTTTTCTTTTCTTATTTATTAATGTGGACATACACTTACTAGTCGAGCAGCCACATACAAGCCGCCTCGTCTAAGCCGTTCGACGTCAAGATGGGGTCACAGGGCCCTAGTGTACGATTTCGTAAGCTTCAAAGCTTCCAAACGGACTACGCCCATGCATCAATCACTCAGTATGAATCCGAACGAAGTGGTATGCAGGTTATTGTGACCGACCGAAAGGGCCCAAAAGTTAATGGCTACTTCACCTTAGCCACTGAAATTTTCGATGACTCGGGAGCCCCTCATACCCTTGAACACCTGGTATTCATGGGTTCAAAGAGTTACCACTATAAGGGGTTATTAGATAAGCTAGCCTCTAGAGCCTACGGGGGCACTAATGCTTGGACCATGACAGATCATACGGCCTACACTCTTGAGACAGCTGGTTGGGAAGGGTTCGCCCAGATTCTACCAGTCTATCTTGAACATCTTATCGTACCCACCATAACAGATGCGGCATGTCTGACCGAAGTCCATCATATTAATGGCGAAGGCAACGATGCCGGTGTCGTTTACTCAGAGATGCAAGGTGTGCAGTATTCAAGCGCAGAGATTATGGATATTAAAGCACGACGCCTTCTTTATCCCGAAAATGTGGGTTTCCGATATGAGACAGGAGGTATGATGGAAAACCTACGGGTTTTGACCCCAGAGAGGATACGCAATTTCCATAGAGAAATGTATCAGCCACGGAACATGTGCATTATCATAGTTGGCGAGGTTGACCATGATAATCTTCTTACTATCCTAGACCAATTTGAAGAGAGCGTCAAAGACGACCTCCCCCCTCTCGACGCCCCATTCAAACGACCATGGATAGAGTCTGCACAGCCACCCCCTCTCGAGAAGACAATAGTTGAAACTGTTGAGTTTCCTGAAGAGGATGAATCGATAGGTGATATGGTTGTGGGTTTCTTTGGGCCAAGTTGCACCGATATTATCCAATCATCTGGCCTAACTATTCTATTGACTTACTTATGCGGATCTTCCGTCGCAGTGTTGGAAAACGTTATGGTAGAGAGGGAAGAGCTTGCTAGCTCTCATATCCTACATGTGGGATGCTCGACCAAACAGCGTTATTTGGCTTCAGCCGACCGGTGTAGCTACAGAAAAGTTAGAATTTGTTGAGCAACGGCTTATCTCTTTACTCAAGGAGGTCGCAGCCCAGCCGCTGAATATGACCTACATGAGAGAGTGTATTCAGAGAGAACGGCGGCAAGTGAAGGCCCAAGCTGAAGAATCTGAATCATTCTATTCGACAAATATTATCACAGATTACCTCTTCGGTAACCGAGACGGATCAACTCTCAAGCAACTTGCAAGTCTCGATGAATATGATGCTCTAGAAAAGTGGACAGACGAGCAGTGGCGAGCCTTCCTGAAAACATGGCTCGCTGATGCTCACCATGTCTCTATACTTGGAAAGCCTTCTTTACAGCTAGCTACAAAACAGAAAGAGGATGAACAAGCGAGGATCGAGAAGAGAAAACAGGAACTAGGCGCAGAGGGATTAAAACAGTTAACCCAGAAGTTAGAGGATGCCAAGAAGCAGAATGAGGTTGAGATTCCGGCCTCAGTACTCGAGAAGTGGCCGGTACCTCCGATAGAATCGATTCATTTCATCGAATCTCAGACTGCACGATCCGGCATGGCTAGGAAACTTGGTATCCACAAAAATTCCGCGCAAAAGATCATTGATCAGGCCTCGTCTGAGTTACCCCTATTCGTGCAATTCGAAGATGTTCCGACAAACTTTGTGCATATCTCAGTCCACGTGGGCACTTCTAATTTGCCTGCCGCATACAAACCTTTGTTGTCACTCTTCAGCGATAACTTCTTTAACACCCCTATTCGTCGTAATGGCGAGCGCGTCCCATTCGAGAAGGTGGTGATGGAATTGGAAAGAGATACAGTTAGCTATGCCTTGGATTCGGGCAGTAAATTCAGCGATTCAGAAAGCTTCCTAATTCGATTCCAAGTCGAGCCAGAAAAGTATGCTACTGCTATTGAGTGGATCCGTACGATGATGTTTGACAGCATTTTCGATCTCACTCGTTTGAAGGCCTGTATTGCTAAGCAGCTTGCCGATATCCCCGAAGCGAAACGCGATGGTAGAGTTATGACTAGTGAAGTAGAAATGGCTATTCATAACGAGGCTTCGTCCCTGCTTGTGGCGAAACGCACCCTTGTTAAGACTGTATATCTCCGTCGACTTAAGAAGCTCTATGACAAGGACCCCGAAGCGGTGATATCGAAGTTCGAGGAACTTAGAAAGTCTCTATTCACTTCTGATAACCTTCGAATTCTGGTCATAGCTGATATATCAAACTCAAAGCTGTCTGACCCCGTTAAAGCTTGGGATGCACTCTCTAATTCACTCAACGCTCACGTAGAGTCTGTCAACCCCATCATTAAACCTCACACTCTTCTAAATAGCGAAGGTCGCAACCCTGGCTCTGTTGGGGCGACGATTGTCCCTATGAGAGCAATTGATAGCTCTTACTCCATTTGCTCTAGCAAAGGCCTTACCTCGTTCTCTGACCCAGTGGTTCCCGCACTTCTAGTTGCTATGCAATATTTGGAAACTGTGGAAGGTACATTATGGAATGCTGTTCGCGGGAACGGCTTAGCCTACGGTGCCTATTTTGCAAAGGAGCTAGACGGAGGATACTTGCATTTTAAAGTGTATAGGTCCCCCCTAGCATCAAAGGCGATTTCTGCTGCGCGTGATGCTATCGCGGCGTTAGTAGATGGCACTGTCGAGTTTGAGAAGCCTATGATTGAGGGCGCGATCAGTCAGTTGGTGATGGCCATGGCGGAGGAGCAGGCTACTTTGGCCTCCGCGGCAGTGCAAAAATTCATAGTTGGTGCTATAAGAGGGCTTGAACCCGATTATAACATCAAGATGCTTGCGAAAGTTAGAAAAATATCGGTTGAAGATATTAAGCAGGCTATGAAGACATGGCTATTGCCCCTGTTTGAACCTGGGAAGAGTAACGTAGTGGTTTGCTGCGCACATGCAATGGTAGAGGTAAGTTATCCTATTCTTCACAAGGTACATTTGCATCGTCTACATAACTAACATTTTGTAGCAACTCGAAAAAGAATTCAAAGCCATGGGATACAAAACCGAAGTGAAACAGTTATCAGATTTCCAAGGCGATTATGGCCTTGAAGACCCAGATGGCGACGAAGATGGAGATGAGGAAGACGATGACGAGGATATGGAAGATGATGATGAGGATATGGAAGACGATTCCGAGGAAGATGATTAGACCTATCACGGATCCTTTCGAATGATACGCGTGGAAAGACTCAGTGTGTTATTGTTCGGACCCCCGGTTTGACAGGGTTTATACAGGATATAACGAGGGCTTAGAGTACGAGCTACGAGTCATCAACCATTTTGGGGCCTGTAAATCCCATGACCAAGTCATAGCGAGAAGACATAAAAGCGTGTCTTACATAGAGAAAATATTTAGTCAGTATTAATGCTTTATTATTATTGTAGTTCCCACTAAAATCTCTGAGCTCTTGGTAGATATAGAGAAAGGTTATTTTCGTTGCCCAGCTTTGTAACCTGCTTCTTTATGCTTTGCCAAGGTTCGCCTTGGCAGGACCCTGAATTGACAAGCCTTTCTCACCAAAGCGGCTGCCATGCACCGGGCAATCCCACGACTTTTCAACGCTATTCCAACATACTACACCCCCCATGTGTGGACATAACGCGCTCATCTTGGTTATATTGCCGTTCTCATCCTTGTACACGGCGATCGGCTTTGATGCCGTGGGATTCAGAACGCCGCCACATCCCGGCTTTAGATCCTCAATATCTTGTATGTCAGATTGAAGGAGTCGCTTGTATTGCATGTTGGCCTGAAGATCGTTCTGGATCATGGTTGGGGCTGATTTGATAACGCTGCTGACCCTCTTCGGAGAGTACAGACTGCTCCAAGTATTAGGTGTGTCCTCGATCTCGTCTGCGATCAGCTTGCTGGCTAGTACGCCGTGCGTCAGCCCGTTACCTGAATCGCCCGTCACCACGTAAATGCGGTTATTGCCCTGGTTTTTCCCAATATAAGCCATGTAATCTACCGGCTCGAAGATCTGCCCACTCCACTGATACTCGACGGACTTGGCTTGTGGAAAGCGTTCCCGTGCCCATTTCTCTAGTGCCTCAAAGTGTCCTCTAGAGTCTTCTTGACCAACCTTATGGTCTTCACCTCCGACAATCATGTAGTCGTCATTTTCGTCACAGGGGGTAAGCCGGATATACTTATACGGGTCGTCTGTATCGTAGAGCAAGATGTCATCGATACTGCCCTTAGGCACACGCAGCGCGATACAATATGTTCGGTCCCACTCCATTTGCACAATTACGCTAAGCTTCTGCAGCGGTACATCTGTCGCCTCAATCGCGTGTTCGCAGCTTATCGTGTTGTCGGCCTCTGTCTCTATCTGGACGTACTTGTGGCCTAGACCGAGCATTTCAATACCTTTCTCCTTTACGGATAGGACCCGTGTCGAAGTATAGCATTGGAACTTGGGCTGTTCCTTAAGCCACTTCAACACTCCGTTTAAGTACTTTGTCGGATGGAAAGCAGCCTGATTGGCAAAAATTGCACCTCCCCGTTGATCGGGTTTGCCACCCCAGCCCCTGACAGTCAGATTCTCGTCGAATGTGGCGTCAATCCCGAGTTTCTTCGCCATTTCAACATCTTCCTTAATCGTATCCATGTCCTTCTTGTGTTCCTCAGTACCCTTCTGGTACTGCGATACACGGTACCCAGGCAAGTGACGGTATTCACAATCAATACCTAACTCCTTGGCAATTTCACCGACTCGGTTTAACGCCCAAGTGTGGCTTTCGGCAGCAGCTTTCGCCCCATCTTTGCCGTGCTTTTTGGCGATCTCCGGGTACATGTCATCTAACGCATTGGATAGGTGCCCGCTTGTCCGGCCGGTTTCTCCGGAAAGTACATCTCGAGCTTCTACGAGGACAACTTCTCTGCCGCGAGTAATAAGCTCGTACGCAATGGAGATGCCGGCTATACCGGCACCAATTATGCATACATCTGTTTCAATATCCTTAGACAGTGGGTTGAATTGGGGCCTTTTAGAGAAAGGGTCCCCGTGTATCCAGACGGGGTTCGTGATTCCCGATGTACGCACGAATTGCTCGAGGTCGTTAGTTACTAGTTTAGCCATGTTGTGTCTTGAAGAAGTAGAGAGCGGTTTAAGTAAATTCTTGACTCTGAACTCTGCATTAGATTCCGGCCATTTGCGGATATAGTTATTCTAAGACTCCGTATGCCGTAACTAATGCTTATACGCGAGGGCGAGTAGACAATATTCCCAGGAGGGCGCGAGCGCTGGGAGAATGCGCTCACCACTCGCTTTATAGACGTCATCCTCACGCAAGAAGACACGTCGACATGTCAGACGGCTCTACTGCTCGATATAACATCTATCGAGCATTGGAGCTGTAACACAACGTATTCTTATTCATGCCGTACTATCGTGGAATATACCCCTTATAGTTACGTCATTGTGACGACTGGATAGTCGACGATGATTCAGCGTTATTATCAACGCGTTGATTTGACGAATTTATCCTAGCTAGTGTTTCAATAAATGCTCCGTAGATTAATTAGACATAGTTAGATGCCAGCTGCTTAAATTCTTAAGAACTAATATAGGCTATATTATTGGTCATGACTTGTGTAAGTGGAAGATCGTGAGTGGATCTTGCGTCTCGGGTTCTAGGCGATGATGGCTTAGACCAATATAGATACAATAATTACGATATTGCAATACTACGAATATTATATCTTATTCTTAGGATGGGTTATCACATTGAAATTCTCTTTAGCGAGATCTTAGCTTATCCCACAATAGTATAGTTACAGTATGACTTCGAAATTGATTACGCAAACCCTGCACTACCTAATGATGCTATGAGAGTATAGAGGTAGTTTCGCTTCACCGGAATGTGTACTCCAGGTCGCGATTCCATCGTTTACAGTACAGTTCTAAACTAAGGCTATAGAACGTAATCAGACGATACGTCGTGTCACAGCCTAGCCATTTCTACCTCTTATAAGAATTAACACAACACATATTAACTCTTATTTACTCAGCAACGTCAACAAACTGCAACCAGTCCCTCTCAAACTCTCCTTGGACTTGAGTGAAGGACTCCAGTTGAGCAGCATTAAGTTTGAGGCCATCAAATGCAGCAAGACTCTCGGCAGCTTTGACGATGTTCTTGATCTGGCGACCGTTGAGTTCATGCTTAGCCAAGAGATTCATTTCCTTCTCCGTAATATCCACGCCCCTGGAACACGATTGCAGAAGTTGCGCCAGATAGTCAGGCGTGAGGCTTCGTTTAAGTTCGTGTAGCGGAGGGGTACGTGGATACGACTCGTGAAGGCGTCGTCGAAGGTGGAAACGCGGTTGGTTGTCAGGAAGAGGATTCCGCGGTAGTCTGGATAAATATATCAGCATACTTCTAACAAAAGGGTACAGTTAAGGGCTAGAATGAAGGAAAGTAGCAGCCAGTGCTCACTTACACTCAAGAACTCGTAAGAATATCGTGACCATCGCATTGCGCTTAAGGTCATGTAAGCTTCGGCGCTCTAGGAAAATATCGGCCTCGTCGATCAATAAAACCGCACCCCATGTCGTTGCAATGTCCATAATGCGCCCTAGCGTCACCTCGAGCGAATAGCTGTCAGTTCCTAAATCGCCAGCAGATACCATGTAGAGTGGTCTATGCACTGATTCTGCTACGCATTCGGCCGTTAGAGTCTTTCCAACTCCTGGTGGGCCGTGAAGGACTAATACAAGCCCCTTTCCTTTGCCCTCAACAATATCGTCAACTCCCGCGTTGGTCTGACCTCGTCGCGTATGCATGGATACCATGGCCTGAACCGTTCTCTTGGTAGTAGGGTTCAGAACCAGCTGATCAAAGTAGGTCTCATCCCATTTGATCGGGGAGAGATTTTCCACGAAGAACTCCAGGAACTTCTTAATCGAGAACGCGAAGCCGCGCACCGTTGCGTTGGTCATAATAAGATCCTCATCGAGAAGGTCATCGAGAATATTCCCGTCAGCGCCGTCGACGCCTGCGTTATATCTGCGCATGGTGCGCTGGCGCTTCGCCGCTTCGGTTCGTGGAAGGTCGTCCAACTCGAAGTCGTCGCTCGGTTCGAAGTGCCGGTAGTTTTTACAGTCGATCACGACGCGGCCGGAGAGATTATATCGGTCATATTTCGAGCCGTCGTGCTTGATGGCCACTCCGCTATACTGCATGAAATGTTGGCCAGCTAGTTCCCGAAATCGACGGCCTCGCTCCAGCAGGCGGGTACGGAATTCAGATGATGAAGAATGGAAGTCAAGGGGCATTATGTTGAGATCTTCGCAGCGCATGACACCTGAGTACTTGGGGATGCGGAACGTGTCCGTGCGCGTGCCGAATTTCTCGCCGTCGTAGTCGACGTATCTGAATCGGATGGCCAAGCAAGGCTCGTCGTCAGTTTCGTACCAGAAACCGCGTAGTTTGAATGCACGCGGCTGGCCTTGGACGCGAGTGTATAGGAGGCAGCCTGGCTTGAATATCGTCCAGAGGTACTCGTAACTAATCGGTCTCTGATCGCTCGATTGGAAGCGTTGGGAGGCCTTGAAAGCCTCTTCGTGGACCTTGTCGATCCAATCTAGGAGAAGCTTGAGGTGCTTGAGAGAACTCTCGTCGTCCTTGAACCGTTCTGTTCCTACTTCTTCTAGCTGTTTTCGGTAGAAGAAGAGACAATACGCCGGCAGGTCGAACTCAACTTCCTGCTGAGCATCAACGGGATCATAGGGAAACCCAACGATGACATCTTCAAGAAGTTGTTTCAAAGGTTGTGGGTTCACATGCAACCGTGTGCGTTTGAATGCACCGCTCTCCTTGAAATGGCGCGTCTCTGTGAGGGCGTATAGCTTCCACCAGTCTGGATTGTCGCCGTCTTCTCTAGGATTACGTTTGCTGTATACTTTATGGCCGTCCTTGTCGTACTTCTTGTCTAGAAGTGCGAGCTCGCACGTCATCTGTTTAGGTTCTTCATCCTTCTCTTGTGGCTCCTGCTCTGCATTCTGAGGCTCTTCTTTGGTACCTTGAGAGACTTCTTGAGCCACCTGGGTCTCTTGGGGCTCTTGCTTCAAATCAACCTGCATCTGTGTTAGCATAGTTTCGGACGATCCAGTTCCCTATGGCTTGACTGCGATGTTTGACGATAGGCTTAACTTGCCTAAATCGAGACGTTTTACTCACTGTATCGGAAGACATGGTGGTGCCACTAGAGTGCTATATGCTCTTTCAAGTTGTAGTATTCTTCAAGTTGTAATATTTAGCTGTCTACTGAACCGTAGTCTATCGACCAAGAGCAGAGCCTACTTATAATCAACTATCCATGTAGCTACAAGTCCTAGATTTAGCATGCCCCCGTGATTGGAGGCCATGCATGAATATATGACTGGTACAAGTGTCGCCGGGATGATTGGCCGGACTAGGGTTAGGATACAAAAGAAGACAGGCGTTGCATAGTTTATATATCAGGCAGCGTGGCTATAGCGTTATTGGCCATACACTACCAGGTAGTTAAGGTTATATCCACCTTCTCCTGTAGGCTCCGTCTAAGTACCGAAGCAGATCAGAGTCTTATTATCCCGACTTCCTACGACTTCCGATCTATATTCTTATACATTTCAATAAATCTATACTATAAGCCATGCTCAGGACGTGATCAGAACACACGTAGAAGACATGAGAGGCTTAGTAGAGACCACCTAAATGTATCTCGTTCAGGAGGATATAATAATAATAAGTCAACATTAACATAACAATAAGTTATCCTACTTTTCGTTTCTAAAAGCCCAGAATTTAAAGTAGTTGAGGTCAAAGTATGGATATTGCCATGCATATGGCGGCATTCCTACGTGAGCATTGATGTGCTCTCGACTTCTTGGCAAAGGATCGTACTACAACCCGAGCTGATAGACCCCGGTCATGCTGCCTGCCTACTTGGGTTTTTCCATTTCACGGGCTCCCCTCCTCGAAGACAAGGGTTATGCAGCCGCCATAATATACTTTGCGTCTATTATTGGTTGCTTAGGTATGCAGATCTTTGGGCTGCATCACTCTACTGCAGCACACCCGCCCTGTCCTCGAGATGCAAACATGAAGTAGCCGACACTTAATCATATTAGGAAAGTCTCGCGTTTCTTAGAGATTTTGTATGATGCTCCTAGTATCTGGAATACGTATACTTGTAAGACTTATAGAGATTATCAATAGATAAGGGGGTGAAGATGCCGTTAATTCATTGAGGCGCTAGTTTAAGTGAAGAAACTTCATATTCAGACCAAAACGAGAGTATTGAAGAAATTTTAGAAGTCAGTGTACAAGCCTAGTAATGTTTCGTACAATTCTGTCTGGAAATAGTGAAGTAAACATCTGAGGACTAAGTAACCATAAAGTTCAAATGAAAATTAAAAAGCGCCTTACTACCTCCACCAAGTGATATCCGACTTGAAATATATAATACATCCCTTATACCATTAGTTGTTATTCAATCATTATTTCGAAAACAACCTAACTTTATTTTTATATTCTCTTTTAAGTAGTATAATGAAGCCTACAGAGGAGGTTAAATAATTGTATTAGCTATTGGTTTTGTTTAGATTCAGTTGATGTCTCTTCAAAACGTGTAAGAAACAAGATCCGAGTGTAATTTGTTTTAAAAAGGAAATTGAAAACAAGGACATATTAATATTTCGAAAGTGCTCAAAAGGGACAAATGAGGTGATTAGTATAAGACTAATGTAAAGATGGTCTTGAAGTAAAACCCCCAAAATCACACCTTAAAAAACTAGGAGGATAAGGATGCTTAAAGTACAATCTGGTATCACCTGTATTTTGACATAACTCTTGGACAATTGGGATGTGTCTAGATCGAGGAATAGGAGGTTTCTTTCAGGAGCCTTTTCATTCACTATAGAGATATTAGAAGTTATGTGATTAATAGGCTACACAAGACAACATAAATCGGATTCAGAGAACAAGACTATTCAAACTATTCGGACCATCCTAACACAGCTTCGTCATGCCCCTTTGTGATGTTCACAAACACATACTTATTGCTTTAAGTACTTTCTTCGTGATTGCTGATACGACCAAATCATCTACATAAAAGCCTACGATGTATTTGACGAGGACTTCACATAATCAAATTCAAGAGTAATATTTTCTGCGTCATGAAAGTCCCAAGGACTATTCACTATAACCCGACTCTTTGAAACACGATTTCCAGCTGTTGGCTTTACCAAATATATGAACTATTACTATAAATACAACCTTATTCCTAGTGACCTCGCCCTTTAAATCTAAAATAGTAGGTTACCTATAATTCCATTACTTCGATAAATACCAATTAAGGAGTAAGCTTTTTCCTATCTAGATTGTAAGTTCTCTCCTATATCTTAAGTTTATTAGAAACCTACTAATAATATTCGAAGTCAGTCCTAATAGTACTTGAGCCCTCATAATACTTATTTTACCCATCAGGATGGCGGATGCAGCTGATGAGCAAGAAAGTAAGTCATGATAATCTCTCAGACCTCGTTAGAAGACTAATTGACATTTGCCTACTAGGAGCTGTCATCCAAGCAGCCTTCTGTAATACTCATTCACGTGAAGTCTTAAACTATTACCGCCAACGTCTAGGTCTAGGTCCTTCCAATAACTTGATAAGCAGCGAGGTGTCCGGAGTTCCAGAAACGCATCACAATCAAATGGCCAATATTTTCTATCATGAAAGCCAGTATACGGATGAGTCTGTCTTGCCACCCCACAGCAATATACAGAACAAGTCAAGCCATGATTCACACTCAGGGGGTACAAGTGCTTCAGTAGACCAAAATCAATCTTCCCCGGCGCCGGGTTATCTTGGAAACCGCTCCCTACCTCTCAACACGAGCGCAGATGTCCCTGAAGACGAAAACTGCAGGCTATGGATCACGGGGCTACCACCAAATTGCACTATCTCAGATGTACTTGGAGCAATCCGAGGCATCGGACGCGTCTACTCATTGCATATTAATCCACCTGTGTACGATAACAGAACAAGAAAGTACTTTTCCACATCAGCAGCGTCGTTGACATTCTTTACCGCAAACGCCTGTAACAGATTCCTACTCCTACAGTCTCAGCACCCCTTCAATGTCAAAGGTTGGTGCGCCAGGGTTGGTCGGCATCGAGTCCGCGCCAAGCCCTTTCTCGTCTATCATCTCTCTCGAGTTCTTATCATCAAGGGAAATCCTGAAATTGTAACGCCAGAGAATCTAACTCGGATCTTTATAGAGCAGTGGGATATTCGTTTCGATACCGATTTTATAGAGTATCGACCAGGCGAACAGTCCAATGAGATCATATGGGGGTTTGGAAGCTTTCGGGGACAAGCTCATACAGTGTACATTAATATCACAGACCAGCTATCAGGGGTTGTAACTGTCAGTTACGGTCAAGATCCGTGCGCGTAATGTACTTCCTATGATATAGCCTCTCCATAGCCCCAGGGGGTGGGGTGTAAATAGAGCCAGTTAGGAAAGTATTAGTCTCTTCTCAACCTATGGCTAGGATTTACGCCTTGGGCAGCTATGAATGCCTAATACATTATTAATATAATAGGTTAAATACCTAGGCACCTAAGCAGTCTTGAATAAGTTGTATGAATAAGCTTATCCGCGCAACCGAGCCTGGGCTAAACGGTAGGCTATCTGGATGGCTGATTTTAATAGGTATCGAATACTATGAATTCTATAGGTTAGGTATGTTAGGATACGCGAGATCAGCATATCGCCCATCGTCTACGTACGGCTGCGTCTCATATATGCACAAGCGTTAAATTGCCCCAATGTAACACACAGAACCTACTACACTACCTTAGGTCCAGGCACCTAATGTGGCAATACTCTCTTGTTGTGACAGATATCTGTTTCCAGCTTGTAAATATACTGTATTGGAAAATGCGAAATGAACATATATAACAGTGCCCTGAGTGATGTATCTACACGTCTATTCCTATTTTAATACTCATTTCAACTTAAGTAATCTAATATTTACAATCCTTCCATCATGGCTGACATTACCTCTCCTCCTCCAAAGCACTGGGCTGTTCTAATCGGAATAGACTTCTACAAGAGTGGTGATCATCTTAACGGATGTGTCAATGACGTGACGGCAATAAAGCATCACCTGGAATCAGGGCCTAATCCAACAGATATCTCAGTTCTTACTGCAACGACACCTTCCACTTCGACCCCTCTCGGCCCATTAGAGCATCCAGACTGTTTACCAACAAAAGAGAATGTGGTTAAGAAGCTAAAGGGAGTTCTGGATTATGCGACACCGGGTGACTTTGTATACATTCACTACTCAGGACACGGTACCAAAATTGAAACCCAGCTTGACCTCCGAATTGAAAAACATCTTGCTCTCGTCCTCTTTGATGACAACAATCATGGTATATACTATTTGCGGGGCACAGCGCTAGCCAATATTCTCGACAAATTCGTAAAGAAGGGGCTCTTAGTTACACTCGGTCTTGACTGCTGCTTCTCAGGCAGTGTACTACGAACCGACGACATTCGTGGTACAGCTATTCGGTCTATTGATTATGACCCATCTACCGAGGACCCGGTCTCAGGAGAACATTATGCGAACCTCATGGATATATGCAACTCCGATACCGCCTTTCGCGACTCAACTTTGCTTTCAGATCGATGGATTAAGAACCCAGAGGGTTATACAATCCTCTCCGCATGTGGTCCACAGGAACTCGCACATGAACTGAAAATGATTGATACTGGGCGACGGAGAGGAGCTCTCAGTTATTTTCTAATAGAAGCGTTATGCGCTTTACGAACGCATAGGATAGAAATAACTAGCGAATCTCTATATGAGCAGTTACGTGTGAACTTTCGCGCGTCTTGGCCGCAGCAAACCCCGATGCGCTACGGAAACAGGAAGCTATCCTTTTTCGGGAGACCCATCACTGAACCGAATGTGCCTACTATTCATGCCTATTTTAGAAAGGGTATCCTGTACCTAGATGCAGGAGAGGCGCATGGCGTCCATGCTGGGTATCAATATGCTCTGTATCCACTTGATTCAATAGAGGATGTTACTAGTCAGCCCGAAGAGACATCAATTATAGCTCAAGTCAGAACGGTCAATGCGCTGGTATCGACTTTAGAGCCATCTACGACTTTACAGAAGGTCCAGACAGGTTGGAAAGCAAAGCTAATTACGTCTGTCTTGCATCGAGCAACCCCTATACGGCTTTTATCAAGTGTCTACAGTCAGATCCAACGCAATAAGGCTTTGGAACACCAATACATGCATATTTGCGCTTCGGATGATGATACCGAGGCGTGCATGTTTAATGTTTTGCTTAACGATCGGAAGGAATTTGAGATCCTGAATGGATCGCTCCAAAAGATTCACAATCTACCAACAATTCCTCTAAGTACACAAGGATCTGAGCATAAACTCATGAATATTCTGGAGCATATTGCACAGTTCAAATATGCTGAAGCAATTGGAAATAAAATGCCTAACTCTTCTTTCGAACACTCGTTTTCACTTCGTTCATATGTTGGCACAAACGAGAAAAGTAGGTCAAGCGTCCTTCAGGTTCAGCATGGCGGCAACTGGCATCTCGTGATTGAAAATCGCAGCCAGGCACCCTTGTACTTGGCAATTTTCGACTTCACCCCATCCTGGAAGATCGAGAACATATTATCGGCTGCGGGTGACGGTGGATTCTTGGTGATAGATGGTGGAAAGACAAAGGACTTGCCAATTGACATGGAAATTCCCGGATTCCTCCTCAGTCAAGGTAGAAAGAGCTGCGAGGAGGTGCTGAAAGTCTTCCTTACAACTAAACCAACAAATTTTCCATCCATGATCTTATCTGAAATTCCTCTTGATTCTGCGTTTTACCGTGGACAAGTTTACGAGTCTCATGACACGTTATCGGCGTTTATTGAAAGACTAACAACCACCTTTCGGGGCCAAGATCCTGGACAAGAGGCATGGACAACTCAGAACTTTATTATAACCACTACTAAAGAATGACTATGTGACAGAATGGGATACAACGTTCGTGGGATGAATAAGTAAGGGTTTACCAGCGGGTAGGAAATGTACTCAACAAGCGCTTAGTTCCTTGAAGTGGTCCTAGATTTCTTAGCTGTTTTATGAATACCTCCTAGTAATGTTACATCTACGTTTTCTGGTACTAACAGGCAGACATGCAAGATGAACCGGGCTGTTTTGATCTCTATAGTTCTTTTTAATCAAAAATCATTACTTCTTCTTATACTTTTATAAGTACCTAAGGTGCCTAGGTTAGGTAAATATAGGGGCCTATCTACTATATAAGAGGCGCATAGCACCCTGGCAAGAGGATGGAAGACCAGACGTTACTAGATCAATACAATGCACCAGGTAATCTCCCTATACTAGACACCCACTCTGTGCATAACATCAATCAATAGATATCAATCCTGACAAAAGGTTAGTGGGGACTGCATAAGGGTTGGCAATCACCCAGTAACAGGAGTATGAACGTGTAGGAGAAAACTATTTGTTACGCAAAGAGTTATTGGCCTAAGACTGGTCGATCAATAGCCATAAGCTCCGTGTCCTATCTATAGCGACAGTTCTAGGATAAACATTATAAAAATACCACATTCTTTGAAAATAGTTTCCACCCATAAAACCATGCAATTGTATGCATCATCTTCGGAGTTTCCATAGCTCCAAGACTTACTCAAAAGGGTCATGCAACTTTAGGTATGCTTCTTCGAAAAGTTCTCCATTGTTAACTTCTCGTCTGGTAGAATCTTGGAGCTTGTACCGTCCTCCCTGTTGATGCGATACAGTGAATGGCCCCTTCCATTCCTTAGTTACGGGATCCCGAACGTAAACCTCATCGTTTGGTCTGAATTTGGGATTCTAATGTTAATTAGTATTGATAACAGAGAGTAGTTTTGTATCTTAACATTCTTACGTTATCATATTTGTCGACAAGTGGGCGGCCACCATCGTCAGGAAACGTGAAGGAGGGTGTCTGATTGTCTCTATGTGAATATTTAGCGTGAAATTCAATATACCTGTTAGGGACGGAATTCTTACTGTTCAGCCGAATCCATGTTTCCTACGTAAGTTATTTTGATGATACACACTTGGCAACGCTCAGTTGAATGCTATCGAGAGCTAGATGCTGTATAGTAGTATGATAAAATATTTGAAAAGGAACCTAATTATATAGATGTTCAATTGATACTTAAGGTTAGCACCTACCTACCGATATTACGAACCCGTGTGAAGACGAGGCTCAATCTGAGACAGTAAGCATAGAATAGTAGGAAATATGAGGAAGAGCCTAGAACGTGTTAGGCAGAAATGGATGTAATGCTATTGATCAGAGCATAAGGCTCAGCCCATATATGCTGGACATATGGGGGTGTGACCATAGAACACGTACATGTATTTTAGGCAGACTGTCAATATATATAGCAGCCGTATAGTAGACATTTGCTCACTTAAGCTACCTGTGACGACCCCTTGTATTAAGATTTAAGTCTTAGTACAATGACTACCGTGTTTCAAACAGATTCAAATTTTGTAAATCTGAATCTTTGGTATTCTTCAACATTCATTCTACAACATGACACAACAATCGATAGTGGACCTGGAGCGTGGTCAACGAATCAGTTCGTTTTCGGCTTTGGGCAAGTACTCTACTTGGTTATTGTCATGGAGCCGATCATCAACTGGGAGTGCTCCGCCCCAAGACATCCAGGTTGTTAGGAAACAGAGTGCGAATAGCCACATTCTAATTTTTACAAATTGTGATGCTAACTTGGCATAGTTGAGGACTTTCCACTAGGATATCCTCGTTTCTCAGCCCTTGTTGCCTCTCATAACTCGTTCCACCTCTGTCGCCGATTTTCTGGCTTACGCGCGCGATTACTTCTGCTCAAACAGGATAAACTGTCGCTCTTGGAAAAGCAACTAGAGAAGATTGACAGGGATGAAGGGCCTAGCCTATCGCTGGGAAGTTGTCGTAGGGACACTAACAGCGAAAGGCATGAGGTTCTTGCAAAGATACAAGATGCCTTAGCCGACTATGGTAACGTCAGATTCCACTCTAATTACATGGTAGGTTCATTATTGGTGAAAGCTAATAGGGGGTGCAGATGAGTATCTAGAGAGACACCAACGTGCTCTATACTTTGAATCTGCCCCACAACGTGCTATATCGAACTTAAGAAACTGGATCAGCGGGACTGGCTGTGTTGCACGTAATGAAACAGCCTACCTGGAACACGATGAAGACCTCGTCAGCCTTGCCACGTCAGAGGATTTTCTAGTGACATGGCTAGAGGCACAGACAGGGAATATTCGCGTTTGCTTGAATAAGCTCCTTATCAACAGTGGGCTTAAAAGCCCTCCAGACGCTCAGTCAGGCGTTTCTCGAGACCCAAAAGTGCACATTTTCTCACCATCGTCACTGAGGCTGATGGTGAGAATATTTGTAGTACCTTTCATAACCATCCTCCTTCTCACACCAGTCATTACTTTTAGTTTTGTTAACAGCTTGTCGGCTAGGCTAATTATCGTCGTTGCCGCTACAATGATATTTGTGGTTGCTTTATCCAGCCTCACCAGAACGAGGATAGTCGAGCTAATTGTAGCTGGCGCGACGTGCGTTTCCCTCGAAAATTGAAAATTGGCGCAGCAGCTAATATACTACTAAAATTACAGGTATACTACAGTTCTTGTAGTCTTCATTTCGGGTACAGGTGGACCTGTTCATTAATGGCCAATCCAAGCCTCATTTGTTGTCAACAATAAATTAAGGGGTGTAAGGCCATCGATGCTTACTTATCTAGGTAGAGCCAACCCTTTTTATGTAAATGGCTTCGCAATTGGTAGAATCAGGATTTACATTGTGCTGAAGGCCAGTTGTCATTCTTCAATACTACGCAACAAATGCAAGGGAATGGTAATGGAGGGGGTTGCATCGCCTTTCGCCACGACGTTGACATCCAGTTATCTTTTAGAATAACAACAACTAATATTAGGTGCCTTAAGTACCTAAAGTACGTATATATTACAAGGCAATTATATACGCCTTGCTCACTATTAACCCTTGCGCCTTGTGTATTGCCCGAATAGAGACTTGAAAAAGGTCATGCTTAGAGAGAAACTTGCCTAATTCTATAGGCTCTATTAAGTGTTCACTGTTGATAGGTGATTACCGCATCTTAGTTTTGTATTTACATACAAGTCTTAAGAGTATCCCCTCAATAAGAAATAGTAATGGATCCAAGGTAATATGATGATTTCACATTATGCCTCTCCATCTGGTCGGAATAAGCCCAAACCGCGACGTGCTTCTGTGGCAAGAAACTCCGAGTGATGGTACACATTACTGGTAAATCTTCAATATTGTTTGAAGTAAACATATCATTATGTTGAAGCAAGCGTCTCAGCCTCAGAGGCAGTTTTATATGCCCCAGCCCGATGAGTGTTAGGTGCTGAGCTGGTTTGTTCTTGCTGACAGCTAGAGAAGATATGCTTAGCCACAATGATAATTATCGCCACTAATATATCCATTTATGTAAATAAAATACTTGACTATGTGCGTAGGTGTATTTAAGGAGCAGTGTAATAGCTTGAGAGTTCTGATATAATTGAGTTATATTTTCAGATATATCCATAACCCTCACTCCCAAATATTCTAGCATCACAGACAGAAACTTTCAACATGGCTGATATGGGTGTATTTAACATAGATCCAGATCTAAAGTCGTTTCTTTCTAACTTGAACGAAAATAACCTCCTTTCCTTCGCCAAAGTCCGTGAAGACTCTACGAACGACAAGCAAGTTGAATATATATATATTGTTGTCTTTTAATCTTCCAAACATCTCACTCCGAAGAACAGCTTGAGCAAGCTATTCAGAGAGCCAATGGTTGGCTCGCGGTTACACCTGCGGACCACTCAGATCATAGTCGACGATCTAGTATTCTAGACACGTTATCCAGGCAGATGCACCAGTATAAGTCCCAACAGAATATCCAAAAAGCTGCCAAAACTATACCACAGCTATATCCGTACGTAACTACCATACCCGCCTTATCAACCAAAATCAAAATGTGTGTGAGACCAATACAGTATATTGATACTACATCTATGATATTGGTTATACGATAACTTTCCCTTTCACTAATATTGTCAAAGTGGTGTTCTAGGCTTTCATCCCCGGGATATTGGCGTACAGATGCAGCCTATGGTTATGCAAGCGCTCATCATGGCACAATCTCTAACTAATCGAGCGGTACGTCTCGCCCAAAACTATACAGAGACCGGCCGTTTGGCAGACCTAGATGAAGCTATTGCAGTCATGGATCGAGTAGTAAATATCGATGATGGTCTTGTCATACCACCTATGTTAGGCAATTTTGCATCAATGCTCCTTCAACGATTCCTAGGTAGAGGATTAATCGGGGACCTAAACCGTGCTATTAGCAACCAATCGAAAGCACTAGATGCCGCGTCTCCAGAAGATCCGGAATACTTCAAGTTCTTGCTCGGACTTAATTCAATGCTTTTGCTAAAATGCAAAGAGAAATCATCGACAGAAGAGGACCTAAACCGAGCGATTGAGCTTTCATTTAAAGCAATGGCAGCGTCACCTCATGATCCTATAGATCGCAGCCTTTGTTTGAACAATCTTGGGTCATCGTTAAGCGACCGGTTTGAAAAAAGGGGATCACTCAAGGACTTAGATGATGCGATCAAATTCACGACCGAGGCGGTTGGGCTTATACCACTAGACAGACCTGATTATGCTCTTTACTCGAGCAACCTCGCACGCCTGCTTGGTCTACGGTTCGATAGGACAGGAGTTATGGAGGACAACTATCGCGCAATCAAGGCCGCAGTTAATTCGGTACAAACTACGCCTCAGATGCACGTTGATCGTCCCAGGCGTTTAAGAGTCCTCAGACAACAGCTTAACGCACAGTTCATACGAACCAGTTCAGTTGACGTACTGAATCGTATGATTGGAATTGCAACTGAAGTACTTGACCTCACACCTAGTAACCATCCGGATCGCGCCACTCGATTAAGTGATCTTGGAACCGACCTTCGTTCGCGGTTTAAGCAAACGGGGTTGATGGAAGACTTGAACCGTGCGATCGAAATTTCAGCCGAATCACTCAACGCCACACCACCAGGTCACCCTGATCGATATAAATACTTGAGCGATATGTCATCCCAACTTCATGCGCGGTTCGACCGTCTGGGTTCGATAGGAGATTTGGATCGCGCTATTGAAATTGAAACTGAGGCAGTAGACACCATGCCTCGAGACGATCGAAACCGGTTTGTTGATTTACATAACCTCGGGTCTCTACTTAGCACTCGCTATGATTACACAGGTGCACTAGAAGATCTGGATCGAGCAATCGAATTAGCAAGCCATGCATGGCGGGCAACGCCGGAAAACGTACCAAATTACTACAGAATGTCGAACGACCTTGGAATTTATCTTTCTAGACGGTTCGAGCGGACAGGGTCAATGGAAGATATAGACGATGCAGTTAACGCGCTAATGGCCACAACAAATTCTATGCCTCAAGATCACTACGAATACGCCTCGGTACTAATTTTGCAACTATACTTTCAACCCGGTTCGAGTCGAAAGGTTCGATGGAGGATTTAGATCGTGCGATCGAGTTCGCGACTAGAGCAGTAAACGCGGTGTCTCGAGACCATCCGTCCTACGCTCAATGTTTGGATAGCCTCGCGAATCGTCTATGCCGGCGGTTTAAACTCAAAGAGATGAAATTAGACCCGGCGTGTGCGATAAATCTCCCTCCGGGTTTGACTGCCATGGCCCTTTGCTTAGAAGGGAAGTCAAACAACCCAAATCGACGTTTGCGTGGGAGATGGTTTCGAACCTGGAACGAACATCTAACTTTGAACACATATCCAGCTCCGAAACATTCAAAGACTTAGATCGTGCCATTGATCTATCAGATACTGCAGTCAGGCTCATCCCTCAAGATCACCCAGACCGCGGTTTATATTTGCAAAATTATGCAACGAGACTTAGCTATCGATATGAATGGACCGAATCGCCTGACGATTTAGATCGTAAATTAGAAACGTTAGTTGAAGGTTGGCGTTGCGATTCTTCTCCTCCATCTGTTCGGATAAACTTGGCTCGTGGGGCTGCCCAAATTCTCGCGTTACGAGGAGATTGGAAAGAATCTAGCCAGTTACTCAAGGGGGCAATTTCACTACTCCCTACCATAAGCCCACGATACTTGAGTCCTGCCGATATGCAGAGCTTACTTGCCGACCTTTCTGGCTTGGCATCAACTGCTGCTGCGGTTGCCCTTAACGCCGGAGAAGAACCTCGAGAAGCTTTGCGTCTTCTTGAACTTGGCCGTGGTGTTATTTCCGGATTATTAATGGACATGAGAGGAGATATCTCCGATCTGAAGCTGAAGTATCCTAAATTGGCGGATAAGTTCACGTTACTTCGAGATGAGCTTGACTCGCCTGTCAAAAATACCGCCCCTTTCTCGCCAATGAATGATGATGTGTCATCCTGGGAATCAAAAGTAAAGCGGCGTCGCGAAGCAACGCGAGAATTCGACGAGATTGTCGAAGAAATTCGTTCCCAGCCTGAGTTTCGTAACTTTATTCAGTTACCAGATACAGAGGATCTCATGACCGCAGCGGGCTCCGGTCCTATTATCGTTGTTAACATGAGTTTCTATCGATCTGATGCATTCCTCATAAAGACTGACCGTATTGAGACAATAAAGTTACCACATCTTGCAGAACCTGAGGTTAGAAGGAAGGTCGAGAATCTAAGTCCCACCTCCGATTTAGCTTCTTTATTGGAATGGCTCTGGCAGAGTGTCTGCTGTCCATGTCTAGATGCGTTGGGTTTCAAAGGGCCCATCATTGATAACGAATGGCCTCATATTTGGTGGGTTCCAACTGGGCTCCTCAGCCAGCTACCACTACATGCGGCCGGCATCTACACAGGCACCTCCACCGACACAGTTCTTGACAGAGTAATATCTTCGTACGCATCGTCAATCAAAGCATTGGTACATAATCGGCAACAAACTCCTCAGCATGCAACCGAAGAGTCTCAAGTTGACTCTGCTATTTTAGTTGCAATGCAAAACACTCCGGGCCTTTCCGGGCATAGAAATCTCCCGTTCGCTGCCAAGGAAGTGGAGATACTAGGGGGCTCTGTCCATCGCTTCAGCTTAATGCAATCCTGCCACAGCGATCTAAAGAAGGCGTTCTAAAGCACTTGCAAAAGTGTAAGCTGTTCATTTTGCTGGTCATGGGAGCACGGATCTAAAGGACCCGTCGAATAGTTATTTACTTCTTGAAGATTGGGAGAGCAACCCTCTAACTGTAGGCAATCTCCGCGATAGTCGTTTGCAAGAAAATCCCCCTTTTCTTGCCTATCTCTCAGCTTGCTCCACTGGGTCTAATAAAGTGGCCAACTTATCTGACGAGGGTATTCATCTTGTTAGCGCTTTCCAGTTAGCTGGCTTTCGGCACGTTGTCGGGACACTCTGGGAGGTATCAGATAAACACTGCGTTGACGTAGCAAGTGTACTGTATGAAACGCTACGAGATGAAGGTATGACGGATATCGCAGTGAGCCGAGGGCTTCACTTTGCGATCAGAGCGCTTAGAGATGAAGGGATGAGGAAAGGTAAAGAGACGAGAGATGCCAAAGTACTTAACTTGGGGGCATCGGCGGCACGGGGTGCGATGGATTATTTCTGGGTTCCATACGTGCATTTTGGGGCTTAATGAGATATTTGATCAGATTGTGGCCTAGGTATTGGGTTGTGGTTTTCATTAGGGATGGATTTTCATACGGATAGGTACACGATTAATCGTTAGATATATTCACGGTTTTATTTTAAGAACAGTTAGTAGAGAGGCATTTCGAATATCTTTACCCTCGGCTTTCAGGGAACTTTAAGAGTTATTAAGATATCCCAGGCTACGTACCACAATGTATACCAAGAAGGCAGAAATAACTTTGATATTCTACAAGGAATTCTAAACCTAAGGTACCCAACCTGCCTAGACAATAGAGATACGGTGAGAAAGTGAATGCCAGTAAATACACACATCGACCAGTCCTAAGTAAAGGTACCCATTTACCTGCTAGAAGTTTACAAAATAGAGGTAGCTTAGTATAGAATACTTAAAATAAGGTACCTACCTAAGTAACCAAGGCATATTATACTGAAGCTTTTGATACCTGAAAATTGCTAACAAGTAACTCGTAAAATACCTTATACCATTATTCTTTCGAATGTGTTGCTCAGCTTTTTATATTAATATATACGATTATAAGATGTCTATGCATTAGATAACCAGTCCCTGTTCGCATTCGAATACTGCATCGTTGTTTTCTTCCAACGCATTCACAATTAATCTCCAAACACTCTTATCCCACATGAGTCCTGCATGTCCAACTTTGTCGTCGGGACAAGTATCTTGAACGATAACGTTAGTTGCCCCTTCCTCGTCGACCCTGCTGACATCCGGCGATACTAGTGTATCTGAGTTGGACATGATAACTGTTACTTTGTTCCCGGCCTGCACGATCTTGCCGGCGTTCTTGAAATCGTTGTATATTCCACCGTCAGTTGCCATGTCCTCGCAAGCTGGGCATCCGAGCACGTCTACAACCTTCTTAGCGAGAGTGCGAGTGATATTCCCACCGATGTACCACAGATCGGTAAAGCCGAAGTACTTTGCACCATGAATAGCTGGTCCCAATGCAACCACATGCTCCACAATATCCGAGATACCATCCTGTGTCATTGGTACGTAGATGGCTTGAACACCACCCTCAGAGTGACCAACAATATCGACTTTTTCCGCGCCGGTTTTATCCTTAACTTCTTTCACAAAGCTAGCGATCTCCTTCGCTGATTCCGACATTGATTTAAGTCCACCAATCCAAGGTACTAGACTCCAAGCACCGTAAGTCTGCGAGAATGTGCAGTAACCGCGCCTATTAAGCTCCCATTGAAGCATGTTGAGATCGACTTGGCGGTTTGCTGAAAGCCCGTGGAGCATGATGACGGGATTCCGGTCGCTCTTGCAGTCGAAGTTGTTTTCGGGTGCGCCATATAATTCGCTAAATCTTAGGATATCCGGCGTATCTGTATCAAAGCCAAGACCGCGCCGGCCGAGATCCCGAACATCATCATTACTAATACGGGATGCGCTCGGGAGAGCGTTCGTACCCAGCGATAAAAGAAACTGGGCTAATAAAAAGCCACTTAATTTTATAGATGGCATGGTGGATATTCAGATGTGTACAGAGTTATTCGCACACTATGGATAGTTAAGTCTACTTCAACATTCAAACAGCAATACGTTCTTATATACCTTAGGTAAGTACAATATCGTTCAAACTGCCAATGAATGGCTTTCATCCTTATTTTCTCCTTGAAATCAAACCAAAATAACAAACCGACAGTTTAGGAAATTCAACTTCCTCTCGCCTTACCGAATGTGTAAAGAGTGTCGGGATCACCCTTACCTTTTTCGCCATGCCGCAATCCTTTGCTAGGGGCCACACTTTACATATAGCAACTGCGCCACCCTATTGAGGATTTGTCTTGAACTACTTCGTAAATATATACCTAGGTAGTAGGCTCGGTATTCTCCGCAAGCCACCGTCGCCTGAAACGGATAGACCGATGGTCGTATGTGTTTCGGACGGCAATGTATGCGATTGGTTATCTCCCGAGATGTCATATTCCATTGCAACGTTAGCCGCAACTTTCCTCTAAGAAACTAGTGTATGTCTCGTTTCCTCTTATTAACCTAGAATCGGATGGCCCAACTATAAAATCTGGTTGTTGGGTCTCATTTATAGTATCATGCATCCCTTGCCTTAATCTGTTAAAGTTTGCCTCATATGGTCAGTTATTAAGGAGCTGTTGAATGATGATAGGTAAAAAGATGTTGTATTCGTAGAGATTCTAATGACTCCACTCTCCCCTCCAAAATCCCTTATCAAGTACCTAACAATGTTTACATAAGTGTCAGATTAGTCATTATCATCATGTGACCTAAGCCCCCTATTTTTCTTGTAATTGTACATAGCGCGTTCCCCCCTTTTCTGCCCCTTTTTCTATTTTATCGTCTTGGACTAAAGATCAAATCAACATAATAATTATCTCAAGATCGTAAATCCATAATCTCCTCTCCCCTTTTAAGGATTCGAGGTAGACAAGGTCTTATTTACCTATGCTTGAATTTCTAATATTATACATAGGCTTAACGGCCCTTCTGGGAGTCAATCTTGGGTCTATTAGCTACATGGGAGCTTTATCCTCCTAACTTCTTTTAACCACTCGTCTCATTAATATAACTGTTCCAACTATCTGAACTACTAATGTGCGACAAACATCTCTAATTAACTAATCTTTATTGACATTCTCACAGTGTAGCATAGCTCTTACCGCCGGCTCTTCTCTTGCCTGGACTATAGCAGTTTTCCCATGCCGTGGACCAATTTCGAGAATAAGATAGGTAGCCTTCAGGTATGAAATGTTGGTCATTTTGGGCGGGAAGAGGATGCCCTAGACACCACCACCACCACCAAGCGCCGGGTCCCCAGCAATTCCAGATCGTCAGCTTAATATAGTAAGGCGCTGCTACATACGATATTAAGATTGTCCTGTTACGTTGCTTTAACAATACACCACCCGAAAAATTAGCTTGTGGATAAGGAACCTCAGAATCCATGACGCGAGTCGGTTGGATAGCCAAAAAGCCTAGCCTTGGAAGGGTTAGATATCGCAACACGAGTGTCCTACTTGTGAGAATGTTTTTATGCATATTCGATATATAGTAGAAGGCGCTGGATATCCAACGGCAATGCGAAGAGGATCATCCATCAAGGCTACGAGAAACTTGGTCGTAGCCCGCTTGAGATAGTGTCCTGGCACTCCCCAGAGAAGGAGGTCTATGGCAGTAGCTGCCAAGCTGTGGTTTTCCGGTATGTGTCTCATTGCTTGATTTTCGTATAGCTGTTGCCAAGCAGACAGTGAGTGAAAGAAGTTTAGCCCAGAATGGGGAGAAGTGCTATCAGTGTTATTCAAATCAATGGAAACTTCGTCGAATATAGAGACCGCCTTACTCGCTTTCTCTTTCTGGGCCATATCGACAAATCAGCGTCTACCAAGTATTAAATATTATCGAGGCATTCTTTACCAAGCTCTCTATCGGCATTTTCCTTTTGCATCTTAAAAACTCGAGAAATATTCGGTTGGCGATTTGGATATTCTTAACGCTACTTGCATTATCCACATTGGTGGCTGTCTTCACCGTTCTTCTCCAATGCATACCTCTCGATTTACTCTGGACCCCGACTATTAAAGGGCGTTGCATCTCGCAAAACATGCCGCTGAGAGCCTCTTATGTGCAATGTGGCTTCACAATCTTGACGGATCTGTTTTTGACTGCTGCCCACACACAAGACTTCTCAACTGTGACGATTGCTAGTCAAGGGTACCCTTTACACGATCTCAGTGACAAGGACAAGGCCCGTATCATGTTACAACAAAGCTATATAGTTGAGTAAGTCTAGGACTACATCGCTGGAAATGGTCATCGACAGAATTCATTTTTGGGACATTACGTGGCTGGAAGTCTAGACACTGTACCTAGTTTGTATTTTAGAGATAATACATACCTAAACTACTACATGCTCCTAAAAACCTAACTTTTTAATATACGGTGATACTTACAATCTATCCGGATTATAGATGAGACATCCAGAACAAAGAACATATTCAGTATGTATAAGTAGACATAGATTCTCGTAGTTAGGTTAGAGTTTCCATGTTATTTAGGTCCACCTCATGGCATAATCTGCGGTGACTTATAATCTTTAATTTCAGTCTTATCAAGCCGCCGACGAAGCTATTCCCACCGATCCAAGCAACTTTTTCTTTTTTTCATTTTTTTTTTTTCACGGAACAAATAGCACCCTCGATCCGACAATATAGAGAGCTCGGCCTACGGTGTTTGTGATTGTTGCAGAGTCCGAATTCCAACAAAGGAACTTCCTATTCTGATCATTTCCCCGGGTTCCATGTGCCCAGTACCCCAGACGAAGCTTTATTATACTACATCTCGGGTGGCACAGTCCGCTGTGGGACCACATGCCATGCTTGCTACATGCAGCTAACTACAGCAATAATTCCACTTTGTGCTGGGTTAGTACGACTAGAGGGATTCTCTTAGCGCAGGTACATACCTATATGTTTGAACGCGGTTCCATTTATGTTGGAACGGCGTTGCGTTTATGTTAGAATGTTAGTTGCATTCACGTTAATTCATAGGTAGTTATATTATTGAACAAAGGGATCCTAATAGTAGATAGTAGAAGGGGCACAGCCTACCCCAGTAGAAGGATTTACGCTAATGTCGGCAAGCCACCTAGTAAAGCGAGTCTATTTCGACCTACATAGCTAGGTGTAACATGCGAGTGGCTTTTGATAGGATTATAAAAGCCAACGACAAACTATCAGGTTACGCAAGCTTGAAAGTTAGGAGTCTTATGACTATGTCATGAAGAGTAACAAGGAGACCAAGCTCTCCCTTTGCCCCTTACCGCATGTAGTGTAAGCTAGGCTTTGAAATAGTATCAAAATCCGCAGTTTAATATAATTTTCTCGTATCTATACATTCATCCTCCCTTACGACATCTCTAACTCATTATTGATAAAACAAAGCAAGATCGACGTTATAACAATTCTACAGCCTTTTAATATTTCAGCAATTATCTCTAACACCAATTATCATTATCCACAATATGCCGACACAAGCCTACTTTGACCAGTATCCATCATTTCCTAATGATGTACAGACTGCCTCGCTTCAGCGCGTCAGCTTCGCAAAACTGCTGAAAAATAACGCTGCCGAGGCCAACACTCTTTTCGAGGCTTGTCGAGCATGGGGATTCTTCGTTCTTGACTTCACAGGATGCGAAGAGGGTGAATCCTTCATACAGTCTGCTGCGAACATGTTTGAGCTTGATAAGGAAGTCAACTCGATCGATGTCGAGGAACTCATGAAATATGCTTACAAACCTCCATACTCCCTATTCGGGTAAGTTTATCTTATTAGGTTGCCTTATGTCATGTAGAGTGGTGCTAATATGGGCAATACAGATACAAAGAAGCTGGAAACCTCAAGATCGAGGACGGTCGACCAGACCGCGTGGAGTTCTACAATGTCGGAAGAGACGACATAATGGGAGTTTCTGCCCCACTGTCCAATCCACCTTGTATCGAAAAGAGTAGACCGGCTATCAAGAGCCACATGGAGCAGGCCCATTCGATCGTGCGCTTGATTTGTGCTACGCTTGACTCTCAGCTTCATCTCCCACCCGGCACACTCGCATCTTTGCAGCCATTAGATAAACCATCGGGGACTGCCCTGCGCTTGCTGAGATACTTACCTCAACCTACTACAGACCGTCGTACGTCTCTTCTCGGACACACGGACATCGGCTCACTCACCATCCTATTCAACATCACCGGTGGGCTGCAACTGCTATCCCCTGGCACTGATCCGACCGACGAGGCTAACTGGCGTTACGTGAAGCCTGTTCCTGGTTGTGCCATTGTCAATCTTGGCGATGCCATGGTTGAATGGAGCGCGGGCATCCTCCGAAGCAATATGCATCGCGTTACCTTCGCGCCCGGCGCCCAAGGCCAGGTACCCCGCTACAGCCACGCCTACCTAGTCAGGCCCCAGGCCGAAGCTCCCATGAAGAGACTCGCGGGAGGCGACAGTCTTATCCCCGAACTAGAACAAGGTGAAGAGGACAACACGATGAATGCGAAGGAATGGGAGGCGCATAAAGCCGTGGCTATCAGACAGGGCAAGGATAACGCGAGGAGCAGAGGTGGGAGGGAGATTAAGCTGAAGGGAGAGAAGATTGCTGCTCCTGTAGTAAGTGAGGTTGGAGCTTGAGTGAGCAAACTCAGATGTCGCTTGTTCGAAAGGTGGTGTGGTATTATCTATGGATTTATTGCTTTCATTCCTGTCTGTTTTATTACGAAAGGGGGGTTAAAAGACACTCTTTCATATGAAACTGGTAGATATTGCCCTGTCGCCATACGCAAAATCCAGGACTAGGTTGGGGCAATAGTGTCTTGGTTTTTACCTGCCTCGACTTTACACCAGTGCCACGGCTATTCTATCATTACGGAGAATATCTCCTAAGAACATGGTTCGTTGTCAAATTAAAATATTTCCTCAAGTCTAGATTCACGTAATATTACTTAAGGACCAACTATGGGATCATCTTTTGGAAATAAGCGTTTGTTACACGTTAAAATACCTACCTAGGTATCTACCTTAACCCTCATTCTTAACACTCCGCCTTCTCTAGAACTTTAAATTTTATTTGGAATAGAGATATAAATTTCTCACAATGACATATTAAGAAACTATTCAATCATATTGTAAAACTAAAAGATGAAATTGAGGCATTTTAGTTTAACGAGGGCAGAATATGTGCATGTCGTTGAGGCGTCATATCTTTGGAAATGGGTAATAAATAGGGGTAGTTATAATTTACATCGTATTACTAGAACGAAAGCCAACCTCGACTTTTATCTAAAGCTTCAATATTAAATTCTTATATTATATTCTATTAATCTTGTTCATAGGTCGCTACTTAGGTATTACGTAAAATCGCGATACTTCCCAAGTTGTCTAGAGAACGTGAGTATCTACCTCAGCAAAAGTTCATTTATATTAACAAACACAATGGCATATTAATCCTTTCTATATGGCCCGGTAATAACAACCAAACACATAAAAATGCGAATCCTCGGTATTTACTCCAAAACACCGACTATAGGCCAGCATCATGCGATTCCCCTCATACCTCCGCGCCGCTGCGCGCAAGTTCACCAATGAGCAAATCCCGGGTGCCGAGTTCAGAGCCCGAAGCATTCGGTTATTAGAAGCACTTATACCGTCAAGATGAGGAGAAAGCGATCTGCCGTATAAAGAAATTTCAACACCGATGTTTGACAGCTCTCCTTCAGAAACCAGATGCTCATCAGTAGCAATGGGCAACGATATCAGTCTAACACGGATTGCAGCATGTCACGTCTCGCCAGTCTTCCTGTCCGCCAAGGATACGACCCTTAAGGCGATATCGCTGATCCAAGAAGCCGCGGGGAATAAGGCAAATCTCGTGGTATTCCCCGAGTCGTATATCCCGGCGTTTCCCATCTGGAGCGCGCTGCGTGCCCCGACCGAGAACCACGACTTCTTCAAGCGCATGGCGACAGAGTCCATCTACGCCGACGGCGAGGAAGTAAACGCAATCCGCGCAGCAGCCAAGCAGTTCGGCGTGCTCGTCAGTCTCGGCTTCTCCGAAAAAGTCCGGTATAGCAGCGCGACTCTATTTAACTCAAACGTGCTTATCGGATCTAATGGCGAGATCCTAGTTCACCATCGGAAACTCATGCCTACGTTTTACGAAAAGCTTACCTGGGCCCCGGGCGACGGACACGGTCTCCAAGTTGCCGAGACGCAATTTGGCAAGGTTGGAGCACTGATCTGCGGGGAAAATACCAATCCCCTGGCCTTATACACGATGACGGCACAGGGTGAGCAGATCCATATCAGTACCTGGCCTGCGGTGTGGCCTACGCGGTTACCGCACGGTGTTGCACCAGACGTCCACGACGCAGAGAGAAATAAAAGCGACGCGAAAACCTCCCGTTCAAGCGTCGCTCGCGGAGCAGACTACGACAACGTCAGTGCAAATAGAACACGTGCCGCAGCGCACTGTTTCGAAGCGAAATGTTTCGGTGTGCTGTGCGCTGGTGTTCTTGGCGAAGATGCCATCGCACTATCTTCATTCGGTTCTAGCGAGCCGGAGGTAGTGGCGCAGGGACTGGAGCGTTTACCAAGAGGAGCCACGATGTTCCTAGATACGACGGGGACCCTACTTCCCGGCTTCACATTGAATCCCAAGACTTCAGAAAGGGTGGAAAGGGATTTCCTCCAGAAGGAAGAAGGAATCCTATATGCTGATGTTGACTTGGAGGACTGTATAGAGGGGAAGCAGTATCACGATCTTGCGGGTGGGTATCAAAGGTTAGATGTCTTTGAGCTTAAAGTTGATCGCAAGCGAAGACAGCCGGTTACGTTCAAATGAGTATTACAACTATATGGAGATAACCGGAATGTAAACTAACAGCTTCATCCATATATTCTCAGTTAATAGAACGAGCCAAAAAAAAAAAAAAGAGCGGGAGATCTGCTATGCACTTTTTAAACGTTGATTCATGTTGACTAGAGTCACGAGGAGGCCTTTACAGCCTCCTTTTCTGCGGCCTTGGCGGCCTTCTTCGCAGCTATCTGTTTCTCCTTTTCTAACTTCTTCAGTTGGTTTTTCGTGAGCTTACCCTCTCCATCCTGACCTTCGGGTTTTGCCTCTGCCGCTTCTACAACTGGGACAGTTCTCTGCGCTCTGGGATTACCTCCCCACTTCAATGGCCGCACAGACATGAATAACTTGACAGTCTCTTCCGTCGCCTTCGCTCTCCTTTCTTGAAATGCGGCGACGTAATCCTGGAGATACTTGATGCATATTGCTTTGAGCTGGAGTAAAAGTCAGCAACTTAATACTTATATGGAAGCAAGTATACATACTTCTCCGGTAAGTAGCTTGCCTTCCCTATAATCCTGTCTGATCTTTGCCAGTTCCTGTATTTATTAGTATCAGGAGTAAATAAGGGCGAAGGTGATAACATACTTCATCATCATCCATGAAAAACTGCAGATACTGGTATGAAACATCTATATCAGGATTTCCACCCTTCTCCCTTTGCTCTTCCGCGCTAACTTGGCCACCGGAGAAAGCATATTTGTTGATCTTATCCTTGATTTGTTTAGGAGTATCCTTCATGAAGATGGCGGAAGAATCAATGCTGGCAGACATTTTCGAGCCCGGACCCTGTAGGGCGTCGAGGAAACGGGAATGAATTAAAGAAGGCTTGGCGTACTTTAGCCTAGCAGCGCAGTCTCTAGTCAACCGGAAATAGGGGTCTTGGTCGATAGCGCAGGGAATGAGACATGGGATACTCGCAACCTTCTTTTCATCATCGCCGAATATGTGTGGGAAAGTAGTCGCGAATGCAGTAGCACCCTGTATACTGGTGAAGTGAATCTTCCCAATATTTGAGCTATGTTAATATTAGTTGATGATTGTCACGTGCGCATAAATGGAATATCTCCATGAGATAGCGGAATAATAGAAACTTGCCTTTCGTCGAAACCAAACGTGGCCTTTGCTTGGTTATAGGTAACTAGTTTGGCGAATCGAGTGACATTTCTATAAAAAGCTCCTCCCATGAATTCGTAGTCGGAGAAAATAAAGGTCTTGTTAGGGTCAAAGCCTATGGCGATGATATCCTGACAATTGGTTCGCGAGTAACCAATAACTTCCTCAACTGTTCTCTTTTCTGAGAAGAGGAACTTTTCGTCTATTTAAACCTCGTTAATTAGCCATCGCAGTCCGTTAAGACGGTATAAAAATACGAACCATCCGTAAGCATGATAACTAGGGGCACATCAAATACATCCTGTAACCACCTAGAATAACTTCGTTAGTACACTTCTCTTATACGTTATATAATTAAATTAAGTTAAAGATATATACTAACTTGCAAAAGTCGAAGATCTGTGTATGTCCGATGTGCATACTGTCGCTACTAGGACCACGACCAGTGTATAAGAAGAAAGGTTCACCCTAAAGATCATTACTTAGATATAGCCAATAAGTAATTGTCTGTCTTTCAAGCTATACCTTCTCGTAACGATCTAGTATTATACTGAGGTCGCGTTCGCTAAAGACGATTTGGCGTCGCAAAAAGCGATGAGGCTTATGCCCGGTAACTCTTTCGAATCTTTCCAGTATCTCCTTGTCGATCAACTTGGTGCCGAACTCCTCCACTAACTTCTTATAGTCGATAGCCTTGACTTTTCCATCCTCACCAACCTCACCAGCCACATTCCACGGGTCGACTGTCTGTTTTGACGGATGAGAAGCCGGAACATTAGGATCCACAACAGAAGGGACCTCTTTGGCCGGTGCCTCAAGCTCTGAAGCCATATTTTAGTGTTCGAGTCAATTCGGCAATTGTGAGTATCAGTAAAAAATCCAAGCCAGCTTATAGCCCTTCAATTAGAAAATATGACAGGAGTAATCAGCTTCTCAAGAGGTAGGAGGACAGCTAGAGGATTACGGCGTCGTAACAGCCAAGTGAGTCAAATGGAGGGGCAATCTCCGAGGTAGGTAGCTTTTTTTGGAGGGGCAGGTACCTAAGTACCGATGCATGCAGGGTTCCAACTTCCAATCCACCATGCCAAGAGAACCTTAGAAAAGGTGAGTAAAAATGGATTCGGTGAGCTGCACAGGGTGGGTCTAAGTTAAGCCACAGAACGGAGCGGAAAATCCAATCTCCCACCTCAAGCTCCAAGCCTCAAGCCTCCAGCCTCTAGCCTTAGCAATTCGATTGCTTTAGTTTCCAATTGTTCATGCATCAATACACACACAATACCTTCAAAGCGTTGCGAACCGTAGATACATAACAAATCTCGACCGCGCGCTATCGTCGTCTCCAATTACAAAGGTTCTTCAAAATCCCCTTTAATTCAAGCAAGATGACGTCGACAATCGGTATCCCCATCAAGCTTCTTAACGAAGCGCAAGGTCATATCGTGACCTTGGAGATTACCTCTGGCCAGACGTATCGCGGCAAGCTACTTGAAGGTAAACTCGCGCTTTATTTATTAATACATCTTTCGCGGAATTCCTTGAAGCTAACTTCTCTACGCGTAGCCGAGGATAACATGAACGTACAGCTCAAGGACATCACAGTCACAGCGCGCGACGGACGAGTAAGCCACTTGGATCAGGTGTATATCCGCGGCAGCCACGTGCGATTCTTTATCGTGCCCGATATGTTAAAGTATGCATCCCGAATTTTAGGAAGAAGCAATCTGGATACTAACATTTCCCGTAGGAATGCCCCTATGTTCCGAAGTCGCAACGCGAGAGGTCGTGGTGTCGGTCTAGCCAGAGGACGAGCGACAGTTAGCAGGGCGAGAGCAAGCGGACGCGGAGGACGATGAACATGTGCAGATTAGGAAGCTGGCCATTTCGATTACCACCGGCGTTTTTAAGGAGAACAGATGGGAAAAGTCTAAGACACCAATATGCCAGCCAGTTATCGAATGCTACTGGATTACGGTGGATGGTGTTGTTTACTACAGCCCTGGCAAAGAAATAGCTAGGGAATACAGGGCTAAATTTAGGGGCTTGTCCTCTTCCATTCTTAAGTAGGCAACCTGACGCTTGCTCGTTTTCAACTCCCTGCTGAACACTACATAGCCGGTGTCACCGTCTGAAGATATACCATTGCGATAGATTGAGGTGACAGATATGGGCGAGAAACGAAGATAATTACCGTCAACACTTGGCGTATGTAAATTTTCAGAGATAATGAATTCACAGGTGGCACTACTTGATTGCTGAGACATGCTTGAATATTGATCTAGGATATAGACTTATGATAGTTTTAAAAGCTTGACTTTGAGTTCTCGGGGCTGATATACATATGTGGTCAAGGGTTTTCTATGAGGTACAATACGAGGCACTGAGAACACGTATATAAGCCAGGCTCTTCCTTCTCTCGTATAAGCCCAATTAGTCAGTCAAGTCAGATATACAGCACATATACCGGTTCTTTAAACATTCTAGACATGGCGGTTGAAATAAAAAGGATTTCCAGCAATTCCTTAATCAGAAACTAGCCGTTACCCTAGCAAAGAGCTACTCTAAATAAAAGAATCCTAGAATGGAAACACTCATTACGAACGAAATCTACAGCACTCTTCACATTCAATCACCTTTGTGCAGATAAACATATTCACCTCATCACAACTCCTCAGCAAATATTTATTCATTGATTTCATTCCATTCATTCATAGCTACTATCTAGCTACACACTAATTCCTAGTGCCCGCACACGAACCGAGGTAAGATCCTTAGATCTAGTAGTCCATCGAAGGGTGGCGGCGGCTGTTGTTACTACGTAGCCCAAAATGTCAGCATTATATTCTACCAACCTCTTTGTACTCGGCGAAAAGTATCAGGCAAGACTACTTACGGGTCATACTGGTCCTGGTCACCGTACTGGCGGTCGTATAACTCCTCAGCCTGCCTCTTAGCGTGGTGTTTAGCCTTCTCGCGGTCTACAAAGTCCAGACCCTTTGTCTCGACGAGCTTGTCGACCTCGGCGCCCGCGATGCCGGCAAGGAGTTCCTTGGCGAAGGCGTGGTCGACCGGCTTGCCTGTAAGTGAGTAAACGTTAGCTGATTATTACCAGTGGATGTATTCCAAGTGCCAATTATAGCTGCTTGATGTCTTCGTGGTAGTGTACCTTCACTGCGTTGGCGGTCCTCGAAGAGCTTCATGGCCTCGAAGGAGGCGGCGCCACCGATGAACTCGTGGGACAGCTTCGACTCGTGAGGCTGGCCATCGTAGAGCTCGTCACGGGCATTCTTAGCGTCGTCTGACTGTAATTAGCTTTACAACACATAGCGACGAGCAACCCATCTTAGCACTAAACATACCAAATCCGAACATGGTTGCTGGTTTATAATGATAAAATAGTCGTTAAAATTGTTTGCTTGTTTTGATTACTCTTCAAATTAAGTTAAGTTGTCCAGCTAAGAATCAAAACTCAATGAAAGACAGATGACACATGCTTATATAGATAACCTACCTAATGGAGCAGCTTCATCATAGGCTACCTCATTACGAGCTTAAGTAGCTAGCAATGACATCTTCATGTGGACCGAGGACGCTGCTGAAACCTGATCGGCTCGACCGGCACACGCATTAGGGGCTGGAACACGTAATGAGCAGAGCAGAACAAATTAAGCATTACACCTCCGCCTTCGTTGTAACAAATACGGGGGTATGCCGGTATAACGAAAAGGCGGAGTAGCCTGTCTCTAGCCATTCCTGCGATGTGATTTGCGTATATTCCACCATGAGCAGATAATATGTCACACCTTATATCTGCATACCGCCAAGGATAGTAACCTCTCTTATTTACCTTGGAAAATAATAGCTTAGCAAGTAATAGCTCTGAATTCCAAGGTAAACGCATGTTGCTGAGTAAAGCGATGTATATCCAGGTATCCAGGTATTTTACGACCTAAGCCGAATGCTTATCCTCACCCCTCTTCTACTAATAAATAATTGTAGAGTTAACCGTAATAGACCTCGGGCTTACCTGGGTTAGGTAGCACATGTTCACTTCACCTAAACCTATTGGATGCAGGGATGAAGCCTGAAACGATTTATATATCGTAGCTAATGCAACAGTAGCTATCCGACAAGGTGAAGATTCTAAGCAACTTTGAATGTTGGCGGTAGACCCAGTTAGTATCCAACTTTCGAGGGTTGGAATCACTGGATATCCTTACTCTATCTATCGAAATGGGGCCTCGTAATCGAGCCACCATTAACATCATGCTAGTTTCGTCGTGAAGCTGTTACCCGCTGAACTTACGTATGGCCATTATGCCGTAAGAGGGGGCCTCGAGAGGGCTAGCGTCGGATACAAAGATGCTGAATTTATTTGCAACTAGGACGTACGATGTAACTTGGAAGCACATGTGTGGTTAAGAAACGACAAGGTGCTAAGCTAGGATGCCAAGCCGATACCCGGCTTGGCAAAGCTTGTTCACAACTGCTGGGTCGAGCAAACCAGGGGTTCGGACATGGGACTCTAGCTTGTTTATTGGTCCATTCTAAGATCATCAAGCTTATGAATGAGGAGACTAGAATAGATAGATCGAACCACTTTTATACCTCTTAGAAAAAATATGATAGTCTATAGGTAATAACACAACTTAAAAATTGGTATCTTTTAATGCCTTCTGTCTAGATAGATCGCTCATGACTTACGCTGCACCCCCTCCAAATTTAGCCTTGTATTCACCGTGTGCCTTCTTTTGCCTATCCCAATCCTTCTTCAACTTTTTCAATTGGCTCTTAGCAACTTCACTACCGTCCTTCGTCTTTGTAGGCAATCCTTCTGCATCCCATTCACTATACCGATCGTCGCTCTTAAACATCTCCTCCGCGCCACTTTTGCCTTTTCCCATTTTTCTTCTTCAGCTTTTTCTCTAGCAATTCTTGCCTCTTCCTTTGCACGTGCTTTCTCTGCTTCCTTGGCTGCCTTTCCTCCTCTCTGCTGCGATCAACTCAGCTGCGGGAACAAATTTAATTAATGACGGCTGATCCGGCCGATCGTCTAAGTAGACTCCAAGGTTGGTGAGATCAAAATCTCGCACCCGGTCACTTAAGGTTAGGATTGACTTCTTTACTTCTGGTGATGCTGTCGGGGCCAGACGCCGGAGCTCATCGCGTAGCTTTGCCACTGCACGTAGATATGGCAATGCCAATTGCTCTGGGTCTCTAGTTCCAGCAGGCTAAAGAATCAAACTCCGGATCCGGTGATTGTGAGAGAAGATTGGTGATAGTTTCAGAGGAAGGGAGCTTCAGAGCCCGCACGTCGGAATAGATTGTCTCATATACAGTCTTATATGGCTGCACGGCTATTTTCGGGTCTTGGTTAGTCGCCGCGGCGGCAGAAACCCAACCGAGACCTTCATAAGGAGGGCTCGCATTCGCGTCGAGACCAAGAATGCCAACTATCTTGGTAATCCACCTTGCAATTGCTTCAACTGCCGGCAGGTCCACATTAGACTTCTGGGCGTTGATATGAACGTTGACTTTTCGAATGACTTCCGCTATTGCTCGTAAGACTTGTGGCGTATCAAAAGAGTTAGTAAAGGCTTCTTCAACCTCTTTCTTGGCTTGCTCTAAATCGGCTCCTAAGCCTTCTTGGGATTTATCATCAATCGAGAGTGCCTTCACACCGCTATCCACAGTCGTTGAAGAGCCGGCTGCTTCGGCCAGAAGCGATTTTGTGTTTGTGAAAAAGTTCTAGTAGTATTAGTAGGCATATTAGTAGGCATTTGCAATCGAGGAACCAGTAGGCAGCTTACATTGACCAGGCTTTCCCAGCTGTCCGCTTGAGTTCTCATGTCCGGCGATATTTCAACGCCGTCGTTCCATCTACCGAGAAGGAATACTATACGCATTGACCGTGCTGTATATGTTGATGCTAATGCATCCTTGATTGTCTGAAAATTCTTGAGGGATTTGGACATTTTCGACCCGGAAATCGATAAGTGGCCCATGTGCAGGAAATAGTTGACCCAAGTATGCTCATGACCGTGTTCGCAGAAATACGCCTCGCTTTGGGCTAGTTCATTGTCGTGATGCGGAAATGCCAGATCGATACCACCACTATGAAGGTCCATACGCGAACCCAGAACATCGGACGCCATCACTGAGCATTCAATATGCCATCCTGGCCGTCCATTGCCCCATTTGCTTGGCCAGTACGGTTCACCTGGTTTGGACTTCTTCCACAGTGCAAAATCACCGGCACCTTTCTTCCCGCCGAGGCTCTTAGATAGGGAGCCCTCGCCTTCTTCTTGCAGTGCCTTATCATTGCGACTATCCGGTCGTAATCTCGCATACGTATTTCCCGCCTTCTCAAACGCTGTAATATCGAAGTAGACGGATCCCTCAGCTTCGTACGCATAACCCTTTTCGACAACCTTTTCAACGAACTTAGCGATTTGAGGCACATATTCGGTAACTCGCGTGACTACATCAGGGCGAAGTACGTTTAGAGCATCCATATCGTCAGTAAATTCGCCCTCCATAAACTTGGTTAGATCGGTGAAGATTGACTGATCGCTTGTATCAATGGTTTCCTTGTATAAGGAATCCAGATACGGTAGTAAGATCTCGTCGGCACCCCCGAATACCTGGTTACCACCGATAGCAATAACCGCGGTGGTCATATTGCTTATGTGCATCTTCAGTTTTGCCTCGGCGTCTCCTGGCTTGCCTTCTCCTGTTAGAGTACCCCCCTAATACATTTCCGTACGCTGCATCTCTTCGAGGAATATAATTGTTGACATCTAGCTCACCCTCGCCTTCGAGAAGCTTAGGGAGATTGCTCTTTGCATATGCTCGGAACGCAGCTTTCGCTAATTCTATGGTCTCGTCGTCTGTGTAGTTCTTTTGTTTTTCAAGGTCGAGCAAGCGTTGTCTTCGGGCTTTTATTATCTTATATATAGAGTTAGCCATGTAGTTTTATCTTTAATAACTACGTAGATAGCATTCTAGCATTCGCACCTTATCGTCTACATCTGTGAAGTTCATAACGAACTTGACGTCGAATCCAAAGTAGTGCAACAGGATACGTCGTATAATATCGGTCGAGACATAATTGCGCGCATGACCTAAATGGCTCTGATCGTAGACAGTCGGACCACAGGCATACCAGGAGATCTTTCCTTTCTCAATTGGAACAAAAGGTACTGGCCCTCCTGGTTTTAGAGAGTTATGAACTCGGATCGTGGAAGACATGGTGGGGTATGTCGCAAAACCTCTACGTGGTGAGTAATGAGTGTAGTGAGTTGCACGAGTATTAAATATATGCCGCCTTGATACTCTAAAGAAGAGGAAGTTCATCAAGACGAACATACATGAGAATAAGAGTAGAAGGGGGGGCTTGTCATAGATAAATAATAATTTGGAGTCAGCTATGCAAAAGACTATTTTTGAGTCACAGAGACAATGTCGCAATTTGGGTTGGCACCGCAGAAAAGTACATGCCACAATGCCTCAACTAAATTAAACCCTCGTATCTTCACTATACACTATGATAGTGCTATACATAAACCACTTTCCTTTAGGAAATAAGCATATTATTAACCTAGATAGGTAGTTACACATAATTAAAAACTTGGTTAACTTAATTCTTAAGCTAGATAAATATAATTCGTCTAGGATCTACCAAACAAAAATTAATTCTTTTATTTAAGGTAGGAACATTATTCTCTACTCGTGTTGATATGCAGTACATGCAGCCTTGCAGATTATCGGGATTCTAGGTTCCGCTACCCCTCTATCTCATGCCGCAAAGTAGATAACGCTATCGATTACCAAAAGTGCCCCTCTATCATTTGTTCTCTCAGCCTTACCCTGATTTTTTTTTTAGCCTCGAAACTCAACATTTATATTCAATTCTTCCTCTACTGCCCATATACGGAACCTGGACATTCTATTTTTATCAATAACGAGCTAGTTTATACTACATACTCAATACGAGTTACATTAATATGTCGGCTGTCTCTCCTTTCCTCGACCCTGGTCCTCAGACGGCATTAAATACATTAGTTCTAGCACATCTATCTCGAGATAGCATTCAGCCCATATATTTAAGAGAGGTTTCCGGTAAAACTGACGGATATGTTGAAGGGCCAGTTTTAAACACGCGATTTGGCTCATTTCCGCATTCAACTTTACTCGATAAGCCTTGGGGTTCGCAGATACGCGCCTCGGTTGTAGACACCGGCTCTAGAGGTAGAAAGCTGAAACTCGAACGTAGCGGCAGATGGTGAGGGGTTAGATAATAGTACGGAGGATGTCGTATCGAGTACAGCGGCAACCAAGGACGTCAAGACGGCACCGAGTGGTTTCATCCACATTCTGCCTCCTACCCCTGAGTTATGGACAACGAGTTTACCGATCGAACTCAAGTAGTATATACGCCTGACTACAGCTACATTCTTCACCGGATCCGTGCCCGCCCTGGTATGAAGATAATCGAGGCTGGAGCAGGGAGCGGCAGTTTTACACACGCTTCCGCCAGGGCCGTTTATAATGGCTATCCTAAAGACGCACACGATGCGAAGGGCAAAGTTTTCAGTTTCGAGTTTAACCAAGATCGATATCAGAAGATGCAAAAGGAAATTGAAGAGCATCGCTTAGATGGAATAGTTCAGATTACCCACAGAGATGTCTATAATGATGGCTTTCTTATCGATGGCGAAAGTCCCGGAGCTGAATGTATCTTCCTCGACCTTCCGGCACCTTGGAAGGCACTTCCTCATCTAGCAAGAAGTAGGCCAACACCGTCTCAACTCTCAAGTAGCGGGTTAGACAATCTTGAAGATACTGGATCTGAATGGAAATCCCCACTTCGTCCGGATCGGACTGCCTATCTTTGCACTTTCTCCCCGTGTATTGAACAGGTTACTAGGACCATTGACGTCATGCGCCGCTTAGGCTGGATGGAAATCGAAATGGTTGAAGTTGCACATAGGAGGATAAATGTCATGCGAGAGCGGATTGGGTTAAGCTTACCTGCGGGTGACCGAAACGCCAGCCAGACAGCTGCAAATGTTGCAGAGGCTATCGCCAAGTTACAGGAAGTCGAAGGTCGAATCAATAATTTTCGCGGCCAATCTCGTGACAACGATGTTGAGATGGGTGAAGATGATGAAGCAACGGCCGATAGCAATCCTATCGACAGCAATAAAATATCTATGCTAGGTAATGAAGCCGAAAGTGCTCAATCGGTTAAACCCTGGATGATAGGGAGAGTGATACATCGGACGGAACCCGAAATCAAGACGCATACCTCATATCTCGTCTTCGCACTACTGCCGCAGGAATGGACAGAAGCGCAGGAAGCGGCAGCTTTTGAAAATTGGCCATGTGGTAAGGAAAGCAAGGTTATTGGAAAATTAGATAAGGAAGCGCGGAAACAAGAGAAGCGAGAATTACTCCAGGGAAAGAAGAGGAAGAAGGATACTGATAGCAGGTCCGAAGCTGAGCGCCCTCTACCAAAGAAGAGTAAAACGCCATAGATGGAAAACTTAAAATACCTACATAAATAAAGCATATGATACCCCGGCCTATATGGTCATTAAATCAATCTGATAAGAACTTGTACTTGTCTTGATATCTGTCCTCTGATATATATAGGTAGACAAGATTTTATATGTTCTAAAGACTAAACCCTTGTAACTAACTGACAATGCTTTAAGTAACATTGAACATCATATGACTCGTGTAACATCTTGGAAATATCACGACAGCTATGGCAAAATTATATAAATCCAGTAAAAAACCCCCCCATTTCAGGCATTTAAAATAGATATAAAAATTTACCTAATTTAAGCTTGGCAATTGATGTTTTTGGGAGTAATATCGTTTCATCAGGCGGCTTGATCGACAACATGGACTAGTTTTGTTACAGGTAGGTTGCGAAGCACTATTTTAACAAAAACATTAGAAAGGGCAAGCAAGCAAGTGCTAATATTAGCATATACTTATCTAACTTTTTCTAGAATTTACTAAACCCTTGACAATACCATATTTATATAAATAACCAACGTAAACATTTAAAGCTTATTACAAATTTTATTACACTTTTTTTGACGTGTTATTTTGTATATTTATACGCCTCATATGATTAGGCTACACGTAGGTACCTACAGATTATGTATGTAGGTAGGTATTTATAATAGACGAAGATCAGAAGATCATTTATAGCCGCAAGCTAACCTTTAAACTATTATCTTGCACATTATGTTTTGGCAGCGGAATGTAGTAACACAAGTACGACGCGAAACATTTTAGGTACCATGTGCAATAATACCATACCGGCAAAATGTGGTTTTGAGATATGATATTTGGGGGGTGGAATGATTCTTATATCGGATATCTTTTCTTGTACGGGAATTAAAATCCTGATTGGATAAAATATTATTACAATATTAAAAAAATGAAAGTGTGGGTAATAAGGTTCAAAAACGGGTAATCTTTTAGCATTAGTGGACTGGCCACCCACTAAAGCTGCTAGCTTAAAAACATTTCCGCATTAGTGGGACGTATTGTAATGGGGTTAAAAGCCTAAGGTTCGAGTTTTAAGCCTTTTAGCTTTTTTGATTTTTAAAGTTTTTTGAGGTTACATAACTTAAATCCCACTTATTTCAACTAATTAAAGCTTTTAATTCCAAGGAATTATTCCTTTCTTAAAAATAATTCTTTTAAAAATAATCATTATTTTATAAAATATTATATTTCTTATTTTAACCATTATTATGGGTAATAATAATCTACGTACGGAATCTTTCCTAAAACCCATATAATGTCGTTACGGTAACCAGGCACAGTATTAGCTTTGAAATAAGCCAATAATAAGCATAGAATTGCCATTAATTATTAGGTAATGGGGCTCTTTAATGAGGCTAGCACTGTTTCATTAATGGAGTACATGGCATACCAGTAACTTTAAAAACACAGTACAAATCGACTAAAGAAACAGCACATCCATTTTCACGTAAAATGCGCCAACCGTGCACCCGACCATACATTTGATACATAAATACTTAGGTAAATATAGAAATATTTATAATACTTAATATATATTAATTTATATAACTTCTTAAATCCGGTCTAAATCACGTGCAATTAAGCTTATTATTTTTTTAATTTTTCACTTTAAATATAACATTTTTAATAAATATTTCGTTGAAATTTTGTAATTTAAATAATAATAAATAATAAATAAAATAAATAAATAAAATAAAAAAATAAAATAAAAAAATAAATAAAATAAATAAAATAAATAAAAAAATAAAATAAATAAAATAATAAAAATAAATAAAAAATAAAATAAATAAAATAAATAAAATAAATAAAATAAAATATTACGTAATATAATTAATAAAATTTAGTATTTTTATTTTTTATTAATTATTTTTAAAAAATTTATAATAATTTTTAATTTATTTAATAACGGTTTTTATTTAAATAAATATATTAAATTTATATAAATTTTATAATTTTATATATTTATATATTATTTTTATTATTTTATTTCTATTTTATTTCATTTATTTAAATAAAAATAATATTTAAAAATTATAGAAATTTCATTTGGTTACAATGCAAGTGGGGTATATGCATGGGGTTGGGTACAGTTTTAAATGGCCGTGCATGGTGGCTTGTGGTGGCTTGTAGTGGCTTTCATCACGTGCAAAGTGGATGTGCTGTTTCTTTAGTCGATCTGTACTGTGTCTTTAGAGTTACTGATGGCATACGTTTTTAACCCCTGTAATTGCCTTACTTCTTTTAAAGGAAGGATCCGCGCCTTGGTATTCAACTTCTAGAATTACACTTGCGCGTCTTTTAAACCTCTTTCATTTCAAACTCAGCATCCTCTAACCCTAGGCAATTGGGAGAGGCTAGACTTTATAACTGAGGGCCAGTTGAAGTGCCTAAAATGATATACAATTCTCAAATAAGTTAATTAAGTAAACAAGACATTGCTAATATTAGGTATCTACAGCTCTATCAACCTTAAATCATGTTGCTATCCTTGAATTCGAATATTGGAAGAGACTACAAACAGCCTATCCGCGATGGAGCTGGATTAGGCAATTTAAGCCGCGAGTCTTGTCGTATGGGAGAAGCTCAGGACATTGATAGGATGGCAGCTACAGCTGAACCGCCGCAAAGTCCAAATGAAATATGTTATTCAGGTTCTCCCAGATCCCAGATCTATATTGTTCTCCAGTAAAGACTGGAATTTTCTAAGCTATGGGACGCCAAGTTTTATCCCAGTCCTCAACCCATAAAAGCTACTCCTATCTTGGCATGTTTCGCTTCGACTGGTCCTTAACTGATGGCATCATCCCCTTAGAGTATAGGAGATTACGCGTCACACGGAGATGATCTTGGTCTATCTTGTTATGTGACACCGGCATCACCGCCGCTAATATACATCACGTCTTACCAGGTATCGTCAAACTATCAAGCTTCTTACTGGTGGTTCTAGTCGGTAAAATGTCTCCACCCAGGTCGAAGTCTAGATTTCGTTAAGTCTACGAAAATTCCATTGAATCTCATTGTGTCTTTGCTTCAGCTACACACTTGATGCTTAATATTCTCTTCTACGAGAAAAGAAAAAATAATCGTTCTCTATTCAGCCTGCCCTGGTGGGTTTTTGTTTTTGCCCTGGCGGCCTTACGATCGTTTAAAATCTAGCCTGGATTAAGATACTTACAAGTTTTATACCCACATTACCAATATAATAGTCATGTCAGAATACTCGTGTCCAGTATCTGGCTCCGTTGGAGGAAGATGTCCTGTCGGACATGCAGATTCGAGCAGAAGCAGAAGTAATAGTCGAATGGGACCTCGAGGTTGTGCCTTTTCAGGATATAGCCAACCAGTAGACCTTCATGCAGCCTTTGATGTACGTTAAGTTGTAAGCCCAAAGTCGTCGATAATCAACTAACGGAAATAGATTCCGCGGGGTGTTGATGCCGGAGAATGGCTCCGAATGAGGTACGAATTTGAGAATAGACTGACTAACTTACACCAGCTAAAAATGGCCTATATAGAGAACGCAAATCGATAAATCAGTTACTTTATACAAACATTCCGTCAGTCCAGGAAATTAACGCAGTCAAGAGTCAAGCAGAGCTCGATGCCTTCAACGTTCGAGAGCAAGATCTCCTAGCCGTAGCGTTGGGCGCGCCAGCAAGACAGGTTATGCTAAGAGCAGAGGAGATCGGCCCCAAAACTGGTTGGCTAGACGGCTATCTTAGTGCAGAGCACGGTTTCTGCCCACCGGATTACGAAGAGGCCGCCGGCGCATTAGCAAGGACTCCTGGCCGGGTGTGGGCCGATCTCTGCGAGCGTATGCCCGGTTGCGTTGCAAGAGGGCGTGTCCAAGAATCCGTTGCAGCTCTTCCCCTCGTCGAAGGAACCAAAGAGGTGATCCCGGACCAAGCGTTGTGGGCAGCTCTAGTAGCTTTAGGGAGTAAGTATGCGTTATAGTAACTTGTTACCCCTGAACACCTTGCTTTATACACCATAAAACTGGCACGGGTTTGCCATATACGCGTGGATTATGTTATATTACACATACCCCATATCTCTTCTATACTCTATGAATACTAACATTGGACTCCATAGTGATATGCTCCATATATCGTTCGAAGAAAAATATGATGGTAGTGACGGTATTACTTCTACGCGTACTAAGAAGAAGAGGCCTAATGTCCCAATGGGCGATGAGTTTGGTGAGGAGTTGGTTGGTATCCCGCGGTGCGTAGCATTACCGTATTACCAGATCTCACGACGCATGGGCCGAACTCTCCCTCATCTTACCTTCCCCGACCAGTCCTCTTACAATATCAAGATCCGAGATCCTACCTCAACGTATCCCTATGTTGCACGCACTGAAAACATAGATCTTCGCTGGCCTATGTTTGGCGAGAAGGCTGAGGTAGCTTTTCTGAAAGGTTGCGCTGACACGTCAGGTAAGCATAGCATCCTATCCATTTTCTGTTCAAATATTGATTTTCATAGCGTCCTTTCAACATGGCCCAGACGCAATTTGCTGCGTGTCAAGAGCACGTCATGAACAGGAACGTAGAAGGACTTCTTCGTGAGATGATTCGACTGAAGGAAATTCTGGAACGGATGCCCAACGCTTTTCATTCTATCAATGTTAACCCAAACTCGGGAGAGAACTATGTCCCGGTTCATCAATGGGTTCGTTGGGCCAAATTTTCTGCGCCTTTGTCTAGGAGATGTCCGGCCTCTTCAGGTCTACAATTCCCGCCCTATCTGGTCATGGATGCATTTTTAGGACGGAAGAAGTAAGTTAGACAGTCATGAGAAAAGGACTCCAGGAGTAAGATTGCTACTGGGGTAACTGGTCTCAATACTTATTCCCAACTTTCAATTTATAATGCAAAGGTACAGCTGCTGATTCTTAATAGATACACATCATTCCTTGGCGCAGAGGGCGTACATCTAAGGGCTTGGCTTCCTTCTAACCTTCGAGCATTTATTGCTGCCATTGAGTATCACTACCGCATCCCTGAATTCGTCCAACAGTCTGGCGATCCACGACTGATGGGTGTGTTGGATGGCATTATCGAGGCATACACAGGCGAACGGGGTTTCATGGGCACTCATCGTTACAAAGTCTTTGGTATTCTAGAGATTGCTGCGAAGACAGGACGTACTGAAACGAACGGTCTATCTGGTGCTGCAGATGCGTCGCGTCCATGGGAAGAGACTCACAAACAGTTTTCAGATGCTATGAAAGAACGTCTTGAACCATACCGTAAGTCACGGATATATGCAGAAAGAGAATTTCGTCCCAGAAGCTAACGATGTGTGTGATATATAGGTGGGAGTCTGCCGGTCGAGCCACATCAGATGAGAGGCACCTTCGAAGAATGCCGCTATGTGACTAGAGTCCTGAATCGATCCCATGTCGACTCCGACTCCACGCGATCAATTGCCTTGGTAACTCTGGATATTCAAGATACGGGAATCACTTTCATGGCTGGAGACCGTCTTGCAGTCATGCCCCTTAACAGCTGGGAAGAATGTGCTAAGGTTGCCGCCGCTTTAGGGTTGGAGACCCGTATTGACGATCCGGTTGATGTTGCCGGGACGTGGTCTCGATTCGAGCAGCATCTAGCATCTGTCAGAAGAACAACACCAAAGAAGCTGACTGTGGCTGATATACTTCGTCGAGGTCATCTAGCACCCATTACTAAAGAGCTCGCCCTAAAAATCCATGGCCTCGTTGCTGCCTCCTCGAACACCGTCCTTCAAGTCCTAGCCACTGACGAATGGCCCGTCCGAGGCTCGCTAGGCGATTTACTACAGGGCGCACTTATGGATACTCCACCGCAAATATGGGATAAGGCATTCAACCTGGACAACCTTTCTTGGCTAGCCGATCTCATCCCGGTCGAAGTGCCTCGTACATATTCTATAGCCAGCTATACAGACGAACTCCTTCCAAGTACTGTTGATTTGGCCATCTCGCGTGCCGAGTACAAACTTTGCTCTACATTTTCCAAGCAGGATGACATAAATCGTGCCGGCGTCTCAAGTGGCTTCTTTAACCCGCACCCCCCATCAGACGATATGGTATCTGACGATGAGATCCTTGTCGGTGTATCCCGACCTTTGGCCTTCCATCTACCTCTAGATAATATGGCCCCCTGTGCATTCTTCGCCGGTGGCAGCGGAATCGCTCCATTCCGAAGCTTCTGGCAATATCGCTTAAATACCAGTGGCTTGTCTGGAGGTAAGAATCACTTATACTTGGGTGTTCAGTCGCGCGAGAAATTTTGCTTTGAGAATGAGCTGAGAGAGTACGTGAATGCGGATTTTATGGAAGTTCATGTAGCTTTCTCGAGGGATTCCCGCGGCCTCGCTTACGACCCGCACACACACGACCTAGTTGAGAAGCATATCCCTCCTCGCTACATTGATACTCTAATCGTTGAGCAAGGAGCCCCTATATCGGATCTCGTCATGTCAAAAAAGCAGGGAGGTCTAGGCGGGTACCTCTACGTATGCGGTTCTGTTGCTGTCTTTGATTCCGTGATGAACGGAATCCGCAAAGCAATCTATACTCACTGCACAGCAACTATGGAAAATGTCGACCTTATCATCAATAAAGCCTTTGCGGAGCGACGATTCATGCTAGACGTTTTCATGACCCCTAAGCCCCTCCCTTGCAACCTACCAACAATTCCATTATCTCAACTCGCTCAACATACTGGCCATAGGCCGGGATCCCGTATGTGGATTGGAGTTCACGGGAGCGTATACGACGTCACAGACTTTTGCCCTATGCACCCAGGAGGTATACAAATGATTAAGTCCAATGCTGGCGTGGATTGTTCCAAGTCCTTTGACAATCTAGCTCATACCAATAACCCTGAAGTTTCCAGCCTCTTGACTAAGTATTTCGTCGGACACCTAACACCAAAACCCGATTACCAAGGTGGCGAGGAAGATATATCTGCTCTGTATGATCTGTGGGCAGGTTATCTACGTACTACGGTCGAAACACTAGTAGCACATCAAATCGAGATGTACGAAATTCAGGGTGCTTCATTGAAATCATCATCGGCTTACGACCCATCTGGGTCTTCCAATATCTGGCTCCGTGAAGATTTACCCAATATCATTGCTATTCGCACATTTTATGGCTACCAGAGCAGATTACTACAAGGGGGGTTTACCGCCCTATTCGGTGCTAAGTTACAAGAACTGGTACTCAAGCTCTCATTCAGTCTCGCCAACGCGGGTGGTTCCGGAGCAAATATCCAACTACCAGACGTATTAGGAGCGGTCGCACGTGCGAATACTAGTTCGGATGCTATACAGTGTACGAACGAAGTAGCACTTGTTGGCCAGTTCATCTGCGGCACCTCAGATGCCCTCCGTTTCCACGAGCGTGGTGTCTTCGCTTACGCAGCTAAAAGTGTAGAGCTAGACATAGAATTGCTTGAGGATCTCCGCCAAGAAATAGGGACTGGCATGGATGCTTTTGACAGTATTGCGAGCACATATAGCTCGTCCGACAAGATGCAGGACCCAGATTTCGACGCCAATCGTCTCACAGCTCTCTCAACCTTCCTTCTCCAGATCCTTGAGCGAATTTCACGCCGTCTAGGGATTTTCTATGCCCAACTTGCTCAGTGCTCGGTCTATAGGCCAGAGCTCGAACGCAACCCCGCCAGAACCCGATGGGCTCTCGTGCGACGGTGTATTTGGGATGGAAGTTTGTTTATCATGGCACACAAAGCCGCCGCTGATGTTCTCACAGCGGGGCAGCAATCATCATACTATGTGTCCCGTGCCAATCCCAACCAGAACGTCGATTTCGACCGCGTCATGTCTCAAGTACGAGCAACCTTAGGCTCAGCACAAATCGAATTCCAGCCAAGCATCCCGCAGCAACCTCTCACACTGAACGCCGTACACCAGGCTCGAGGGAGGAGCTCGGGAGACGCGAGCGCGGTCGCAATGCGGGATAATGCAGGTTCTTTGCTAGCTATGAATAGCTTCGTAGAGAAGAATAATAAGGCAATTCGTAGGCTCAGCAAGATGCCTCCGATGCCCATGAGCTTCGAAGAAATACAAAGGTCCGCTCTAGGACATGCTGGTCCCCATACGCCACCAGCAGACACCCCCGAAATGAACGCCATGATGGCAGGTCTCAGTGTCAAGGATCTAGCCGGTCACGCTACCAGGCTTCCAACCCCCATCTAGCCGTGGATCCAGCCGTTCTACATCCCTAGTCCGCCGCCCATCCAATAGCATGTCGTCATCAGCTGAGATGCTCCTCAGCAAGCTTAACCAATCCCGGACTCTTCACAGCCGACAGAGCGCTTCTATGGCCCATCACACGCCACACCTGCCACCCCATCATGAGCAACCACAGCACTTGCCGCACTACCCTGTAATTGGCGGCCACCCAACACCGCCCGTACCCGGACAGCCCAAGACCAACGCCCACGCGGCACTAAGCTCCGCAATGGGACAGCTAAATACACGACGCCCGCGCAGCGATGCACCAGCGTCTCTATCGAGGTCAGCGTCTCTGTCTAGGTCAATGTCTACTACAAACACGCGTGTCCGATCCACGTCAAGGTCCAGCGCGAGAAGCGTCGCAGGTCACGACCATCCTCACGGACACGTTTCCATGCAATCTATAACGTCGCTGCGCACGTTCAAGCTCAGGGGGTTGGCGGATGCGGGGGAGAGGTTTGCGCCGGCGACTTAGGGGGTTGGGATAGGTTAAGTAGGAAGGATAATGGTTAATAATGGTTGGGTATAAAGGTTAATTGGGTTAGGTATATATATAACTTGTTCGCACATGGTGTTGAGTTAATAATAAAAATTAAGAAAATTAAAGGATCGTTAGAACATTTAGATGTATGAGTAGACGAAAAGAAGAAAAAATTGAATATGCTGGTCATTACGAGATATTATTCCTTGTGCGTTGTATAATCTTCGAATTTTTTTTATTTTTTTTACATACCTACGTTCAGGACTACTTTGGCATAGAAGGGGAACCGGATATACTACTTGACACTTACTCTCTAGGTTAGGTGGTTAAAAGAAATCATGTAAGCGTAATGAGATAATGTTTCTTTTTAGGCTGGATAATTTATTAGACATGCTTTCGGTTCCTTTCTATATCTACCCTTCTAATGCTCACGTAGCGTTATAACTAGAAAACATTAAATAGACGTCTAACCTATAGAAATTCTGTGCAGCCTCAAGTTTCCCTAGAATTTGTATATATCATGACAATCATATATAAGACAAGAGGACGACAAAACCTCGTGTATTTGAATATATCGCAAAAACCTATATTATTTGGAACTTAATAGATGCTAAAAGAATATCCAATCTCAATAGCCTTTACCTTTCCGTGGCGTGTTTCAGTTCTTCGGAACTCCGTTCGTCTTCCCATTAGTCTCTCCGTTAGCCATACCTAACCTCACAAAGGCCTTTAAGGCCGCCTCATTCTGCCCCTTAACATCAAATTCGTTCGTAAAAGCCGCCATCTCACCAAAAAAAATTCTTCATCCTCGCCGGATCCTCATGCATGCCATCCTCAGCATACGCATATACCCGCCCGAACTTGCGCGCGAGATCCACAACCGCCTGGCTCCGAGGCCTTCGGACCTCGTCGAAGGCTCGAAGGCATGTCCGATCTGCTCTGGACGCTCGACGTGAGCGAGGAGGTAATCGATCACGGCCGCGTCTTCGAGAGCTTGGGCTGCGCCGTTGCCGGCGAACGGCATCGCGGTGTGCGCTGCATCGCCGAGCATAGCGATGCGGCCCCGTGCGTAGTAGGGCGCGTGGTCGTGGTCTGCTATCGTCCAGGATGAGCTTGTGTCCTTGGCTACCATCCGCACTATCTGTTGGGCCTCTTCGCTGTAGTCGGCATACAAGGCCGGATCGAGCGGTGGGGCACACCCGTCAATCTTCGAGAAGAAGGCACCACGTACAGCGACGCCGGCGCTTAGACGTGTGTTCTTATTTAATGGGATGCAGTTGATGTGGCCTCTTGGTCCGAGGATAATTGGAACATTTGTGGTCCACTTAGGATTGATCTGCTTCCTCGCCTCATCAATCGATACCATAGTCCGATAAACCTGCCACCCATCATGATTTTTAGGCAGCGTAGCGGGATGGTCTACCCCGAGAAGGTAGCTACGGGTTACACTGTGTACTCCGTCTGCCCCTAGGAGACAGTCAACCTCAACCTCGGTTCCGTCTTGGAAGGTCAGGTGAACATTAGGCTTGCTGGAGTCTTGCTCTTTAACACCGACGAGTTTCTTACCAAAGCTGATTGCTTCCTTTGGAATTAGTGCTAGAAAACCCTCCAGTAAGTCGGCTCGGCTGACTGTCTTTCTTCCCTTCGCCCTACCAAGTTCTGCTACCAGCTGGCCTTTATGTGGCCCCTGACCTAGAATTACCTCGGTTGCCATCTCCTGGTCCTCGTCGCCCATAGACAAAGCCATATCAAAGTACGCCTGTCTTACTTCAGGTCCGATAAGCGCCATGGCTTTAATAGCATTGAGATGAAGAGCTAAGCCGGCACCAATATCTTTGTAAGCCGAGACCGATTCGTAGACATGAACATCAATATGCCGTTTCTTAACCAAGCCCGCCGCGAGAGCAAGGCCGGCGATGCCGCCTCCTACAATTGCAACTTGAATTCGGTTCTTCGCCATTATTAGAATAGTGATCGAAACCGTATAATTCAGCCATGGCACGCAAATACCAAGAGGTGCTGAAATATAGCCATTTAAACTTTGTGAGATAACCTGAACGCGCAAGCCACAACGTCACTAGGTCTCTCCTGTCAGACCCAAATACAGCGATAACTCGCGAAAATCCGACATATCAAAGACATACTTAAACTGGTGTATGCCCATACCTAAGGCAGTTATTGTGTCCTGGGACTCTCAAAAAAGGAGTGGCACAATGTAGATAGGATGCCTACCTGTGATAGACACCAAAAGTTAGAGGGGATGATATCTCATAACTGGTCTAATTCCCTTTAGGTATGTTGGCCATTTACTTGGACTTGTCTAAGTCAAGAAACCTCTAGGACCGTGGATAGGTAGTACTGTGAATTATCTCGATAGTTCAAGAATATAGGAACGAACCCCTTTCTCCTAAAAAATAGACCACCTAGGTGTAGCGCATCAGAACATCCGAATTAACCCGGGTATGTAGCACTGTGTTAAGGCCCTAAGATAGGACCTTGTTGCACATAGAAATATGTTCCGCTCTGCCGGTAGGGGGTAAACCGGCATTTTCGGCTGACTTGTACGACTTCGAGGCATGTGAAAGGGCGTTTGCTAGCCTGAAGGTTTATTTGGGGAAATACGAATGTAAGCTTCGTCATGATTCTAGTGTCATACAAATAGAACCAGTGGCTTAAAATTCTTCTTCGAGAAAACGAATTCTCCAGTTTAGCTACTACGGTTGTTATGTATATGGAGCAATGCCACATGGTGGACGATGAAGCGTTTCCCAATACAAATGCATACGCCTGTCAATGATCTACGGAAATCTTATCAGATCAAAAGCCCCCTGATGATTGGGACAGGGCTGACAAGTGGATTTCTCGTCAGGCTTATGATATGTACTGTATATAGTGTATGCATGTTGTAGCTGCAGTACTCATTCGTGGCGTGACCGGCAGCCAATGCATCCGGAATTGTTGAGGCCAGGGATATTTTCATTAAGCGAGAAACGCAAATGAAAAAAAAAAAAAACGCGGAATATAGGAATTTTGATGTCAGCCTCGGCCTCGACTCGCGGTGTAAAAACAGTGGGTGAATCCAGGGGTATGGTACGATAGATGGAACGTTTCGAAACGGAGCAAAGAGCTCATGTCGTCTCACCTGAAAAGACGCTATCGATTAATTGATTACCTATGTATTAGTAGTAGTTAATGTACCAATACGTCGTAGTGTAAATCTACACGATATTGAGCCTCAATGCAAACCCAGGTCGGATGCCGGGTCCTAGGTATGACTACGGAAGACTTTTAATTTTCTCGGTACTTGGCTTCATTTCCGGGGAATTGGATATGAGGTAATTGAAAAACAAGCTTAGGTCCAAACTCCTTATCTGATCGAAACTACTTGCTTCCCCTACCTATTTCGGTAAGCCGTTTGTCTAATGTAACCTTGATCATCAAAAAAGTAAAAAAAGGTGGATTACGTTGTAAGATCCGATATCGGCGGAACACGTTGATCAGATTGATAAAGATTTTGTGTTGTGCTGTCTGTGCTGTCTGTGCTGTGGTTAGTTAGGTAGGTTGGTTAGTCGTTTGATTGATTAGATTACTGCCCGCCCGATCCCCCGATCCCCCAATCCTTCAAAGCAATGTTGTGCTCCCCATATCGCTTGTGTCGGTTATCTCACAGTAAATAGACACTGTGCTTCCAGAACCGTGTAAACGCCGGACTGTGCAACGGCCCCATTACATTAATAGATCAAAATGTCTCAGCTATATAATTATATCGTCACTGTTTGCAATTACGTCGTTTCACCGATTAATAAAGAAGCGTTAACAGTTTCCTATCTACCTACCTATACTAACCTATACACTAATTAGTAAGACTTGACAATATTTAGCTAGATTTATTAAAGCATCGATCGAAAGAAAGAAACATTGTCCAGGATTACGGGATTATATGACCACACCATAACAGGTTAGTATCGTACGAACATAGGTATGTACCTAGGTAAGTATGTATGTATGTATTTGGCACGGAAGAATGGTTCTCACTCGGCAGAGTGCGCCCGCAGGCCCCGTCGGGTTCAATTGCCAACTCCACCAAGCCTCTCAGCCGGTGTTGCACTTATTTTGGCTTGGATTGCAGCCGAGGAAGAAAACTGGGCTAGATTATGTCGAATGATGACACCGTATTCGCATATTTCGGTGTGAGAAGGCCCCGATTTTTTGGAGGAAGACAATCCGGGGTAGCGGGCAGCAGCAGATCCAGACCAATACCATTAAGCCAGATGGTCAAGTGATGAAATATTGTGCAATTCTTAACGAACCAACCAGAAAAGTGTTGCTTTAATAATTGAGCGAGAGAGCAAGACATCGTACTGCCGTAAGAAAGAAGTTGATGAGCATTGCCGCTATATCACTCCCCCTCTCCTATCATTGTTTGTCTTCGCCATCGCCATCGTAGCGCTAAGCATGTCAACCAACAAGGAGGAAAGGTTTAGATATGATTGGTAAGTAATACCCGAGGTATATACCTAAATAGGTACCTAGGTAGATTAGTGATAATAGATAATAGACAAATAAGCAATAACAAACGAAGACATAATCTGACGTGAAAATAGGAGATAGGTAGTTTAAGTAAAAAAGTAGTTATTAACTATCAATATGTAAGTAACTTACTAACTCACTAACTCACAGGGTAAAGCTTGCCGCAAATTAACAATTGTCAGATTAGTGACACCGGAGTCTGACATCAAATTACCTAAAATGTTTATCCTCCTGTGACTTCGCAAAGTACTAAAGTTAGGTACTAAGTTAGGTACACAGTATCAAAGAAACCGGCCATCTTGGCAACTTTATCAACAAGCAATCGGCAAGAGCTTACGATGACCCAGCATTTACAGCAATTACCGTCCCACCTTTAATTGCTGCAGGTGCCAATCTGACCATCTGATAGGGTTTTTCGTCTTTGCCCCTTCTTTCCCCTTGGGATCCCCCCTGTCATCATCACTTCAACAAAAATTATTGAAATATAACAGATCGACACCTTCTGAAGAAAGAAATTTACTTACTAACCCGTCTAATTCCACAAACGACCTCATTAGGTAGTGTCACGATATTATCGTACAACTCTCCTTTTCCTTACCCCTTTTCACGGTTCGATTGCGAGTCTATCCTTTTTCCTACTGTTCGCTATTCACATTGTTAATCTGGTTGATCACCAACCTTGATATAATTATAAAAACAGACGGTGCCTTTACTGTTCTTTGTGGTGCATTTAAATATCACCACACCTCTGGGAACCCCCACCTTTTATACTTACTTCGAGAGACACCCCAGAAAATATTCTCCAAAAAACGGACGTTGATAATTCCTCGGCAACACGACGCGTAAAGAGGAAAAGAAAAAAAAAAGACGGCCATCTCCAATTTCTTAACCCCTCCCCCACTAATCAATTTCCCGACAAACGACATCAAGGTAGTTAATTCTATTTGTCGTAATTTCGCCTTCTTCCTCTGGTTGTGGCCAATTTAATCGGCAGGTAGTCCTCTTAGAAACTCTTCACGGGATTGATATAATTCAGCGACCATGTCGGTTGAAGTCGAACAGCTAGTCGACTCGACGTCCGACTACGTGTCCGAGGAGGAGATTCGCGCTCCTTCTATTGCGCCGTCTCTCACATATTCTGAGGACTCTGAAGATCAAGATGAGCTACAGGCACCAGAGGAGACTCCTCGAAGACGGCGAGCTTCGACAAGACTAATTGCACAGAGTCCAGCAGACGTGCAGAGAATCACAGGCGAATCTACCCAGCAATTGCTTAATCGATGCTGTGGTGGCGGATGTTGCATGAATGCACAGATGAAAGAGCAGGGAATCGAGTACGAACGAGTCCCACTTCCCGACAATGATGCCTTTCGTTCTTTGGGCTTGAAGATTGATGAGATACCTACTGTCTTAACTAAGATTGCGGACATGCCAGAGCAGATCACTTTCCTTCAGTCCATTCGACGTGTCTCGGGCACTCCATCGCCAACCGACTCGGCCATGTCTTTCGGAAGCCCAGTCAGCTCTCCCACCATCGAGACTAAACTCCAGAACCTTAACCTCGAGAACCTCGATACTTCGATACAGCCTCCTTCTTTCGTCCAGCCACACCATCCTTTCAATGTCTTCCCTGCCAAAATTCACAGCACCCGTGAATTGACGCGACCTGGAGCTGAGAAACGCACGTATCACTTCGATCTTGACATTACCGACTATCCCCACGGAGAAGGTGTAGACTTCAAGGTCGGAGGTGCCATCGGTGTCTCTGCGCCAAACGATACGGCTGCCGTGGATCAGGTTTTCGACTTGCTTTTGGTTCCGCGTTACTTGCGGGACAAGCCCGTCCTGCTGCGCACTACTCGTGGCCGATGGCCCACTGTCTGGGGCGAGGATCAGGCTCGCGAGTTAGTTACCACCCGGCGGGATCTTCTTACGTGGTGCTCCGATATCCAATCCTATCCACCCACCAAGTCTCTTTTACGAATTCTAGCCGAGCATGCTCTCGACCCTAACGAGAAGAAGATCCTCATGTTCCTCTGCTCTAGCCAGGGACAAGGTGTCTTTTGCGACTTCCGCACTGGCCCGCACATCTCTCTTGCTCAGATTCTGAGTGCATTCCCTTCTGCAAAGCCACCTCTGGATTTGCTGTTCTCGGTGCTCCAGCAGTTGATGCCGCGGTTTTACTCCCTTTCTAATGACCCCCATGAATCCTATGGAATTCGCGATGGAAAGCAGCACCGCCTTATTGAGTTAGCCGTCACCATTCAAGAGACGCCTGACTGGCGGGCGGGCTGCCGAACCGGTGTTGGTTCTGGTTTCTTCGAACGCCAATGTCGCAAATTTTTGGAGCTCCAACGCGCAGGAGAAAGCGCTCCTCAGCATACGTCCCGATGTTCAAGGGGCTTATGGCGAACCCGTTAGCCAAGGAATTCGTGTCTGATGGTCCGATGCTCCTTATTGGGGCTGGCGTCGGCATCGCGCCATTCCGTGGCTTCGTTCAGCACCGCCTGAAGAATGCTAACTGTGCCAACAAGGTATGGGTACTTCAGGGCGTTCGAGATTCTCTCGTAGATGAACTATATGGCGGGGAGTGGGGCGTCCACGAGGATAGAGTGAAGAAGGTTGTGCAGAGCCGACGCGGCGAGAGCCGTTATGTCCAGGACGAGGTCAGCCACCAAGCAGATCTTGTATGGTCCATCATCAACTCAGTTGACGGACGCGTCTTCGTTTGCGGTAGCTCCAAGGGCATGGGCGAAGGTGTCGAGGAGGCGCTTATTAAAGTGGCCGTGAAGAAGGGCAACTTGAAGTATGATGAAGCAAAAAAATTCTGGGAGTTGAAGAGAGACGTCGGACAGTACATTACTGAGACGTGGTAATAGCAATGGCAATGACTCCATTGGGCTCTATTGGCAGACTTGAGGGAGTGAGCTTGTAATGGGGATAGGCTTATGGTCGCTCGACAGGTCCCATAAAATCCAGGGGTCTACAAAAGTCTGTTTTTGTTGTTCATAGCATGCGGTGTTATAAAATGCCTAGAGGCTGGGCGTTTGCGCAAGCTGGGCAAGACTGGGCTGGTAAGGTTCGATTTACATGGAAGGCATTTCTTTACTAGTTGGTGGCTTGGGAGTCTGCATGAGAGGATGTCAGGACCTCGGTATGTAGGTAAAAACTACAAGAAAATGCGATGCATTACACAATACGTTTTTTGCCCGTGGAAAATTAAACTGTACATAGAGTCGAACTAGGTATACACATGCCTAGGTAAATATGATTAAATCACGATACTGAGTAACTAGTAATATTCACCTTGTCATGATTCGATGTATAGCCTCATAAGAGCTTCAATGCACGGCGGGTATTAGTAAGACGCTTGATATCCGCAAATGCTTATGATACCGGAGACATTGGGCCAACTCGACGCGGGATAGGCCAGAGGCAAGGAAAATTACCCGATTCGGAAACCGGTTGTGCCTCGTGCCTCATGCCGTGTCGTGGGGTCGCTGTGCCTCCTAGCCACGCCGCGATTAGGCGTCTAGAAAGAAGCCTCCTGACATGCTAATGCATCTCGGATAAGCTCTTCAAAGTAATTAATTGCTCGGCTAAGTAATACGCGGGAATTTGTCTGCGAAGCCTTATAACCGCGTTAATTCTGCCGCAAAGGTACTCAAGTAGGCGGCAGTCTACAAGGCGTATATTAACCAGGTACTACAAAGTATGTCGTGTAAATATACGGGCCGTATTACAGAAAATACATTTGTGTTTTGGCATATTAGTGCCGAATTGTATACTTATAGGTTAGCAGCACTGCCGCGTGGATAGTACTTAGACTACAATGTTTGCGGCCGCACTCACCGCCGAGACGCCGACGGGGCTCAGCAGAAATTAAGAATATATTGCTTTAGCGACAGGACCAATGTAAAGAAATAGATATAAAACAAGCTGAGTAGTATCAAACTAAGCGCCGATAGCCAATACCTTACACAGCTTGCGATATCAAGCGAGTGCCGAACGCGCAAAGGCGGCTAATAAGGTGATAATAGTCGACTTTAGATGAAGCGCGGGGTAAAATCGCGTGAAACGTCGCCTCTTGCTGTAGCACGTTATAAGAAAAGAGCCTCACACTTTACTAAGAAAAGAACGGAAGCAGATAAATAAATAAAAGAGGGGGGAGTAGTAAGTTTTGTTATTGGAAATGGGATGGGACAAAATAAATCCGCACCATCGCCATTTTTTTTATCGAATCAAGCAACGGGGAATGACAAGAAACCGGGATGCATGGATTCAAAAATGGGCTGTGCTTGACTCGAAAAGGACTACAGGTTTGTTAGAAATGGATTTCAAATGATTTGGAAATCAAACCAAGACCAGTGAGAAAAGATTATGAATAGATGTGTAAGCAAAGATAGTTCGGGTTCGGCGTTGTATCATCAGCAGGTTAGCCCCACCCCGCAGCGCCTACCGAAACTTGACCTGTAGTTTACTGCCTATAACGCCCACTTATATGCGTTGCGCTACGCTACATCGATACATACATGTATAATGTCTACGGGTAAGTACCTAACGAATTCGTAATAAGGAATTTTTTTGACCTAGGTATGTCCGAGGTGGATACCCGTTTAGTAGATTCGTAAGAGAGTCAACTAAATAATGAACATACAACTTGAGATATAGTTACTTTTAGTTAGTTATAACATTTCTCAGTGTTATACTCGACAAGGTAAAAAGATATAACTACTTAAGTAGCGAATGTTATATATCTTAAAATATACTACCCATTAGTATACCTCATCAATCTAATATTAGTATTCTCTTAAAAACTTGATAGTTTACCACAAAAAAGCAATTAGCAATATGGAAGGTGGAAATAACCAATTGTGGTGGGGTTGATCTGACATGCTGTGTGTAATACATTAGTACCATACCTTACACCCTTGTAAGTAATGTACCTTTACCCCTCTGTCGATTTTTTTTTTTTTTACTATACGATACATAGGATTCGATTGCGTCGGCGGGGCATTCAAACACATGCTAAGAAGGTAGGGATACTTATTGGGGGCACCATAGCGTTGCTTCTGGACACTTCCTTCCTCTTTGTTCATGCAACCATTCGTCCTTTACTACCTTTACTACCTGGTAGTACATTCTATTAGTATCTATTAGTACATCATACATCAATTAGCACATTAGAGCACATTAGCACGCCTCGGACTTTCTGTTTTAGATCATTAGCATAACATATATTTACCTGAAGCACTTACCTAAAGCATATAAGTAGGGAGGTAGGGAAGCCACTCTCCTCTTATAATAAATAGACCACGATGCGCCCGCATATTGTCACCTCAGCTGTTCTATCCTTCTCTAGATTCAGCACAACCTCGGCCATCACACCTAAAACATCAAGTCTAGCCCTCAAGACTTTAGCAGCAACTTGTTCTCAGAGATCATTATTCACCTCCAGCGCATCCCAGTGCCAACCTCCTAAGTCTCAAACCAAAACCACACACACGACCTCAGCACGCTTCAGTACTACTCCTAAAATGGCTGCTCCCGTCAAGGCCGAGTCCTTCCTGGACCTCATCAAGAACCGCCGTACCTACTACGCTCTTAACAAGAGCTACCTATCTCTAAGAGTCGCATCCAGGAGATTGTCAAGCAGAACATCTTCGAGGTCCCCTCGTCTTTCAACTCCCAGTCCAACCGCGTTGTCGTCCTCTTCGGTGCCGACCACGACAAGCTATGGGATATCACTTCCGAGATCCTCAAGACCATCGTCCCCGCTGACGCCTGGGAACCACCGCTCAACGTATGAACGGATTCAAGGCTGGTGCCGGAACCGTAAGTCTCTCCCTTCTTGGTATCCCCCAATCTGTTAGCATAATAGGGGTTACTAACAACATAAACAGGTCCTATTCTTCGAGGACCAGAGGTCGTCCACAAGATGCAGGCCCAGTTCTCTCTATACAGCGACAATTCCCTATCTGGGCGCTACAGTCCGACGCCATGATCCAATTCCGCGATCTGGACGCTTTCACCGCCGAGGGTCTTGGTGCTAACCTTCAGCACTACAACCCTCTGATCGACGCCAAGGTCGCCAGCGAATGGGGCATCCCCGACAACTGGCAGCTCAATGCCCAGCTCGTCTTCGGCGGCCGCGCCGGCGAGCCCGGTCCCAAGGACCAGCTCCCTATCGAGGACCGCCTTAAGGTCTTCGGTGCTTAGACGCAAAACCAACAACCCCTTAACTACCTTATATATACCCTCAAACCTAAACGGTGTTATGTATGATGAGTTCGTAGGGGAAATACTCTTGGAAAGAAAGAACTCATAGACACGAGCTATTGTGGATAGACAGAGGAAGCGGCAGTTCGTTCGAGCCTCTGCCGCTCAAGAGTTTCTTAGACTACCTTGGAAGCGTTCAGCACCAATTAGAATAAATAAATAAGTGAAACCAACCAAAAGGAAGACCTCGTCATTGATTAATTTTGTTAAGCGATTTGGAGGTGATTCAGGCACCTAATATATTCGTAGAATAGCATGCTTGCCTTTTGAGTTGGATACCATGTAGCCTTTCTCTATGATATATACGTCATACTGATCGAAATATACACAATAAGCGCCTTTATTTATAGCAGGTACTCGAGATATTCAATAAGGATCTTGCCGGAAATTGAAGTCGAAACTAAATTAGTTGCATGAAATAGCCGGTCCCTTCAAATGGCCGGGCGTCAGCCTCAGCTCCCAAGGACGGGAGGACCCGGGGCGGGAAGACGCGGGGGGTAATGGAATTAAGTCTCTAGGTAAGTATTATGTCACACCTACACGAAATCTATTGGATACCTTTTAGGTACCTGTTTATGGTAACATCAGGTATGTCTTGAGTTGCCTTTCACACAGAGTAAGAGGGTTAAGTATTAGCCATTACCTTTAAATAGGTAGGTCAGATACCTCAAGGCTTCGAGAATGACTGAGCTTAATGTGACTTGAGGAGTACAGGCAATTATTCGAGGAATGTGCTACGAGTAATACAATGGTACTTTATAGCCATATATCTTATCCATGAGTGTCCAGATCTCATTAAATAGAGGTGTTGCTTCCCATTCTCCCTCAAAAGAAGCGGATCCCTTGAAAACTCCGCCTTGCCCCTGAGCATCAAATTCGAGTAGTAACTAAACTTATTCCTACCTCTTTAGGAAGGAAACAGCACCTGACAAACAAGCTGCTTATGTGAATACAAGAAAATTCTACTTGGGCGGGTACAGGGCCCGGCCTGAGCACATTTCCAGCCAATGGCAGACCACGGAGCTCCGTACCTGCCCCGAGCCCCTTCCTCCGGAGGTGCAAGTAGCTCCGAAATGTAGTTGAAAAATCGGGGTTGAACACGGAGCTAGTAAAGCTTCTGCTCATTCACACCTGCAAACTATGGGTTGTGCTCCGCTGTTAATGCTCGTGATGGAAGTCCCCTGAGGGGGAAACTCCTCTTGGAAATAATATAAACAAGGCCAGTTCCTTGACTTCTGTCACTTTCTTTCTGCTCGCACTCACTATCAGACAAGAAGAGAGTTTACTGTCTATCTTCTTCCTTGGGACCAGACCAAGGTAAAGGCAAAGTCAGATAGCTAGTCATCCTTCCTAAGGCCTATCTCAAAGACATACCCATATACCCCTTTCTTTCAAGAACTTCCATTATTATAACCTCCAAGATGTCATCGATACATCGATCCAACCAACCCGGCGTTGACTCCTCCCCCTATACTTTTAGGAACCCCAGCTACAACCCAGTCAGCTCGAGTTCCGGATCCGAATCCGACACCTCGGACAACAACGAACCAAGCTCCGCCCTCAACATCCCCGGAGTCCCGACCCGCCGGAGCGAGCGCGCCCAAGCGCAGGAATGCAAAGCCCTAGTCGACAAGCTGCTCCTGGACCTGCGTGCCCTCCCGCCCAACACCCTATCCCCCATCTGCTACGACTTCCCGGAGCCCGTGTACTCGTTCCCGTGCCCGCGCCGGGATTACATGATCACTCTGTTCATGCAGGCGCGGATCTATGGCTCCGACAGCCTGGACCCACACGACGGCGAGTTCTGGGACTCGCTCAAGGTGGTAGCAGGCGAGGGCGTCTCGGACGAGATGGAGGATCTGCCTTGCCGCCGGTTCGCGGTTCGATTCGTGCGCTTGCGCGTGCTGCATCCGGGCCTGGAGAACGCGGTGGGCGATGTGGAGTATTGGACTACGTAGAGGACGGGAGGAGGCGTGAGCGATAAAATGAGAGACGGGGATAAAGAAAAAGGTTAGTAGTGCTATACTTACACACTCACCACCACGGGATACTAACCACGGCTCTTACCCATCTACATAGAAAGACTTATATAAAAAGGAAAAAATCAGAGAAAAAAAAAACCCCCCAAAGTTCGCGAGTACAACCAATAACCGCTCTCATATCACCCTCCAATATCCAGCACTACACCATCCCACAGCACAGTCGGCAGTTTATTTCCTTGCTTTCACCTAGAGTAGCCAGTCAGTCAATGAGTTATTTATTAGTCTACTTACGCCCATAGCAAGAGACAGAAGCTACATGTCTCTGCTAGGTAGATAGCTCCTAAGGCACCTAGGAACTGATATTGAAAATCTTACCTTACGCATAAGCTCCTTATTACCCACCTATGCAATTCCTCCGTGCCTGATTTTTTATTCGCTTTTATATACCAATACACCCTAAGTAAAGCCACCTAAAAGTCATTAGAAATTAGGTACTTAACCTTGATTTAGTTTAAGCCCCCCTCAAGGGTTACTTATATGTTAGCATATTATTACCACAAAATAGCGCCGTAGTTTCTTTGCTATATTATTGTATTTGTGTTAACCGTAAGCCTTGGTATCTGATCAGGAGAAGGGGCGAACGTATGCACATAAGCTAGAGAACACTCTACCAAGACGTAGGAGTAGAAATCCGCAACCGTTAATTTTGATGTTCGCTCGTTATATACGCTACCCATTCGCCTCGTTTCGTATAATACACGTACTATCCGAACACTGTAGCCTGCCTACCGACCATATCTATCGTCGCACCAAAACGCCCTGTGCATCCCTTTTCTTTTTCTTACGCCGATGTAGAGTCATCGCCATCGCTACGTCGTAGAATACCGTCCCGATCCAAAGTAGTCCAAAATCGTGAATTGGTGGACATCCAAGCTCTCCGTCGTGCGAAGAGCGGGTAGAATGAAATAGCATCACGTCGTGAAGTAAAACTTGAAATTTCGAAATCCTCCCTGATTTATGTACTCAGCTCTGATCCTTAGGTGATATGACACTGCCTCCATCAACGATGATTTGTTCATCGACACGAGTTACGGTATCGCCATATTCAAGTCTCTTGTAAGTTGTGATTCGGGCTTCGTTCATGTCGATGTCGAAGAAACGTACCCGGCGGACGAAGTCGCCATAACCGCCATAACCTCCAAATCCAGCACCGCCACCATAACACATCCACAACTCGGGCTTCTTTGTCTCTTTATCGGATGATAGCATGCAATACTCATTTGCATGGTCGCTAAAGGATTAAACGTTAGTCAGCAGTAGAAAAAAAAGGGGTATAAGGAATACATACTGTCCACAACTAACCATGACGACACCTTGCTCAACCAAGGCGTCGCGGAATCCGGAGTTGAATTTGGGGGCCGTGACACCTTCCCTCAATTCGCCTACGTACTGCGATTCCTGATCCCTGTATTCCGGAAGAGGAATGTGGATAAAGGCGATATCCATGTGGATATGAGTATACTCCTTATGCTTCTTCTTCAGGCTTTCCGAAGTTTGTCTAAACCAATCGATTTGGTTCTTTTTGATCCAGTCGTAGCCGCTCCATTGCCGCTCATCTGGAGAATATGAGTGGGAATCAAGCAAGTATACCGTAAGAGCGGAATGCTTTGAGCTCCCTTGGGCAAGGACCTCGATAAAATAATTACCAACCCCGTCAATATCGTCTGGCCCGGCGACAGACAACGAGTACGGTAATTGTTCAATCAGCGCCATCTGCCCAGCTCTAGGTAGCGACCCTTCATCGTCATGGTTACCGAATATAGATACGTAAGGGATCTTGCGCTTAATGAGCAATTGCGCATATTTGAAGATAGCCGATTGCGCATCGGGGGCGGTATCGCCATTCACCTGGTCACCGCTAAGGACAACCAGATCAGGCTTTTCTTCGTCCAGCAACTTGGATACAAAATCTAGAGTCCGCAGATCTGCTAGACAGGGTCCACCTTCATACTCGTCCGGAACCGCATCTCTGCAATGACCAACGCCCGTGCTCAAATGAAGATCTGCTAGCTGCATTATCTTGAACTTTCCATTGTCCCTCACTCGTGGTTGGGGCTTAATAGGCTCAACCTGAGTTCCCTGTCGGACGGTGATATGGGCACTCGGTATATCTGACCCAACGTCAAGTAGCAAGGGCGTATTCTGGAACTGCCACCCGTCTCGAACCTCGACAGCGTCGTCACCGAAGAGAACATCTATCGCCGTAACAGCTGTCTTAGAATCACTCGCCGTCGGTTTGGATGACCGTAGTACCCATAGGCCTGCTGGACGAGACTCCCACTTTTCACCCGTCTGCCCCTTGGCTCCGGTCGAAGGGTCTAGTCGACCCACTGTGACACCTATGACCACCTTGTCTTCCGGTTTCAGCTCCTCCTCTTTCTTTCTCTGGACATGGATGTAGGCCTTGGAGACCCATGATTTGTCTAAATAGAGGTTCTTTTCGACCCGATGCCATGATTCAGGGTCAAGCTTGCAGGAGGAAAACAGGTTAACTTTGGAACATTGTGTAATTGTTTATCGGTGACGACTTGGCCATGATGGTGCTGAGGCATGTACTCATGGACGGAATTAGGTAGAAGTCGGAAATTTCGATCTAAGAGGAAAATGACGAGGAATGCGAATACGGCGGCAGCGGCAAGCTGGGTTATGGTGCGCACCTAGTCAAAACCGGTATTGTTAGTTCTTCTAGACATGCGGTGAGCAATTCATTTATGTAGAGGCAACTTACTATCCGTCGCGTCATGATGTTTGATATGGATAAGGTCGGTTAGACTCAGGTAGATACGGTGTGTTAGCACAGTAGCGATGTCGTAGTGATGTACGCCAGGGGCCAATCATCTTCAGCTGTACGCATCTAGATAATATTATTCAGACCTTCAACTTTGAAAAGTCGTCGGTAAGAAAGATTGAAGAATATACTGAGCAGTATAATGTTTAATGCTCTGTCATTTCATGTACTAATATGTGGTTAATATGTAGTGAATATGTGATGTTAAAAAAGAAAGTTGTTTAAGCAACCCAAGGTTGTACGTACATAATGTCCACTATGTACCTAAGGAGGTAGGTAAGTATGTACCTAGGATGTAGTTATGTAAAGCTAAAAAGCTACGACAACTTGGAAGGAGAGAAATTCAGACCCCGGTCCAAGTATTCCCGATAATCTGGGGAATCGCGACCAATTCATGCCAAGATGTGTCTATCCTTTCCCGGATCTAGCCTCTAGTACCTTGATTAAATGTATAATCTTGCATTAAATGCTTACTATATATACTTGATATCAAAGTACCAAACGGCCACATGCACCTCCCTCCCCCCCTTCCCCCCCTATGCATGATACATATGTTTTCAGCAAACGTTGGAGCTAAGGCCATTCATATGACATCTCACCACATCTTCCCCGAATCAAGAGCACTCACTACTTCCATGTGAATATTTAATATCAGATAGAAGAATCTAGACCTTAAAGTTTACCAATACCTAAGCATCTGTCTACTACCTATGTTGTATACAAGTCTGCATGTACCTTAACGCGATAGGCAGGTAAGTGAATAGACAAAGGTAGAGTAAGCAGTTAATACTCATATTATTACATACCTCATGTAGTATACTAGACGAATAAAGAGGATTGAGTAAGCATCGGGTGTAAATACCTCTTCGCTATAACCAATCGGAGTCCTTCCGACCTATCTAGGTTACAGCTTATACAAGTTGAATCTATAAAAACCACGACCATGATGTATTCCACAGCCTACCTTAGTCCAAGGCTCAGATATGTATGTATTATCGGATTAAATTAATCAAACTTATTTACACGGGAACGGGTACGATGCACTTTTATTATTATTATTTTTTTTTAGACAAGCCTCGCCGATGTCAATATCAAGTACGTAGAAGACTGATGAAAGGAATCACGAGAAACAAAAAAAAAAAAAACAATATCAGCCATATTTCCCCATATTCTATTTGCTAAGTACTATCTATTCAGACGGTAGCATCCCCTCGAGAGCAAGCAATAACGACGAATCTCGCACAGCTTCTCATCTATTACAACCCTATCGTGACCAACACTAACTAAGCATTACCCTCGTAATGCCCCTATCCCCCCACCCGCCAAATATTTTCCTACCATCTAATAGTTCTCGCGCTTCGTATTACCGTCAAGCATTAATAACTCATCGGTAATATCCCACAGTTGTGCTGTCCTGTTGGCATGGGCATTCATCCGTGCACCTTGATTTCGTGCCCTCCTGCTCCAAAGCCCGCCGTTCTTAATGCAATTTCATCGTTAATTTCCGGGCCAGCTTGCTTCTTCATATTGGCGTATTCGTTCTTCAATCCCCTCCCGCTCTTCAGTCACTTCCAAGTAGCATGGGTTGCACCATTCTTTCCGTTCATCACCGCGTTGACTTGGCCCATCAACTTGTCCTCCACCGAGTATATCACCCTCAGTGTCTTCGATACTAACAGTCTCGCGAAGCCCTCGAACACGCGCTGTAAATTGCTTAAAGACAGCGACTCGCTTCTCCGCTGCTTCTGCTCTTTCTCTCCACATTTTGGACTCGCGTCTTGCCGCCCTAAGCTGCTCGCACAGCTTACCGATATCCATGTTCTCTCGGGCTTCTAACTGCCGCCGTAGCTGAGTGTTTTCTTCCGCTCGGTGTTCTAGATGCTTCTGTAGGTGGCGAATCTGGGCATGAAGCATCGAATTACCACTTCCAGGCCGGGGGCTCTCCGCTGATGCTCTACCATAGCTCTCATCACACGATGGGGGAGAGGATGGATATGGCCGAGTAAAATTGATGTGTTGAGCAATCGGAGGCTCCTCAAGGGGAGGAACCATAGTTCCTAAGCTCGGTGGCTGATTAAGCTCTCGATCGCGCGTAGGAACTTGCCGAGTCGTGGAATTCAGTGATCCCTTTTTCGAAGTGGCCAATGTATTATCAATAGGACGTAACGAAACGCTAGGAAATTTAGTTGACGCATTCTCAATACGTGCACCCGAAAAACCTATGCCATAAATGCCGTCATCTATTGATAACCTTGACTCTTTGCTTCGCGTTGGTGTCTCCGGTGTTGAAATTTTCCTTTAGAGCCATCAAAGGTATTTGACGGCGTGCTAGTTTTTGAGAGACCCAGCTGTTTTCGACGGCGAGTTGCTTATAGAATACGGAGATAACACGCTGCTAGAGTCACACCCGATCTTTCTGGGGAGTATAGTTGCCGTGCTAATAGGAGAATTATTGATAGTATTGTCAAATATGCAGCTATAGCCTTCACTGCACCTTGTATTGGTTTGGAGCTTGAACGATATAAAATAGCCTACTTCCTCCCGAAAACACTTCCGCCTGGCGATAACCCGGGTTTGTGTAAAGCTGACTCTCTTAAGGGCTCAGATTGAGGACATTTCTCGAATACGCTCTTTTTCTCGGGCGAAAGCTTAGCTGGTTTCCGTCTTCCTTCACTCCGCGTGTCCATCAGTTGTTGTTTCCATTCTGGGTGGATGGTATTTCGTTTCGTTGGATCGACAATTCCTCGCTCTGTCGAAAGTTACTATTGCCTGGACTACGCCTTAAGCGTCTTTCCTTTGCAGCTCTTGCTAGAGACTCCGTGCTGGTCTTACTGGCTAGACTTAAAGCTTTCCACTTTTCAGAATAGTCAACATTCCGCGCCGGGGTATAGATATAATTTCCAGCGTAACTGCTATGGTACTCTTCGGTTGAAAGGGACGATCTGATTGGGGTTATTGTTTTCTTTGACGGCGATTTCTTAAGTATGCCAGGCTCTTTAGCTCTTGGTGTGGCATAACCTTGTCGTGGCGAATATCCCTCATTGTTGCCAATTTCGACGATGGATGACTTGACGCTATGAAAGGTTAACTCACTTCCGGACAGTATATGACTGAGCTTCTGTTGTGGAGAATCGAAGGATCCTCGTGCACATCAATACGAAATGGCCGCTCCCTGGCCCGGCCTCTAGTCTCGCCTTCACCGCCACCTGACACTCTGTCCAAACTTTGATTTTCCAATACGCTCCCAAGACTATCACTGGGCGAAGTTCGCGCAGCAGACGATATTGCTGGGTGAGACGTTTGACCTACACTTGCTTCATCACTTACTACATATTGGCTAGCTGATGGACTTTCTTCAGCTGTGGGCGAGAGACAACTTTCTGAAATCCTGCTTTGGGTTTTATATGAAGTGCAAGAACTAGACGGTCGTGATCGCTGTCTTATGGTAGATATGGGCTCAGGTTCACCCACTGTTGTATCTCGTGGCTTGACTAAGCTGGTCTCTGTTTCTGATAATTAGCACATGACGCCGTGAATCGCTAGCACACCTGCTTACTAGGTAATGGAGTTGGACTTCTTGTCAAAGAAGAAATGTTTCTGTCTTTCTGTTTATACAATGGTGTAGGGCTATTCCATTTAGGTGGCCTTCTTAATGGGAATGAGTCTGAGGCTGAAGAACCTAACTTGGCCCTGTTCGTCCTATGTTGGGCGATGTGCTCATGTCTGCTGATCTTCAGGGTGCCCAGGCTCCGCATTTGCTGAACCACCTCCCTCCAATGTACTATTAACATCTCCGTGATATTATTAGCGACATATATCTTGTCTACTGTGTAGAGAGAGGCTGAATCTTCAGCACGAGATTTAGATTTCCTGTGCTTGTGCCTCTCTTTTCGGGACTTCGGAGCAGACACCGGAAGCAGTATTAGTCCAGCTGCAGGGTCTGCCAATTTCATGCTGTAAGAGTCGATCAGATCATTGATCAAGAGAGGACCAAATACTATGCTTAAAGCATTATATCCCATTAAGTCAGCTGTCGGAAGCGGTCTCCCGTCTTCATCTTCTCTCGGGGCATTTTCAGCAGCTCGGCCGACGAAACATAATAAGCCAAATACTGCACATATTAGCTCCCTTTGATACTGTGATCTCACGGTACCAATGGCGAGTGCAATCAACCGTGCGCGAAGCTTGGTTTCCCTAGTCTTAGTGAGCTCGGGATCAGCATGCAATTGGCTATGAATTGCAACGAAGGCGTCGAAAAGGGACAAGGAACCCAGAATGCCACCGGGTAGTCCAGCAATAAATTTTTTGAAAGCAGAGGCAATATCATGAGCACTACATTTGATATGTATAGGAAGATTCGGGCATCGAGTCGTAATTGAGATAGCATTTGCGTCCCTTGCGTCCCTATCAGGGCAGTAGTAGTCATAGAGTATGCTCACAACTCGAGCAGAACCTGGTACCCGAAAAATCCCTCTTGTATCAGCTATGGTGAGTATGTATTAGCTGAAGGACTTATATCAAGTATTGCAAACCTCCTACCGTGTTGTACAAGAGCTTGCGCGAGCGCACGGAAGCACGTAGGTAATACCAAAGAGCACGGGGCATATTCGGTGGGTAAGTAGAATATACTCTTCCCACACAATCGTACTAAATCCTGAAGATTTTCGCCCTTCAATTCGTCCTTTTTCATGTGGTGTACAAGATTCAGAGCAACATCGCTGACACTTCGTCGATGCCTTAGCTGTCGTGGCTCTGACCGGATGATTACGGTCTGTGTTGATTGACCAGATGATGTACGCCGTAGGGCTTTGGAAAGCCAACTTGGTCTCCGGTTTGGAACGGACTTATTGCCGTCAGTATAATTGGTCTTGTTGCAATACGTTCAACCTCACTTACAGCGTCTACCGGGAAGTCTCCAGTCACGAGTAGCCGAATACCGTACTATAATCTCTCAGTCAGCATCCGTCGAAATATGAGCACTGAACAGAATGCACCACCCTCTTTGCGAGTCGATTATATTCGTCGACGAACTCCTCCCTGCCATCTGCCTCCTCACTTTCAGAGAGAAGTCCGGGTTCGCCGCTAGAAGACGTCCAAGTGTTAGTTTTGCGGTCGTAATGAGTATTTAAGGCGCCGAGTGATCGCGATGTAGTTAGCGTTGGGCATGGCTTAATAAATGTCGACTGCGAGAGCGGACGTCTTCGTTGGTAAGGAAAAGGATAAGAAGACGTAGAACAGTTAGTGAGTGCAGGCTCTTTTCCTTTAATAGGAATTGAAGCCGCAGCTGTATCACCATGGTAAGACTGCATCTGATCTATTGGATAATGGGTAAAATCTTGATACCTATAGAAGACAAGGAATATATTGAATAGGGGAATTGTATATGTAGTTTAGCAATAGGAAAGAAATCAATAAAACTGGTTGGTATATCCGGAACTCAGAGCCTCCACAGGTAGGAGGTACATCTATCCTTCCAGGTTTTAATTAGGAGACATTAGAGGAAGCGACTTTGAACTTATAACAAGCGAGGGTGCCTTCTTTAGTAAGATAAGTAGTAACCCCTAGTGATGAATACATAGGTCCCTTAGGTAAATAAGGTACTCACGTAACATACCATCATATAGGTAGGAATTATGCATAGTGAGGCGATTGTAAAATAACAAACATATACATCCTCTATATATAGGTTAGCTAAGGCGGCCGACCAAATAAATGGTTATATCATAAACCTAGCCTTTGAATACTAAAAATCTAGTTTACTCTTAAGACGTGTCATACTCATAGTAGGTAGTAAATCCGGACATCTTCGTCTTCTACCAAACCGTGCCCCCAAATCTGGACCTTATAATCCCCCCTTAACCCAAGGCAGTCGTACTCGATTAGATAGATAGATCAGCGTGAGGATATGGAGATAATGAAAACCTATGCGGGCTCAAAAGGACTGATCCTTATAAACCACTTTAGTCTTTCGAACGCCAGACTCCTCTGTAATGCCTACCAATAACACACTATGACTCCATGATCCTCATATTCCGCCGTTTCCGTTTCCAGTTTCCAAGGTATCGCACCGTCATTACAAAAAGCGTCGAGTTATCATCGACTTGTTACGCGGCGGTGGGAAATATTCGCCCTCATCGCTAGTAACGCCAGTAAATAAAACGTACTTAAGGATGTCGGACAGCGAGATAATGCCCTTCAAATGCCAATTGTCATCAATGACTACTAGCCTATGGACTCGAGACTGGCGTAGCGTAACGAATATCGAATCAAGCCTGTCATCCTCTTGGCAAGTATAGATACCTTGGAAATCTTCCGGTCTCTTTGTCAACGCTTCTCCTACTGTTGATTTTAACTCGTCATATGCGCCTCCTTTGATACAAGGTATAACATCGACGGCCTCGAACACGTTGAGTACAACGTTGTTTTTATCAATAATAGGCACAGCAGATATGTTATGCACCACCATCAAATTGATCACCTCCAGGACCGAGTCCGTCATCTTAGCCGTCGCGAGATTGCTATATGTTCCTAGCCCGATCTCTCGTACCGTCTGCTTGAGAAGCATAGTATGCTGTTCCGTGTTGACGGCGATAAACTTGAGTATTCGGTACTGCGTAATCACGCTCACTACCGTCTCCCTCTCGGTTTCGTGGTCGATATCGACGAGAGGAATACGACGAGCGCGGCTCTTAAGCATACGACTGCATGCTTCGTAGAGTGGCTTCGACGGATGGACGGACACCGTCTCTAGCGGAAGCACGCCAATTGCTTTTTCGATGTCTTTAAGTAGCTGAAGCGTCAGCTATAACCAATTCAATCCACGTGCCCCCGCACATTCGTAATTCGGGTGCAACGTACCGCGGAGGCTGCTCAATCTAAACTTCTCTACATCATCGATATGTTCAGGGAATTGGCAGTAATATTGTATCAGATTTATATAATCGGTTGCGGTAAGTAGACCGGCGAATCTGGACTGCTGCGAATCCCAAAGAGGCGCGGACACGATTCCTAATAGCTCACGTTAGGGGCTGTTCGGACCGTCGCGGGATATACATGCGTGTATTTGAAGTACCATTCTGGATCAAAATATCCAAGCTCTTTTTGATTAGTAGGTCATTGTCGAGTACGATGAGGCGGAAAGATAACGGGAGCACGTCGTAGCTAGTTCTAACTCGAAGAAAGTTGCGCAAGCCTTTCTATAAGAACAGAAAGTTAGCGGTAAGTCACCGAGACGCAAGGTCCGAGAATCGGATTCGGGTAGAGACAAGGGGATTTAACACCTAGGGAGTTTATATGCTAACGACTTACTAGGCCTTGCAACTGTTCTTCATCAATGGGACTCATTGGCGTCGTGGGAACAGGCGTTGTACGACTCCGAAGTTTGGGTCTGAGATACGATGATGGCCGCACAAATGGAAGCTCGTGACCTTGAGGTAGCGACGGTATGTAGGAGGGCAAGTCCGACGACATGGCGGGGGCTGGAGTGTTTGGCGCACGCTGTGGCTCGTCGGCTGGTGCATTGTTAGACTCACGGCTCGAAGGGTCATCCATTATCTCTAATTTTCCCCCCTTATCCTTCTTCTTGGGGGTCGTTGGGGTTTAAGCCAGGTCAGGCGGAAGCTATTGGTGGGACACCCGTCTTCCCGGGAGGTGTGCAACTGAAAGTTTGCTGTAGGTGTGAGCTTGGGAAAAGGTTCGGTGTAGGAGGCGCTTCTTTGCTGGGGGAGAAGAGGGGGAGGGGGTGGGGAGAGTAAAAAAAAGGGTTTCTGTTATCGGGTAGGGCTGTTCGACGATTGGAGAAATACTAGCTCTAGACTGAAAGCAGCTTGAGAGTTGCTAACTAAGACAAGAGATGAAGACATGGGACATGGATATGGGAAAAAATTGAAAATAGGTGATGATGGTGAGGTTTAACGGCGATAAGAACAAAGGTTGTTGATAATGGATAATAATAGTTAGTGAGGTCAGACATAAATAGCCTCAGTAGTTTCTCTTATTAAATGGTCCAGACCGGGCCACAACTGAACGGGCAATTGGTACTGGTTATCACTGATTGATAATCTATCTTACTTATACAGATACGTACTTACCTAACTCGACCTTTAAAAAATGAATGTGTGGATTGAGGTTCAAATTGATGGGGATTTAAATGGAAGGTACATTGATACTCGGAGATCTGATGAGACTAGTGCATTTAATATAGGAGGGCGACTGCAGCTTTGGGTGGTGCTAGTGCTGCCGATAAGCGCGGCTACATATGGGGGGTGTACCAGCTGTATGTAGGCCTATAAGGATGCTTAATTTTTTATTTCATTTTGTGAATCAATTCGGAATCCTTGTTTCGTGTTGGTCAACATACTTTTTTAGTAAACTTGACCTACCCACCATATCTTAGGTATGTAATTATATAATTAGATCTATTATTATTAAACTACTTACATATATGCAAGACAAAGTTGGGGTAATATATCACATAGGTGTGAAAGTTATTACATTAGTAACTACCTACGTAAATAAATGGTTGAAGTGAGATTTTAAAATCTGGGCCGGCTTAAAGATATAGACTTGGATGGAGATTGGATAGGCAATTGGTTGCTTCTCTTTCGACTTCAACGGAGCAATAATAAGACAGGATCACCTACTTACGAACTACCATACATGGTAGCAGTGTAACAGACTGCATGCATATGCTAGGAGGTATAAAGCCGAGACCCTCCCCTCCTATATCATGCTAACCTCTAGACTGCCGGAAGAAAACATATTCGGCATCTTTAAATCGAGTCGTAGGAAGAAGATAAACAATCAAGTGACCTATCATATCGTATTAAAGATGTGATGTAACACTGAGGAGACACAAGGGGTATCATCTAAGAAGATGTCTCTGCTTGATCGAGGACTAGGGAATATTATTCAATCAAGCTAGGCAGAAGAATGCAAAGATAGATAGCTGCTCGTCTAATCGCAACCATCAGCCTGGGGCATAACACCGCAGGTAAAGGCAACATATAGAGTGATAGGAATGTCTTATTCTTGTCTGGCCTACCACATCCACTTAGTATTGGTGGGGAATAAGAATCTACATAGAAAAATATTGGAGGCAAAGGTTGTCGTCATCCAGTAGTACGACTGATGAGAATGACATATTATTGTGGTAGGGACAGCAGCTACATAGAGGTGTTGAATTAATCAGATAAAATTATGGAAACTTTTGCGAGCACTTGAATCTTTATCATTCTAGTCTTGGCTTCTCAAAGGGGTAGGATCTCATGATTCATTTTAAGCAATGCCAGTAGCCATAAGTAGAAGTATCCCACTATCCTGCAGACTCAAGGGGTGATTGGCTGCTTAGGATTGGGAATAGCTTCAATTCGACAAGATATTGCAATTTCATGACAAAGATTTGCCTGATCTTAGTTACTATCAGACGGAAAGATGCATAATGGATGGATGGAACGTCATATCTTTGAGACAGAAGGTGGATACTATCTTTCACAAGCTAATTTAGCGAGCTACGGAGGCAACAACTTGTGCTATTTGAACTATTAAGGTCGTGCTAAGCTTGTTGGCTTAGAGCGGGTTGGCTTTGTGGCTGCTATAATGCAGAAAAGCTGTCCAGAAAAGGTAATAGGGTGATAATCGGGGACCTATTTTTTCGTGGGTAGCGGTTTTACATACGTCAACTTGCACTTTGTTTCATCCATTAACAGCTTTAGCCTTTAAGAATAGACAGCCTATCATCTTAGTATGTAACATCTAACTAGGACATACTTATTTGGTTACATCTAAAGATTTATTTTATTTACCTACCTAATTATTGTATTCAATTAAGGTAGTTAATAAAGCTGCGCAAAGTTAAGTTTTGTAAACCTTTTACATGCTTTATCGAGTTTCCATTTATGTTATTAACATTCATGTACATATTGCATATAAAAACAAGATATGTTAAAGCGCATGAAAATGTGTAATTTGAGGTACGATACAAGTACAACCAGTTACTATCAAAAGTATCTTAGTAAGTCTCGAAGCAGATCGAATACTTTTTAGGTACTTAGAGGTACCCACAAGCAAAAAGCTTAGGCGAGCTTTCCAGCCGAAACCTTCCGGTCCCAGCTCCATGACAGCCCATGACAACCATGATAGCAGTGAGCACCCCCTATGAGATGAGATTAGGAAAGAAGCAGAAAAGGATTAACCTTCCCCCCATCAAAACCCACCAACTGCGCCTGCGCCATTCCTTCTCTGTACGCAACCACACAGCGCGACCCGGCCCACCTGCAGCAGAGGCGGCAATAGCGCAGCAATCACTATCAACGTAAAGGTAAAAAAGGTTAGGAAGTCAGCAACTGGAGCAACTGGGGGGGAAGGAACAAGGGTTGCCCAATATCGGGACATGTCAAAACCTCTGCTACGCAACAACCTTTTTTGAGCCTTTTGGTGCAACTGCAACTTCGTAAACATTACCCCAGTAATAAACTTCTTTAACTTCATCTCTCCCTCTACCCTCTACCACAACACACACATTCCGGTCAAGATCGACCTTCTCCTCATCGTCCCGTTCCGTCGATGCATGCAATCTGGCACTATTTTCGCCGCGTCGACCTAGACGAGATTATCCGCCTGCCCTAGTCTCTCACGAGGATACATCACAGGACCATCTCCGGAGAGCAGGCTTATTATTTGGACCTGACACCAGTACTGATCGTACTCTACCGCCCAGGTTTTGATAATTCGAGCAACCTGAAACTGAAAGCACCTGCTTATCAGCATCATCTTTTTACTCCTTGTATCGTCGACTGAGTCCAAATCAATCACATCACGGTTTCTAGCTCTACCCATAGCAATGGGGGCCTGCCAATCATGCTGCGGAGGTAACACAAGTCCATTCTCCTATCAAGAAGACCCTTTTAAGTGCTAAACACCGTATAGGCAAATCTCGCGATGGTCTCTACGAACCAGTATTGGCCGATAGCGAACGAGAAGCTGTCGCCGATCTACTCCAATACCTCGAGAACGTGTGTTACGACCGACCAACCCTTACACTGCTCAAAGCTAACCTTTTATCCTAGCGCGGCGAGACGGATTTCTTTTCTGGCGAGCCTCTTCGAGCTCTAAGTACCCTTGTATTTTCCGACAATATCGATCTTCAAAGGAGTGCAAGCTTAACGTTTGCCGAGATCACGGAGCGAGGTATGTAGTATAATGTTATTGGCGCCCTGACAAAAGAGGCGTTGTATTGCAGAGCTATCGAGTGATATGGCCTTACCGCTCTAGTCTTCACCGAATTACGAGCTGCGACTGACCGCCCTTAGATGTTCGTGAGGTCGACCGCGATACGCTAGAACCCATCCTTTTCCTACTTCAGAGTCCCGATATTGAAGTACAAAGAGCAGCCAGTGCTGCGTTAGGGAACCTTGCCGTTAATAGTAAGTAAGAATCCGCGCTGTTATTTAGCCTCTTGTCTTACCAAGTTACGCAGCCGAGAACAAAGTCTTGATTGTCCAACTAGGCGGCTTAACTCCGCTTATACGTCAGATGCTTTCTCCCAACGTCGAAGTACAATGCAATGCTGTAGGATGCATTACCAATTTAGCTACCCATGAGGAGAATAAGGCAAAGATTGCACGATCGGGAGCCTTGGGTCCGCTTACTCGACTGGCCAAGTCAAGAGATATGAGGGTTCAACGGAACGCAACCGGCGCCCTGCTCAACATGACACATTCAGGTAGGCATTCAGCTCCTAGCAACTGATTCATTCGTTGGACTTTTCTAATGGTATTTACATAGATGAGAATCGACAACAGCTCGTGAATGCAGGCGCCATCCCCGTACTGGTCCAACTTCTGTCGTCTCCCGATGTCGATGTTCAATATTATTGCACGACAGCGCTTAGCAACATTGCCGTCGACGGCAACAACCGCCGGAAGTTAGCTGCGTCGGAGACCAAACTTGTCCAGTCCCTCGTTAACCTAATGGACTCCTCCTCTCCCAAGGTGCAATGCCAAGCCGCATTAGCACTTCGAAACCTCGCTTCGGACGAGAAATATCAGCTAGATATCGTCCGGGCGCAAGGCCTTAATCCGCTGCTACGTTTGCTCCAGTCCTCTTACCTACCTCTAATCCTCTCCGCGGTTGCTTGCATACGTAACATATCCATCCATCCCTTAAACGAGTCTCCTATTATCGAAGCTGGATTCTTAAAGCCCCTAGTCGACCTTCTAGGCTCCACCGATAACGAGGAAATCCAGTGCCATGCCATATCGACCCTCCGAAACCTTGCCGCGAGTTCTGACCGTAACAAAGCACTAGTCCTTGACGCTGGTGCGGTACAGAAATGCAAGCAACTTGTCTTGGACGTTCCGGTGACCGTCCAGTCGGAAATGACGGCTGCAATCGCAGTTCTTGCGTTATCTGACGAGCTTAAAACACACTTGTTAAATCTCGGCGTGTTCGACGTGCTTATTCCCCTAACACACTCGCCAAGCATTGAAGTTCAAGGCAATAGCGCCGCAGCCCTCGGCAACCTGTCCTCGAAGGGTAAGTCTTGATTCTAATTTTATTAATCTCCCATTTATTAATATGACGTAGTTGGCGATTATTCCATCTTCATCCAGGATTGGACAGAACCAAACGGTGGCATTCACGGTTACTTGAGTAGGTTCCTGGCCAGCGGCGATGCCACGTTTCAGCACATTGCTATTTGGACTCTCCTCCAATTGTTGGAATCTGAAGATAAGACCTTGATTTCACATATTGGGAAGTCGGATACAATTGTGGAGATGATTAAACAAATCGCGAATCGACAAGTCGAGTCAGATAACGAATACGAGGAAGATGACGAGGGCGAAGTGATCAACCTTGCGCAGCGCTGCCTGGAGCTGCTTGGCCAGAGTATGTCGAAGGCGCACATAGAAGGATGAAGTGACAGACTACGGCATTTCTTTTTTGTTTTAATCATCGATACTGTCAGACTCCCTGTTCAAGCGGGCATTCACACGGATGTGGTTGGTTCCCGGTGTTTGAGGCGTATGTTATATAAGCATGCATGTGTATTTCGTCAACGATAAGGCTGCTTCGATATTTTATTAGGAACGCATATTTTCATTGGGTGGTTTGAGTCGCGGGTGGGTGCATTGCTGGTCGCATTTGCCCCAGAAGCTAGCTTAGTGGAAGACACTCGATCTCATTTGTACGCGGCGGCGTAGCCGGTTGAAAAGATGACTACTTGACCAACCATTCCTAGTAAGTCATGAGTTACTCTTGTGAGCCTCATGCGCGGAGTTAAATTCTTGTAATTAGATTGCCCTTCCTCATCAAAAATGATATCCGGTAAACAATGATAATGCTTCCGAGACGCCTCCATGCAATGCAAATTGTAATACAATAGCCATACCCATAGCAGGGATAGGAGTGATCAGGTTTTAGGCGAATCTAATACAGGTTGAAGACCACTTTCCACCTTAGTGAACCAATTAAACGGCCACCAACCGTTCACGACCACTTTGGCAACCACTTTACCCTTGATGAGACCCATGGGAATAGGGCCAAAGTCGCGACTATCCCTAGACCAGGGAAGGTTGTCTCCGACTATGTAGCAGTGACCTTTCGGTATCTGAAGTAGAACTTGGTCAATACTATATCCTCATATTTTCTCATAAGCGTATAAGATCCAAGTAGAGTAGGAAATAGTAAATTAGGTTAAGTAAATTAGCAAATTAATCAATCAGCCATACCTGTATCATGGTATCAGCGCCCACGCCCGGCGAGTTCAACAGCACGTAGTCCCCCGGCAGGCCCAGGACGCGCTTGATGCCCTCCTCGCCGGGCTCGACTGGAATGCTGTACACGACGCAGTCGCCGACGCGCAGGCCGCGGCCCCGGCGGTGCGATCGGTCTGTTACGAACCACTCGTTCATCGTCAGGAACGTCGGTAGCATGGATGGGCCCCACCCGTACCCGGTGCTGTATCCGTAGGTCACGAGCAGGTGGCCTAGGGCTAGCGCTTTGGTCGTGTAGAGGAGCACGCGGAAGGGATGGCCTAGGAGGGACGGCATTGTGGCGTGGCGGTTGGGGGGGTCTGTGTAAGTAAGGGTGTGGGTGCTGTTGCCTTTCGGCTTTTATGTAAGGGTATGGAAGTAGATGGGTTATAGTGCTTTTATGAGGGATGATACGGTGGGTTGGTGGCTTGCATGGTTTCGTAGGACTTGAGAATTTAAAGCGAGCCTATATTAGTTAGGTATGGGTGTATATTGTATAAAGCGATGAGTATAAGTTTCTAAGCTCAACGTGAGGTTCACACAATCTCAATAAATGAATGCATTTAAGGTTATATTAAGCCGGAGCTTAAGCTTTGAGTCTTGGCGCGGAGCTACATATGTACATCATAAGCCGCCGGCGGGAAAGCATGACATGATTGGCTGTTGAGCGTCGGCCCTAGACGGTACGTAGTACCGAGAAGTGGGATGTGCTTGTAGTTCCAAATCTAAACTCAATTCTTGCTGCAAAACAACTTCAACTCTGCAAGGCGTTATCCTAAAGCGCGGCAGCACTGCTCGATATATGCCAATTCTACCGTCCCAATTACATTCTCTAGAGCCATAACACAAAGAAACATCGGTAAAAATGGCACAACCACGCTGTCTCGCCAGTTCCTCACCCGCACGAGCTCTACACAGAGTCCTCGTCTCGGACCTCCTCAGCCGTAGCAGGACAACCTCTCTCACATCACGCACAACATCTTCCTACCTCCTTCCTCCACGGCTCTTCTCCTGTAGCCACCTTATTACAAACACAAATACCACAACCCTACCACCACCACTCCCCATACCGCGACAACAAACCCGCTCGCTCTCCACAACCGCTATCCTCCGCCGCATCGACTTATCCCAAAAGCGACCAACCAACGGCAAGATCCCCTACGACTACGTGCGCGTAGTCGGGCCACCCCCCGACAACGCACTGTCGCCCGCGCAGCCCATCGGCACCGTCCTCGCCTCCCTCAACCCCAAAACGCACACCCTAGTCATGGTCGCGCCGCCCCTCTCCTTCGCCAACCCGCACACCCCCGAAGCCAGCGCCGCCATATGCCGCATCGTCGACAACGCGGCCTCCAAAGCCGCCGCGCACGAAGCCGAGCAGCGCGCGCCCGCAAGGCCGTCGACACCAAGGAGCTCGAGTTCTCCTGGGGCATCGAGCCGCACGACATGGGCCACAAGCTGCGGCGCCTGCGCCAGTTCCTCGACCTCGGGCTGAACGTGGAAGTCATACTGGCAAAAAAACGGCATGCGAAACCGGTTTCGATAGAGGCTGCCGAGGCGGTTCTGGAGGCGGTTAGGAGCGCGCTGACGTTGGTGGATGGGGCGAAGGAGGTGAGGAAGATGGATGGGAAGGTGGGGGGTGTGGTGAGGTTGTATTTCGAGGGGCCGAGCGAGAAGAAGAGGCGGAAGAAGAAGGATTTGGAGCAGAAGGGGAAAGAAGAAGAAAGCGGATAGAGGGAGTTGTATTAGATTTACGGAACTCTTATCAGTTGCTACGACTAATGGTGTATCGTACACAAAGAGTGAACTCTATAGCGATAGCTTAGCCAGAGAGTCGGCGCATAATAAGCTACTTAGCTTGGCGAAGATGTCTGTAAAGCATCTAGTGTAGCAGAAGAAATATGAATCTAAGAGTGGTTTATATAGCTGGGCGGATATAAGTCAGTATAAAGAGAAAATACGACCTAGAAGGGGTCGTGTATAGTAAAACTAAATACCATATTTTGCAGTCACGAGTACTGATATTCGGACTTGAATAGTATAAAGGTAGTAAAAATATTTTACTATTGGGGTATTACAAAAAGATTGCTTTCAAAGCAGGTATATACCGAATATATTTCCAAAACGCCGCCGATGCCACGATCTTGCCGGCCGTCTTTCCTATATGTCCTCATACCTAGGGAAATATATCTAGCGCTCGAGTAGTTAAAGCCTAACAAATATCCTCATTTCATCGTCAGCGGGTAATACGGGCTTCTTAATCTCTCGTCACAAAGAAGCACGCGCCCAGGACGCTAAATGCAATCGCACTCGTCACAAAACCAGCTGCTACCTTTTCTCCCGTTGAGATGGGCGTTAGACTCGGCATGTATGCCTCCATCGGTCGTCCAGCATCGGGATTGCCAACAGATGTCCCGCCCGTAGTTGCAGTTAACGGTGCCGCCGTCTGTTTCTTGACTAACGTATATTGTATGGCAGACAACGCGCTCATTTGCTCGCCGACACCAGCAAGACCGTCGAACTTTTCCTTTTCCGTCCACTTGAAGCCGCACGCCGTACCAGCCGGGCCCTTATACAGGTCGGCTGCCGGCGAGCCGGAGCACTGCTGCGCCGCTGCCGCTGCGTTGATTTTAAGTATTGGCATTAGCGTATCAAAGGTAAAGGGAGCCATCTGCGACGCCGAAGTCATCCATCGCATAAGGTAGCCCTTGAAACTTTGCTGGTCATAGTCACAAGAGTTGAAGCCCTCACACGGCCGCTCAACCACGATGTTGTCGTCGAAGAAATATTCGTTTGTTCTTTTCACTAGACCTTCTACTCGTTGCTTCCAAGTATCTTGACCCTCTGTGAAATTGTACCTATAGATAGTAATATTTGGTTAGTCGGGTTTACTGACGGGGAGGGGGGTTTTTCTAACATCATAGCTGCTCCCTGCAGGAAGATACCTGCGTTGTAGGTCCATTGCGCTTGTTGAGTCGACACAGCCTTTATCCGCGCCTGCTCCGTCGTAAACGTTAAAGTCGGCGTCGATGAATTGAACTGCCTCCATCCAATCCCAGACTTTCTCGGCCCAGTCACCGTACGTTTGATTCCCTGTATATCTAGCTAGTCGAGAGGCGATATTAAAAAAGCAGCCGTTGGATATGGAGTTCTTGTAACTATATCCATTGTTGAACGTAAACACCTGCCACCGCAAACCACCACCACAAGTATCGGCATCCCATCGAGTTATATACTCGTTGAAGACGGCTTGAACTAGTGCTAACCACTGCGGTTGACCTTCTGGCGGGTTCGGGAAGTTGTTCTCGGCAGCGGTCATGGCGGCCATGGCCCAAAATCCTTGATCGTCGTTTCCTAGTGACCTTGTCTGGTTCTGGGGCATGTAATCGCTGTCTTCACCTGCTTGATGCTGTAACGCTTGCGTTGTTATGGCGTTGTACGTTTCGTCGCCAGTATAAAACCAATAGTCAACTAGTGTACCAAACATAGCTCCCGCTTCCCACCCTAATGTCTTATAAGCAACGATTTTGATAGAGAGGGAATGGGGTTACGTACAGAAGTACGGGTCTGGTAAGTTACCAGGAGTATCGCCCGTGTTATTTCCCGTGTAGTATTTCACCAATCCGAAAGCAACGGTACTTGCTGCATCTTTTATGGAATCTAATAGGTGTCAGCCATGCATGAATATATTGTCATTAATCACGTACCATCGCTATTCCAGTCGATTTGTAAAGCTCTAGTTGCACCTGCCAGCAGGCTTACGATGCCTGCTGCACGAAGTGATAATTGCATTATGAAATAAATATAAATATGGCCGAAGAAAGGAAGGTGATGGGTCTTGCCCACGAAAGGTCTAGCTTTCGAGCTGAGATGGAATCGTATTTGCTTAAGATGACCACATGTCCTCAAAGGAGTTATAAGTCGAAGAGCAAAAGGCCTCACAACTGTGACCTCGAGTATCGGTATCCAAATCGTTATCACTACTCTTAATAGACTAAACCTCCGAGCAGCCACCCAAAATCCGCACGTTAGGAAATCAGTCGCTAGGACGAAACGAAAGCAAGATAAAAAAGGCTCGACCGGTAGCGAGTACGAAGAGAAGGAAGGTATGAAAGGAATGAAAACGAAGGAATCGCGCGGCGAAACGAAACAAACAAACAAAAGAGACTCCAATCTAGAAGTCAATATGAAGAGAAGTGAATAGTTGAAGATGAGAAAAGACACAAGCTCCTAAGAGCAAGTTTAGGAAGACAAGGTGGGCCAATCCATAGCGTATTGCCCCTGTCAGAAGGGATTCACGAAGATAGAAGGGGAATACGTCAATCACCTTCGATCATCCAAAAGCTTAGTCCCTACCTAATTATTTCGTGTGCATGCCAGTTCTATCTCTACCCCCGTGAGGCTATGTCAGATGAATCGACATGCTGAAACCGTTCAAGTTGGATCTGTGCGGAGCGCGTCTCAAAGGAGAAAAGACCAGGGTATGAAAATGCATATGACATGAGACTGTTTATACAATATCATTGCAAATCATATTATAGTTTGTAGATCATTCTAATTGATGAACGTACGTGCGGTGGCTTAAAATGATGGAGTTTACTGATTTCAATTGTCTTCCCCAGTAGGGATTAAAACATGTTCATCTTGAAGTTGAAGAAGTTGAAGTTAAAGTTAACGAACAAAGTTGTGGGGAAGCCTACCCTTGTATCAAGGACCTGGCTGGACTCAGGTACCCAAACAGGGGTATTACTAAAACGCTGCTGACTCGGTATCACAATACCCGTTTGTAGCTTCTTACATTTCAGTACTGCTTACATTGGCGCTTTCCGTTGTAAATTCGATTAGGGGCTTTCCTCATATTCATTACGAAGCTGTCGCAACTCATCAGAAGCACCAACTAACTACAACTAGGTACAAAAATTAGGTACTTAAACACGACAGACAGTTGAAGTAAATTCCCCATACTCGAGGAACTAAACATATAGTTGTATGCAAGTCAAGTTACCTGAGACGCACATCCGGCGTTCTATCAGGTCTTGATATCTATTGATAGTCTAAAGAGAAATATTTTTTGGTATCGAAATCCCGAGTGCACTTGACGGCAACTCGCCGTCCATCATAACCGCTCACCGCTCACTGTGAGAATCCTGACCCCTTTTTTTATTCACTTCCGCGCTGCAAAGATAATCATATTAGAAAACGTTACTTCATCCAAAACGTGTTCAAGCTTTCCGCTTCTTAGATGGGGGTTGGGCACCGTTAGCTTTGGGTTTCTCATCGTCATCTGCCATCTCCTCGTCCTCGTCATCGTCCTCGAAGTCGACTTCGCTAATATCAGCCTCCTGGGCTTGGCCTTCGAAACACGTCAGCAACTCTCACTGTTGTTCTACTTATTAGCACAAGACTTACTAAAGTACTTGATAGCGTTAACCCAAAGGTCGTCACTGATGGCAAGCGCCACTTCTTCGCCATCCGGGAAGATTTCGAGGGACAAGGGGTCCTCCTCCTCGTCATCCTCATCATCATCTTCTTCCTCCTCGGCCGCCTTGAGTTCAGGGATCTTTCCCGCGGCCCTTTCGGCCTTTCTCTTCTTCTCTTCCTCGATAGCGAGGCGGCTCTCTTCAGCAGAGATGTTCAGACCTCGGTATCCGAAAAAGCCGAAGAAAGAAACGGCACCTAGGCCGGTAGCTTCGATCTTCTCCTTCAAGGCCTTCTCGTCGGGAGTGTAGTCCTTCTCCTTCTTTAACTTAGTGCTGTCGGTAACGGGGTTCTTCTTGTCATTTTCCCAGACCTTCACGACGAGGTCAAGCATTCCCTGGGTGAGATCCTTGTCCGATGACTTCCACTTGATGGGGACTGGGTCGCTGACGAGGCCCTCATCACCCTCCTTACCAACACGGTAGTAGAACTTCTTCTCGAGGACCTTGTCTTCGAACCATTCGTTCTCACCAAACTCCATCTTGATGGAAACGCTGCGGGGATCTCCATTGCCGCCATTTTCGATCTCGAAGTGAGAGACCGAGACCGAAGTCAGCGCGGATAAGAGAACAGCAGAGTCGCTAGGTTGAATGTATTGGTCTAGATCAGGAGGTGCCTGCTCAAAAACCAGCGCCCAAAAGTTGGGAATATTCTTAACCAGCGCTTCTCTCTTCTCATACAGAGACTTGGTAAGAGCAACCTGTTGGCGAACTAATCGGCATGTAAGTATGGGTTCACTTTTCTTGTATTCACAGGGCCCAAGTCCTTTATTTATATACGCTATAACCTAGCATGATGAAATGGACTCAAATAATCAAGTTCAGGTCTGAGTGTAAAAAGTACTTACTTATTTCTGTTTCAACATCCTCGAAGTCCTTGTCCAAGTCCATCAACTCCTCGTAAGTGGCAATAGCCAAATCGATCTGTTCTGATGTCGCCATGGCTGAAGTAATTCGGGTTGGTAGAGTTTGAAAAGTGATGGGGGAGTTTTAAAAATTGAGATATCTTGAAAGAAAGCACAAGTCAGGCTCGCACCAATATCTTTTATATGCAAGAAAAAAATCTAGCTTAGGCTACTTGTGCTATGTGAAAAAAAATTTCTTGTCGATCAACTAAAATCTGTCATTGGTCAACAGTTGCTAGCGAATGGACGGTTGTCACAGTCAAGATAGTGATGAAGTGGGTTTTTTTTTCTCCGCAGAAGTCTTAGCAAGGGTCTACTTACCACTCCTGCCACTAAAATTCGCACCCATCCTTCCTAATAAGGAAAAGATAATTTTTTCAATAAGCTATCGTGAGGTACATAAGACTTTCATTTCATATATACATCTAATGATACATTAAGTGAGACAAAGTGAAAGAAATAATGCCCACAAAGTTTAACATGTACATATTATCACTAGAACATGTTTGAGAAATATATTAACAGGTAACTAGCCCTTCAAAGAAAAATTGACTAATGTTCCTGACCCAAAGTTTTAAAGTTGACCATAAAAACAACGAGGAAAAAAAAAGAATGCAGGTCCCAACAAGCTAGACCATTATAGAAGGTGGGGGGGCAAACTCAGATTTCCATGGGCATGGGATAATCCCATCTGATCGGGGCTGCGGGGGGCGGTCGTACCTGGCAGAAAAATAATTATTATCGTTCTTCTCCAATCGTTATCAGTTCGCAAGTACAACCCAGCTTAGCTTTATATCCATGTGCTCGTCGCATCTCGATAGGTATCGTCGCTTTAAACGTTACGTACCTACTTAGTCTGTCACTTATATATCCCTCGCACTATGAACGGTCTTCCTGGAGCCGGAACCGGCGCTGCCGGAGGCGTCGATCCTAATGATCCTAATATTAAGAGGGTTCGTCTGGTCTTCCGGGTTATTGCATGAGAGGTAGCGATTGCTAACTTGTGCGCGACTAGTTAAACGCCATGATGGAGTCGTGCTTTGGCAAGGCTGCCGTTTCTGGTGTTATGGGTTTCGGTATGGGTGGTCTGTTTGGAATGTTTATGGCTTCTGTACGTAGCATCGCCGCCTCAGTCCTACTTACATATATCTACCTATCCATCCATACACACATATATCTACACAATAACTAACCCACCCTCCTCCCACAGATGGCCTACGACACGCCCTTCCACTCCCCCGGCGCCGCGGGCGCCGCGCCGATCCCCATTGCCAACCTACCCTGGCGACAGCAGCTCAAAGTCGGGTTCAAAGACATGGGATCGCGATCCTACAGCACGGCGAAGAACTTCGGGCTGGTGGGCCTGATGTTCGCCGGCATCGAGTGCGGCATCGAGGGGTACCGCGCCAAGAACGACATGTACAACGGCACCGCGGCCGGGTGTCTGACGGGCGGCATCCTGGCGGGGGGGGGGCCCAACGGCTGTGGCCGGCGGGTGCGCTGCGTTCGCGGCGTTTAGCGCCGCTATTGATGCGTGGTTGAGGTCGCCTAAGGACGATGAATAAATAGGTACTTACCTATCTATCTAACCAACCTAGGAAGTCTTTACCTACCGTACGCGAGAAAGATATGGAAATGAAAAAACGGGGTATTGTTGTGTAGTATAGTGCAGTGTAATTGTGGAAATCGGTTCGTGGTATGGCGTTGGGTCGGGTGCATAGGATTCACGGCGTTATGGTTTCCGCGCATCTATACATGGTACATACATGGTAGAAAGGGGGCTGGCATACATTCTCCACTTAGGGTTTTGAAATGTACATAAGATATGATGGAGTGGTTGCGATACCGCCTGATGAAGGATGAGCTATAGTCGTCCATGATAGAGTAATGTCAATAAGGATCATCAGCTTATCGATCTTGGCAGATGTTCGGACCCACGGCTAACCCTGTGTTGATCATATCCGCTTCTTCATGGTATCTCCGACTGAACAATTCCAAACTACAGTTATGGCGGCTTATAACGGGCCATCTGTAAACCTGATTCAAATCCCAATGTCAAATTCACTAGTCCATCGTATAGACAAAGCGGCTCATATAAGCGAGGGAAACTAGGTTGCGTCAAATTATATATTACCGGCTTTTGTTTCAAGCCAAATAAATATAGGAAGCCTATTTGATATGCCATAATGACAATGTCATATAGGTTTATTTCTCCTTCGCGTAGAACACCTCTCATAATCCATTTTCCTGCACAGTACAAAAACATCCATAAGCCTCTATACCCACCCTACCGGCCCTTTCTCACTTTGCATCATTAGCCCTAGTCATGTTTTCCGTCTGAAATAATTATCGCATTAACCGTCAACTCCAAAAGGTACTATCCATTAAGCCGTGTAAACTTTTGACTAGGTAGCCTTGTAGACCTCGAATTTGCCGAATTCCCAAAACGCATCAGTAAAAGCTTCGGGGTTGTTAGCAACATAGTCGGTACAGTTGCTCGGGCCTGTAAATAGTTAGTCGTCGAACCTTTAATATACACCGTAGAGAATATGGAATAATAACTTACAGCCGCTTGAAGCGTACAAAGCGCCGGCATACTGCCCGCAGAGATCTATGTTGGCAATGATACTCTGGTTCTTAAAGTGCGAGCCAATGTCACAGTTCGTGTTCGGGAAATCTGCAGAGGCTGAGCCCCAGCTGCTCGGATCCGGATTCTTGGTGGTGATATCGGTAGGGATGTTGCTCCTGCCGAACTGCCACAAGCCGAATACCCTCGTTACGCCACTCCATCGCGATGATACCGCCCTGTCCATCGTTGTACGCGCTGCCGTAAGTAGCGGCGTCGCCTCTAACTCCGCAGCCGGCGTTGTTATCGGTGGCATTGTGGCAGTCGTTCGAAAGACCCGAGTCGCTCATTATACGCTTCACATCCATCGAGCAACCATCTGTCGTGTGCAGCGTCATTTGATTGCCATCGGTGGCTTTGTTCGCAGCCTCCATCACATCGATCTCACCATGATCCGGCCAGTTGGCGGGGTCGACGAGCCACAAGGCGGGCCAAGTTCCGCATCCGAACGGCGTGTGCTTCACATCAAAAATAAAAAGGCCATTATCATACTGCGCTTGAGATTCGATTCGCACGGAGAAACGGCCCGTCGATGCATCAGGTTCGGACTGGGGACCGACGCTGGTATCGACTCTTATAATGGCCGAATCCTCAGAAGCATAGGTGAGGTTCTTAAATAGGCAATTATTAGCGTAATGTTAGAGAATGCCGAGGAAAAGTAAGCACTTACTAGTTGCGTAGCTTGTGCTTCGGGGACATAATGAACGAATCCCTGCGCTGGGTCGTATCCTACGAAATAATTGAACTTATCGAAGAAAGTCGTCCCGGAATCTAAGAATGTGGTCAGTCTGGTTTTGTACAAAATGCGAAAATACGGAATTTGACGAATTTAAAGAATTTGACCGAGAAGCTTACATTCATCTGCCAAGGCATAATTGAGTTTGGTATAATTCGGATATCGGTTTGCCTTGGCGACCTCAACCGGAGTGACTACGGCGACGATGATAATGATAATAAAAGCTATCACAACAATAGCCCAAGTTCTTTTCCTCCAAGACTTTGGATTCCACCAAGGTAAAGCTGGTTGGCTACGCATATTCCGTCGCGGATAATCTTGTGGTTCTGTCGAATAGTAGGGTGGTGGTCCAGTTACCATTTCAACAGGGCCGTCGGTATCTCTAACATTGAATGAAGTAGGACCAGCCTTAGGCTGAGCGGGCGTATTCTCCCAACCCATATTTATAGTCAAATTTTTACTTGGCCTGCAAGATAAGCTCGTGAAGAAGGTTGCGGCGAACTTCGCTTAGTGACCGTCCGACGCCGAATGTTGCTGCCTGCTGCGCCGCAATGTTTAAAAGACTGAGAGGGTTCTAGCCGCGGCTGTTAGAATTATACTGGTTAGGTAGGAGGAGGTGGTTGGCATAGATAATAGCGTTGTTTAATGTGGCGTATAAAGTTGTTGATGGTGGATAGGTAGATTTTAGAATTGTTTTACTGAATTGACATTGAGCTTGGAAGATTATTCTACCTTAGGTATGTGATTAAGGTGACGAAGGGACCTAGATAATAAAGATAAATGTTGTCACAACCCACTCACCCAAAGTGTAAGAGGTAGGTTAGTTGACAATACGAGATAAGACCATCCAACTTCTCGTTTAATTCGGATAGCTAAGTCTTAAAGTATTACAACAATGCAGTAATGCAGCAACGGATTAACAATCACCAATAAAGTGGTTGCATATATCGTACCACAAATAAAAGACTAGAGAAAAAAAGGGCTGACGCGTTAGAAGTTCCACGTTTGGCGCCGATGAAGCCGGTCTACCTTCCGGTCCCAATGGTTGCTACCATATTGCTACTGTATTGCTACGTATTGCTACGTATTGCTACGTAGGTTGTGCCAAGATTTGATACGACATATCGCACTACTCTTCGCTACTTTCCACGCCAAAGAATCCGGTTGCCTGGTGCCTTCTCAATTAGTACATTAATTAGTACATCTTGTACCTGGAGTTGCGGGTCCTTGCGCACTCGTTTCACTCCAATCTGATCCACGCTCCATAGCTCCATACGATCGAGCACAGCCCCGATGACGTGCGGGTAACCTAATCGATAGACTATTTCGGTACAATTCTGCGAAGCTTTAGCGAATGAAACAACGCGCCAAGTCAAGACCCGCGTTCTAGAACGTTTACTCTATAATATTTCAATGATACCTTCACGAAATTTCTAATCTATATAAAAAGGCTAATTGTTCAAAGCATCAATAAATTCAGCCTTATAGATATATGGTTACGCATCATTACTTTTTATAATCGCTCTAGAAGTAAGTATATAGTCAGCTTGTGATAAATATCTAGTTATACATTTTAAACTAGAGCCACGGCTTGCGTAGTTATCTCATAAACTATCCAATTACTTACACGTCTTATCTATAAGATCATCCAGGATCCATAGTCTTGGCCTAATACAGTAAATTCTTTCAAATATACTCCAACCCGGCAAGACTATTACCAAGAGCTTCTAGCTTGCTGAAGTAAATGACGTCTTTGAGGGAGGTTACACTACAGTCTATATTCTATCTTATGATGTTTGTGGAACGGTACCTTAGCGCTGACTCGGTACATCTATATTAAAATGACATGTCAACTCGTTCGAGCCATTTTAGGTGAACATATTTATCCCAGTGATACCATGCGGTTGTTCGGGAAAGGTTATTGGTGTCTACTATGTATAGGATTTGCGAATGTGTAACATAACTTGAAGTATTATCCCAAGTATCTATATGAAGGCCAGTAAGGTAAATCTATCTTTTTGTACATAGAAAGAGATTTTGAATAACGTTGTCACTTCTAGAGTTAGCTATTATTCATTGTGCCACACTACCGAGGCCTCATAACTAATATGCCTAAATCTATCCAACTCACTCTACTTACCTTGCCTAATCCAGATAATTTCATTTGCGTATATGTTTCAATTAGGATATTATCAATAATGAGCGGTGTTATCAATAACCTCACAGTGGATATACCCGCTACTATACGGTCATAGTCCTATATATCCTATAACACTTTAGAAAGCTACAGTAAGCCACTTCATGGTGGCGCATTGCTGCTATAACAGGTGATACTCGAAACCCAACTCAAGCAAATCAAAGACTGTTCACCCTCTTGTACTGCTTTAGTGCAGTTGGGGAGGACGTCTATATTTCGATTACCCCCTACAGGCTGTTCTAAGTAGTAGTAAACAAGCTCTAATAAAGCGGCAAGAAATGGCTGGAGGCCAGCAGAGCAGTCGGATATTGTGGCTTTGATATTTACCTAACTCGGCGGGCTGCGAGCCAATTAAAACTGTTATCCTAAGCCGCGTACAGGCCTTTCTTATATCATAAGTATAAACTTCCGAAAGGGGTTATCTTGTCTTAGGGTAAACTATAGGATGATCGACCAAATCACATATGTTGCGTAACCTAGAAACAAGGAGGGGATCAAGATTCAGACCATCAAGCTAGACAATCCTTTTACCGAGTCATTGCCTACTAGTGAGCTCCTATATATCATATGTTTATATATATTGGGTTTGCTTTACCCCATCTCTTAGAACATTCAACTACCTACCCAGAAGTTAACAATGTTACACGAACTTATTTACAGCTCTATCGGTCTGGTGCTTCTGGCCTACGCTCTAGACTATGCGATCGGGTTCACAAACGATGTGCGGGAACCAAAGCGTGTGAATCCAAAGGTTCCCTTAATCGGCCATCTTCTTGGGATGGTAAAGTATGGTGGGTCATACTTTACGCACACGAGGTAGGTGTGTTGTATATCCCACGATACGTATATATAGATAATTCTATACCTAGCTTGAAGAGAGCGGAAGATACAGGGTTTTCCTTAAAGCTAAGTTTTTAACACGATTAATAGTATAAGAACCAAAGACGAGATATACACGCTCCCCATCTTCAACGCCAAGATCTACGTGAGCAACTCGTTGCGTCTGGTGCCCTTGATCCAAAAGGCCTCTAAGACACTCTCGTTCCGCCCGTTTCATAAGACATCTATACAAAAGATATCTGGCTGTTCAGCGGCAGGTGCTAACTTATTCGACGGGTCTCTTACCGATGACTATGATCGTATTTTGAGGACGACACTGGCACCAGGCCCCTGGCTGGATGAGCAGAATCTGCGCATGGGACATAGTAGTGCTGCCCAGATCGACGCTATGATTAAGGATGGGGAAGAGAAGAAGATTTTGTTACTGGAATGGGCGAGACATATAATTGTACAGGCTAGTAGCTGTGGTATTTTTGGTCAAGAACATCCCTTTCTAGATCCAGAGGTTGAAAAGGCGTTTTGGTAAGTCGACTTTTGATACACCATATCGTAGAAATGCGTAACTATTGCTCTATTATTTTAAGGTAACAGTACTTAATATATCCCCTCGAAGCTGACGACTCGGCATTAGGAAACTCCAAGCCCATTTACCCATACACATGGCAAGCCTGGATTTCTTCGGGCAAGTCGTGAAATCACACGAGGTGATGCATAAAGCTTTTCTAAATTACTGCGCAGCACCACCCGCCGACGCCGCACGCACTCTACTCGAGCGGCAGCGCGTGTTAAGAGAAGCAGGGATGAGCTTCGAGGACGCCGCTAAGCAGGAAACGAGCATGTGTATGGCCATGTTTGGGAGCACGGTGCCGACGCTGTACTGGACGATCTGGGAGCTTTTCTCGCGGCCTAAGGTCCTGGCGGAAGTCAGGGAAGAAATAGAAACACAGGCTGTTTCTCGGAAGCCAGGGGAGGAGAAAGAGACACATGATGCTGATGCTGAAACTGATTTCCTGCTTGACGTTACTGCTCTCAAGACCCGATGTCCCCTCCTCCTATCTGTCTTCCAGGAGACGCAGCGCACGCGCCATGTACACGCCAACATTCGGTTGGTCTTAGAAGACACGTTTCTCGACGACGGGCGGTATCTCCTGCGCAAGGGGAACTTCTTAATGATGCCCGGGTCTCCCATCCACCGCGACGTAAGCGTATGGGGACAATCCGCCGGTACATTTAACCCCTACCGCTTTGTACCTAACCCGAGCAAAGTCGTCTCAGCCGATGCCGTACCCCCTCCTAGCGGCTTTCTCTCCTGGGGAGCACCGCCATACCTCTGTCCGGCGCGGCAGTTCGCATCTACGGAGATCCTGATTATAATGGCGCTGCTTGCGATGCAGGTCGATCTAATACCCGCAACAAACAACAGCCAGTGGGAACAGAGCCCCGCTTTGGACTATGGCGAGCTGGTTACGGTTTTCAACCCGGCTAGGGATGTGGAAATGTATATGAAGCCTAGGGAGCAGGGAGTGGGGAAGTGGACTCTGAAGATGGGGGAGAGTAAGACGAGAGTACCTATTGCATCTGGTTAAAGGGGTTGGAAGTGCGGTGGTTTAAAATATAATATATGGTGGTATAGGATATTGTAAACAGCAGTAAAAGATGGTTCTTATTTCTAAATCTAACGATGTTACGCCACCTCTTGTTGGGGCATAAGTTCATACCTGGTATTATACTTCTAAGTAATTCTATTTATACACGATGACACCTACCCATTGCAATGCCATCGACTTTATAATCAGCCGACCTAGCTATTCAGGTACTAAGGCGGATTTGGTGCATAGGGCACAACAATGTCACCGGTGAACTGGGAAGAAAGGAATGGTCCCAATGACGAGGAAACCATTGGATTATATAGATGCACGCTATCTGGTATTCCCCAGCTTTTCCAACCATATGATAGGCAGGTATGCAAATGAAGACAATGTGTGATGCATATTTAAGGTATACTGGTACTTCAATCGTCTTCGTCCACCCGAGCACGTTTTGGTTGCCTCGACTCTCCCTCCTGCAACCCATAGCCTCTCTTGGATGAAGAACTCTGATCCACCTCGGCCATGAACTTGTCCATTTGAAAGGGGTCGTTGCCAGCTGTGTCCTTCTCGAACTGAACAGGCCCTTCTCGTGCCTGATTCCCATACAATTAGTAAGAATCAACAATGGATGATATTTTGGAGTACTAACCTCGGCATCTCCAGCCCCTTTAAAAGTTCCCTTACCCAGCACTTCACCGAATCGGCTGGTCTTCTGAATTTTAGCCATTTCTCGATCCCCGGCACCTTCGTCCTCGTATTCATCCATGTTCTGGCTCGGTCGATAAATACTGCTGATGGCATCCTGTGCTGCGAAGAGCGGTTTATCGTACGGGTTATCTTCGTTGATACCACTATCGAAACCGCTAGTCTGGTTGAATAAACGCGAATCGTACATAGACTCGGCTTGTTGTGTAGGCTTTGCCAGGCCAAGAGCAATCTTTTCGGAGATGTCACGGCCTTGCTCTCTCGCCATGACCTGAATTCGCCTTTCTGCACCCATGCGGGACTGGCGAAGTTTGCGTTCCTCTTCCCGCCGTTTCTCTTGACGGGCCTTCTCTCTTTCGCGGATATCTGAGCCGTCACTCTCTGAACCTGAATCTGAATAACTATAGCTGCGTGACCGTGACCGTGACCGGGAATCGCGTGAGGTTCTAGAGTCGCGACGTTTTGAAGCGCCACCACGTTCTTCTCGAGCTTTCTGCGCAAGCATACGTAGGTTCTCTTCCTTCTGTGCTTTCTCCTTTTCTGCGAGTCTTTGTTGCATAAGCGCTCTCTGGCGAACTTCTTCTCGGGCGTGTCGATCTGCCATGAAGAGTGCCTCTGAGAATTGTGCGAACTTATCGTTGATCGTAACATCTTGTAAACCTCTACCATCCGCCGCTAATCGCTTGTCAAGAGGAACTGTGAAACCCTTAGGGTTCTTCCAATTTGACACTGGAGGCGGGATTTTCCACATTTCTTGGTCTTCGGCGGTCAACTTTCGTGGTGGTGAGTGCATGATGGCTGGGAGGTGGGAGGTCCACGCGGGATCTTCTTATGCTTGAATTTTGGTGGTTCCACTGTAGTATTAGGTTAGTATTAATGATATACGGATATAAAAGGAATTGATAATGGAAAGGAAAAAGAATGCACGTACTAGGATCCTTTTGCCTCTCTACAATTTTCATAATTCTGTCCTGCTTCTTCGAGTTGTCCCCCATCTGATTCGCCGGTGTGTAGCGTACGAATGTAGGATCCTTTCGCGCCCCAACATTGACATTCTTCGGCTTCTGAGCTGCAACAGCACCGCTAACGAGCGTAGCAAGGGCTTTTGCCGTTCGTTCTTTCGTTTCCTCTACCTCTTGCTCGCTAGGCCTCTCCAGATTGATCTCGCCTGCATCTGCACGCTGTCGAAGAGGAATAAGATCCTTAAACGACGAATGAACTATTCTCCCTTCGCCGTGGCCTTGTCTCGCGATGGCATCGTACTTAACTTTTCCGGCGGCATCGACTTGGATTGCTAGAGCATTGCTTGTACCCGACTCTTTACCCATCGATAAGGGATATTGCGCGATCGGAATCTCTGGGAAAGCACCTCCATCGCCAAAATCTTCCTGACCTCTTGGTCGCCATCCCGCTCGCTGACCATACGGCGGCGGACCAGTTCTTCGAAGGACGATTTGCGATTCGTCTATTTGACCAGCACCGACAATTCGAGGACCACGCTGCTGAGCGTGCGCTGGGATATCTTCATCTTCGCCGGTATACTTTGGCTTAGGTAAAGCAGCCGTAAGTGATGCCGCCATCGTGAGGACTAATTGTAATGTATTTTTAATGTGTTGTTGAAAAATTAGCTGGCCAAGTTTGCAGCACCTGGCAAGTTTGAAAGTTCGTAGATGCGTCGCGGTTCTGCAAGGCGACCTACTAATTAAAGTGGAGAACAAACGCATTGTGGCTGGAAAGTTATATACCTCCTATGTAGGTACCTCTTAAGGCAGTTAGGTAAGGAGTATATGCATCTAATGATTTATACCGACAACCTTATGTTGTATTTTTCGTACGTATTTGAATATAAAGGAGCTTAGGACTGCTTATTGAGTACTACGATGAATGTGTAGCTGCTACAGAAAGGCATATAGTTGAATACGTATAAAATGATATGGTACCTAAGATAGCAAACACTCAAGAATGTAGTTCATGTCACTTACCACTTACACGAGAAATGTTATTTATACCAGTGTGTATATAAGTCAACGTAACACGTATTTCTAGCTTTGGAATAACTGTCATTCCCCCATCTTGACCGAAAGACTTCTCATCCGATTATGTCAACAATTCTCACTCCATTTTGACTCCTATGATACATAACGCATGAGGTGCCAATGCCAACCGGTGTTCCAATACGCCGCAAAACCAGTCTTAATCTTAATGTTTCAAGCCCTTCATTTACACGTAACCCTTTCGTGCGCCCTATGACATTATTAGCAGAAGCGCAGTGGTCCATAAACAAGTTGCATACCTGGAAGAAGAATCGGACGACAAAGACCTGCAAGCCACCCATGCAGATAACCATCAGACACTGGACCAGGCTGAAGTTGACGATTCGTGACTCCGTGCTTCGGACGGTGCTGAAGTTTCGGTTTTCTCGCGTGCGGAAGTACTTTTGGTTTCGCGCAATTGTGGACAGTTGACCCGACACCTTGTATATAGATTCTTCAAGAGCTGTTGTCTGTTCTGGAGTCGATCCTTGCTTAGAGGGAAGCTGAGCCCGTACTTCGTCCTCAACCTAGATAAAAATGGGTTAGAACCTGTACACATTGTCCGACAACAAGGACTCTACTCACAGAAATTTCGAAATCAACAAACTTCTCCGAATATGTGCTCATATCATTATCGAAGCAAAACTTATACTCGCCAACCTCATTGGCCGTGAAGACGAAATCACCTTGACGCTCCTTCTCTCCGTCCAAAATAACCTTGCCTCCCGGACCAGTTACTCCATAGTTAATATCGAACGAGCCTCCAGATTGGACCTGTAGTAAAAGTCAGTCAGCGGGGTTTAGTTAGCAAGACAATGCACATAAAACATACGGCGAAGTAGAAGGCAATCTTGGAGCCCTTCTTTTCGGCTGCAGCATAAAAGCAAGCCTGCTCGTTAGCACCAATTTTATAAGTTAAAGCGGTTGCTGAGACCAAAGAGAAAAGGCAGGCGAATAGCCCAGCCGAAAATAATGTCGACTTCATGTTGTGTTGTTGTGCGCGGTCGGAGGATATGAAGTTGATCGAAAGCTCGGGGAGACCTTCTGGACAACTTGTCGCAAGCGATAATTGCTTTAGCTGCCACGCCTGAACATTGAATTCAAGGGCCAACTGTCAGGGGTCGGGTTATTACTTGGCCCGCCCGTTTTTTATGCTACTTAGGTACTTAGGTACTTGGTTACTTCACGCCCCTATGTACATGACTTAACAGCTCGTACAGAGAGTTTATGAGTTTAATCAGTTAAACTTGATTGGTCCCAGATAAAGCATATCGGCGGGGATAGTGGAGAGCTTCAGCCACATATACAGGTATATTACAGGGGTATATGTAACTCTATCACTCCACTGTCGTCACAACTACCTACCTTGTACCTAATACGGAATATAGTAGGCTAACATTGCGACAGGAGGTTCGGTAACTTGCGACGGAAACCCTACCTTCGCCCTATTTTTCAACTTTACATCTACAACTTTAGATGGCCTTTCCCTACCATCTGTTCGTGACGCCATCATAGGCCTCCATCTGTGGAGTTTATTTTTTTATCTCAAATCTATACTATTTCTTCCTCTCATTCACATATATTAGATTTCTACTCATCTAAGGTCTTTAACTGTACCCAGGTAGTATAGTCCGGCGAATCATTCGTCATATAAGTCTAGCTCGACTTATCTCACTTTTCGGCCCCCGAATTTATTACACTGTTAATGATGGGGGAACGCACTAAGAGGACAGCGGCGATCGCGTCCACAGGAATTAGAATCGCCTCGATCGTCTTTCTACGATGGGTAAGAGCTTCACCCCCTAACCCCTAATATGAATTCTACTAACAACAGCAGGTCGCTTTACCCGTAAGTTAGCTAATCAATGCGCCGTCTACGCGATGTTGCCTCTACTTAAACTTACTAACGATCTCAGCCTTTTCTTCCGATAATTTATACACTATTTGCTATATATCTTCCATCCTTCATCTCGACTTACGCGACCGAATCTAAATACGAACTTATTGACGAAGTCGATATAGTCCTTAAGGAGGACATCTTGAATAAGGATGATATTGCTAATGGAACAACTAATGAAGCTGTCGTAGTTGAGGAGGTTGATGTTGAAGAGACAGCAGAAATCGTGAAGAAGCCTCTGAGTCCCCTTAGCACCCTCTTAAAAGGGACCCCGAACCCGAATAGCTTTTTCTTGACGGCATTAACATTCTTGCTCAATGCTGCTTGTGTCGCGATGGTCACTGATATGGTATACACACCCCGGTGGTTCCATCCCAGTCATGACCTTTCTTTTGCTCGTCTTGGATACGTCTCAGACAGCGAGGCGAAACTACTGATCCGGGAGCCCGATCAGACAAAAATGCCCGTCACAGTTCAAGTTCATATTAAAGATGCACAGCCGCCGTTTGACAACCCTCTGTGGCAAACAGCTGGTAGTATTCTTTCGACGACTAACGAGACCGACTTTACCGCGGTAGTCAATATTCCCCTGAGCCATTCTAAGCAGCGAGTGTACGAATGGACCACCTCGAACAATCACTCGGGTGAATTCACATCTGCTCCTAAGCCGGGTTCCCTGCCAGAGCTTTTTGATGGCAAATTTACCTTCCTCTCTACCTCGTGTATTGTTCCACGTCTTCCCTATTCTCCGTTAGATCACCCCTTAGCTTTCCCAGGCATGAAACATCTAGCGAAAGTATTACCAAACCTGGGCGCACAGTTTATGTTATTCCTTGGCGATTTCATTTACATCGAAGTACCTCAGCGATTTGGCGACTCCGTTGAGAATTATCGACAGAAATATCGCCAAGTCTATGCTTCACCCGACTGGCCAGCTGTAGGCCAAAATCTTAGCTGGATTCATGTTCTTGACGACCATGAAATATCCAACGACTGGGATTCGAAGTCGACTGGTGTATATGAAACGGCCGTAGACCCTTGGCACCATTATCAGACTGCGGTGAACCCTCCGGAGGCTAAGAAGGCCGGAGGTCAGGGCATCGTATCGCGCAAAGGAGCCACATATTTCTCGTTCATTCAAGGACCTGCCAGCTTCTTCATGCTTGACACCAGAAGTTATCGCTCCAAGAACTCAGAGCCGTTCGATAGCGAAAACAAGACGATGCTTGGCGACACGCAACTCGAAGATTTCCTTGACTGGGTGCGCCGCCCAGAACCCAAAGGAGTTAAATGGAAGATCGTTGCCAGCTCTGTTCCATTCACGAAGAACTGGAGAGTGAACACTAAGGACACTTGGGGTGGCTTCCTCTCTGAGCGTCGAAAGATTCTCGAGGCTATGTGGGATGCTAGTAGCTATGGAGTAGGCTTTGTGATCTTATCTGGAGACCGCCATGAATTTGGTGCGACAGCCTTTCCGCCGCCGAAGAACAGCACATGGTCAGAGAGTGCGACCGTCCATGAGTTCTCGGCAAGCCCCCTTAACCAGTTCTTTTCGCCTATCCCTACCTACTCACAGACAGACGATGAAGATGTCCAGCTCAAGTAAGTTGCGCAATAATCCCCCTAAATTAGCAGTACGTTGACAAGTAGATATATAAACGCGGGCAACTCCAAGTTTGGTGCGATCACCATCGAGAAGTTCGCAGAGGGAGAGCAGAGCAGCTTGAAGTACACCGTCTATATTGATGGCGAGGAGAAGTGGAACACCGTGATATTATCGCCGGAATCGTTACATCCCGCCAAGACAGGGGGCTCTTTCTGGGACAGACTTAGGGGAATTTGACCCTAATATAGGTAATCTCACATATAATACACAGCTAGCTATGGGCTCGCTTACATGCTCTCGGTTGAGCATCGAATTTGCTGGGCAGATGAATAGACTATAGTTTTTAATGCAAAACGACGCGATTGTTATAGGGTGTAAGATGCTAAATGTGATACTTTATCTTTTATTCCAGCTATATTTACAGTCTTATCTTTCTACCCCACGTCTCCCTTAAACACCATACCAATCATCTCAACCCGACAACTACTAGTCACAAGACCTTGTAGTACTACTATCAGAGACGGCCGTGGTCGGGATGTCGCTGGACCTTGAGCTATGGCCCCCCGCTGATGTTCTGGAGTACCTCTGATCCGAAAAATCGGAGTACCCGGCCCATACACCGTTGAGCCATGTTTGTCCCCTCAATAGTTCTCCTGAAAGGCGCGCTTCGTGAAGTAGTTGCTGCCACCTCTCGCTTAGTTCCTCGATGTCTTTCTTTATGTCGGCTAGGGCTCTAGGGCCTTGGTGTTCCCGCTCTTCTTCTTCGCTGCTGTCTATGGTCGTACGAGGGTGTAGCCCCTTTTTGGTCGCCTCCTGCTGCTCCGATTTAGAGCCTGTGTCCTTCATCTTGCCCCTTTCCTCGGCTTGGTGGGAGATCTCAGTTATGTCGAAATCTTTCGCTGCTGATCTCTGCAAGTTTGGCTTTTGCTTGGGTGATGGTGATGGTGTGCTAATTGGCGATACTATGTCTCCCGACTCCTTGGACTCGGTAGTAGGGCTGTTTGGTATGCTGGCATTTCCTTGTTGTTTACTTGGTTTCTCCCCATGCTGCCGACTTCGTTGCTCAGGCTTGCCTGTTTCTGGACCATAACATGCTATGTTCGGAAGACCCTCAAATATGTAAAGTCTGCCTTGAATGGGTTTAGGAAAGATCTCTGCAAATGCTTGTCTGTTGATGCTGTCCGAGATATATGTGAAATATATCTGAGGGCCTACATGTGGTGCGGCTCCCTGACCCTGCCACAAGGACTCTGGCCTATCCGGCTGTCGAGGGGGCCTTGGCCCTTTTGGTCTCGGACCTCTCGAAGGCGTTGTATAAGGATAGCCGTGATAGTAAGATGGCCTATCCATAGGGGACCCATCCACTTGAGGACTAGGCCTGTAAGTAGTGTTGCTTACCGGCCTCCTAGGTATTGTACGATTTTCTTGCATAGAATTGTAATGATAATTAGGTACTGCACGGCGAGACATCCGATTGATTGGCTGCGTTGATCCGTCAAGGTTCCTCTGGCTGTGATTAATAGGATTCTGGCTTCCAGCTACATTAGGTGGCCGTGCGTTAGATTGTTGGTCTATACCCTCCTGCCGCGGTGGTTCTCGATCATTAGACCCGGCCAATTCAGCTGGGCTGTTCAACGTCTCTGGTGGGGGAGGGCAAGGAGGAGAAGAAGGAAGAGGGTTAGCCTGGTTGTCATTGGCGGCCTTGTCGTCGCTGAGTTTTTCTATTATTAATTCACAACACTTTTTAATTCTATCTTTCCAAGTTTTTACCGGTGGGCGGTCTAGAGCATCAGGGCCTTCTGTCAGAGGAGGGTAGTGTTTCATGCGATAAAGATAACATCCTCCTATCCCGAAGATGGCGAAGAATGATGCAAGCATAATGGATATTACAATTACTGGCTTCTGAGGTACGGGCTTATTATAGGCAAGGGTTGCGATGAGGATTGCCACCAGCAGAGACCAATATGAGGCTCACAATGCAACATGGTATAACTTTGTAAGTGATATCTCGCACACAGCTGACTCTGCGAGTGCTTTTAAGTCTAGCCTGGCCCCTTTCTAAGTCACCCAAGGGTTCATTTGCTGTTACAACCGTGGCCATGGTAGTTGGTGCTATGGGGCATTTCATAAATTGACAACATCGAGTCACCTGTGATATATTTGAACAGGCAATAAGATAAATGGTAGATATTTCTCGAGCAACTGTGTATATTCTACCCATGAGAAGGTTCTAGGTGGGTTGTTAATTTGATATTAGTTAACAAAGATGCCATAAAAAGGACCCGAGAAAACAATAGAACGTGTGGCCTTAAGATTTAGTTATAGTGTTGGTTGAATTTTATAGTTATATGCTTTGAATTAAGTGGATATTCTACTTCATAATAAAAAGTTATAAGCTTATAAAATGCTAAATGATATAGAACCGTGTTTATAATTTTAAACAGACATGAAATTAGTACATTATAGGAACGGTGGTTCGAAAGAGAATTTTGATATGCATTGATATATTAGCTTGTTCTCGAGTATCCAAGTGTTAGACAGAAGATACTAGGATAAAGGTAATAGTTGATGCACATGTATGGCTAAGTGACCCGACACCCCCTAATATTTCTTGTTGTTATGGTTTAACTGGTTTACATTCGTAGTAATTATTGAGTAGTGAAGCTATTGTGATAAACTAGGCTTATATGTGCTATAGATTCCATCTGTCTACTTATACCTTAGGAGGTACCTTTAAGGGGTAATAGGAGATGCACATGTAAGTCCAAGGACTAGCTTACTTGTGGCGCAGCAAGGACTAAAGTTTAGCCACATCTACTAATACGGAGGTTAGTTATAACAGGTACATGAGGTAGTTAGGTAATACGTTAGTTTTAGTTCTCATAGCCTCCACTACAATGGCCCCATTTCAATCATCTTAGACTCCTTCTTAAGTTCGAAGGAGTGGCTTAATTGCTATACCATACCTTAACCCCCCTACATCTCAACTCATCTATACACATTATATTAGAGATCATGATGAGTTTTAATTTTAGAACGATAAGATGCAGTCGACGTATGGTGAGGTTCGTACCTAGTAATATTCTAGCTTGAGATAAGTCAAAGCTGACAATACTTTTGTGTAGTTGGGCGGCCGGAACTCGCCGTAGCCTACCGCCTTTGTACCACTTGCAAGCCAGAACGCTGGCAACGACTTCTGAGAAGCCTGTTGTGTTGCCTATTGTGTCAAGTTCGAGTGGCTACGTCGTTTTTATAGAGCCTAATCCCGCTAGACGCTTGGGACGGGTCACACTGTAAGTAATTGGCTTTGTTTAGCTACAAATGCTGGTGTATCTATCATGGTAACACTCGCGAAGGCCAAATATATGGTTACGGTATGTAAACTCTCCATGATAGATATCATAGAGCCGTAAAACTCATCTTTTAAGGGATAACTGCCGATGCACCAGTTGCGTTCATCAAGGTACTATGCAGAGGAATTTCGATACGTTCGTATGCTGCTCTTCCCCAGTATAACCTGCAAGTATTCTAAAGTGTATTTAGAGGATACCTGAAGATATTGAGCCCTCTCAGATTGATGTAGACCACGATGGAGTCAGGATACAGTGTAAGAGATTAGTTCCGTTGCACCTAACATCTTTAAAATAATATCATGCTTATTTTTGTAGGGGCAGAGGATGAACACGAAAGTTTCTATCCATGGGACTTTCTTAAATTCTACCTGAACTCCGATAAAAGAGCACCGGAGCCTATTGAGTACGCCTTACCTTGATTGAAAAATAGCTCAAAATTTAACCAATGTTATAGATTAGAGTATTTCGGAGCACAAGGACCACAGGGTTCACAAAACTGGCCCCCATCTTTGGAATACCGGATTTTTTTCGGCAAACGAAACTAAGGCCGTCGGCAGTTTGACGAGTTTCATCGTAAGTCTCTCTTACTTAGTCCAGCTAAAAGGGGCTCATACTTACGATTATCTTTAGAGGCGCAATGGTTTTGCATTTGTTACTGGAGTGCCAGTTGACTCGGCAGAACCAACTAAGAAGCTACTGGAGAAGATTGCCTTTATAAGACAAACACATTACGGCGGCTTTTACGACTTCATTCCGGACCTCGCCCATGCCGACACCGCTTACACCAACATAGAACTGGGAGCTCATACTGACACGACTTACTTCACAGATCCTGCTGGGCTGCAAGCGTTCCACCTCCTTTCTCACACCGACTTTGGCGCCGAGGCCTATCCAGAAACAAACCTCGGAGGCAAATCGCTACTTGTCGATGGATTCCATGCTGCAGATATTCTCAAGAAAGAGGACCCAAAGTCGTTTGATATACTAAGCCAAGTCAAACTTCCGTGGCATGCTAGCGGTAATGAGGGGATCACTATATCGCCTGACAAACCGTATCCAGTTCTCGAGGTAGATGAAAGCAGTGGCAAGACGCATCGAGTTAGATGGAACAACGACGATCGTGGAGTCGTCCCCTTCGACACTGAATACTCTCCAGATGAGTGGTATAGGGCCGCAAGGAAGTGGCATGACATCCTGACAAGAATGTCTATGATGTACTGGTTTCAGCTCAAGCCGGGCAATCTTCTAGGTGAGTCTGCACGATCTGAATTATAATTCCTACTTATATGGACATATAGTATTCGACAACTGGAGGGTTTTGCACGGTAGAAGCGCCTTTACTGGAGTGCGAAGGATATGCGGTGGATATAGTGAGTCCGATGTTCATTTCATAGGCATCGTATCAGCTATACAGTACTAACTAACATTTATTAGTCAATCGGGATGATTTTATCTCGAGATGGAGAAACACTAATTACCCACGGGACGACATCCTGAAGCAAATTATAGGCTAACTTTTATCCCTGGCGGTACCGGCCGTACTCGGCATAACCATAACATGCTCGGGTAGAAATACCCCTTGGCTGTCAGGTTCAGACCTGGGAATTTTGGAGGCTAAGAGAAGATATAAGTAACACCGTTGTACTTATGCAGAGCTAGGTATTCTATTTGCCTTATTTGGCAATCTGTTAACTTGACTCACCTTATTCTTACGTTATATTTGTACAGCAACGTCGTTATTTCTTGACTTCTCCAACATACCTGGCGGGTATCAAGTGACCCCCCCCCTTCCCCTCTCCTTATTGCCCCATTGCCTAATGTCTGGGGGAAACGACCAAAGCGGTCCACGCCCTAAACATAGATCAAAAGGTGTAATCTAGTTTGCGCTTATCTCGATACCCTCCATGTGTTAATGCAAGACGAGCCCACGAGTTCATGAGCTTGCATTTGGCGCATCAATCCCACGTTGTCTTGGATGGCCACTTAAATAGGAGCTGCAGTAGTCAGACGTTCTAGCAAACCAGCTTTCACAATTCGCTTTAGGCGGTTACTACTCCGCAGTTTGCTTGCAGGGTATAGGTCTTAGTAGGCGACCCTTTACTGCACTTGGACGTCATCTTCGGCCCGGGCCCATCACATCGGCGCAATTCGGTGATTATCATATAGGGCCTGTAGTTTGCGGGATACCACGTCTTTATACCACGTTTTTATATACAATTAATTCTACTGTTTTTTTTTTTCCGCCATGCGTCGCCTGCTATTTAAATTCTTTTCGTTCCTCTTTTATTGTCTAGAACAAAGGATACCAACTCTCGGTACTCATTCTCGGTTTATTACATCTTTCCGGTTTTCTGATTTTCTAGACCGTCTTCTACAGATCCAACCGTCAAGATGGCTGATATGAGCACTGGCACTTTCAAACATGATATTACAGAACCTCCTAAATCTAATCTAGTCTTGCCGTTATTTTCCCTTAAAGGAAAGACAGCTATCGTCTCTGGCGCTGGCGCTGGAATAGGTCTCTCGATAGCTCATGCATTTGGTATGAACGACACCCCCTATTTCACAGTCTGTATTTCTGCACTTGCTTTAATGTTTCCTGTGCCATCTTATCTGTAGCATTGAACGTACACTAACAAAGGACAGTAAGTGGATAACGCATTGTTATTTCAGTGCTTCTATAAGAGCCCCGACCCTTACAATCGACCCTGGTAATAGATCGCAAGACACAGAGCCCGCTGAAAACCGAAAGACTTCTAACGGTACTCACAATTTGTTCTACCGTGGTAGACTAACTCGTACTAGGCTGAAGCAGGAGCCAATGTTGCGATATGGTACAATTCTAATAAGAAGGCCTTAGAAGAGGCTGCCAATGTCGAGAAAACGTATGGCGTCAAGTGTGAGTAAATACTCTTGGTCCTCAAAGCTCCAATGTATCTGTTCTGAACTTCGATGAATAGGCAAGGCCTACCAGGTCAACGTATCGACATGGGAAACGGTTCAGGCTGCCGTTGACGAAATCGTCAACGAGTTTAACGGCAGACTTGATATCTTTGTCGCGAACTCGGGTATTGCGTGGGAGGACGGACCCTTCATCGATGGCCCACTCGAGACGATGCAGAAAGTGTTGAAGGTAAACATTGACGGCACCTTGTTTTGCGCACGAGCTGCCGCCCTACACTGGAGGCGACAGAAGAAGGAGGGCACTACTGTCGACGGACAACCGCTAGAGAACTTCAGCTATGGCAGTTTCATCAGCACTGCTAGCATGAGCGGCCACATTGTCAATATTCCCCAGCAGCAGACCGTATACAACGCGTCTAAAGCTGCGATCACTCATGCCTGTAGGTTTAGCCTAGCCATGCAACCTTAAGATCCCCATACTTACACTAGTCGTAGGCAAGTCATTAGCGGTTGAATGGGTTGGCTTTGCGCGTGCCAACTCAGTCTCTCCGGGGTATATTAAGACGGATATTTCCTCCTTCATTCCTCCCGAGACCAAGAATGTTTTTAAGGGCAAGATCCCGATGGGGTAGGTTTCTCTTTCCTACCATCCTAAGCTCATCATCTAACCCTGGCTACAGACGGGAGGGCGAGCCCGAAGAATTGAAGGGCACTTATCTATACTTAGCCTCTGACGCTTCTTCGTATACAACCGGTATCGATATCATTGTTGACGGCGGCTACTGCGCGCCGTAAACGAAGCATTGAGATATCTGTTGGCTTTTCTGGTTGGAATAAATGGGCACTTCCATAACGCTAGACTCTTGGTGGTAGAGGCGTTTCTCCGTCGTTATTTTATAGAGAAGCTAGGCGTCTAGATTCTTGAAGCTTATCAGGATACCCTTATGAATAAATTATGTTATATTTGATTTCGAGTTGTTTCGTATATTGTTTGATATGTAATTCGACAAGATGTATTAAAGAACTGCGTTTGAACCTTGATTTTTAATTTGGTCTGATAAAAGGTTAAGAGGTGTTTAGTAGCCCGCCTTAGCTAAGCATCACGTGTAAGTGCTAGCTAAGTGTAGATATAGAGAGTTCATGCGTTTATCGCGGATGAAGTCATCGTCGGGATTGAGCATATGTTATTACGCATTCCTTCTGGTGTAACTATACCTATTTCTAAAGGTACGATAAATGTCTTCTGTCGACTGGTGAGCCCCTTATATAGGTACATATATGTACACATTATAACAGACATAGGGGCAACTGCCTGCATCGAATTAAATATTTAGAAATACAAATACATATGTACCTAGGCTCGTATTCGAATAGCCGAATAGCCAAGCTCTTATCGCACGTATGATAAGAATGTTGAGTATTGAAGCTTTTGTTACCCCTGGGCATGGGTAAAATATCTAAAATGCACATGCTCGGAAAATGTATTATCTATCAAATCTCCTAGGCAGATAGGTCTCTACCTATTATTAATTCACACCGAGAATCGCATAAACCAACCATATCCAGTTGGGCTTTTTACCTCTTACATATGTCATATCACTTTTTCGGGGAGGCCTATTGAAGTCATATAAGGTAGGTACACATATACATAAAGGCCTAGAATTGAAGTACCTTTTTTGTACTCCTCACTCCACTCACCGCGTATTACACCGCATTATACATATCTCATTGTACACTATATCTACAATAGATTAGAAGGTACTTAGATAGGATTGCATATACATTACCTAAGGTAACCAATACAGCAAGCTCCAGCTTTCAGGAGGTGCAAGAGCAAGTACATAATCTTTAGTGTAGCACACATAGCACGTAACGAAGAAGTAACACACACACATTGATACCTCCCACTTAGATCGGTTTTCGTGCCTTGCCAATCCTGCCTGCCTTCCGCCGCCTAACTTGCTAACTCATCATTTTCATTATTATTCTCCAGTTTCAGCCCTCGTGCTTCTTTTCCACTTCTTCTTCAACATTCAACATATCCACTACCTTCAACGGCCCAATAGATCTTCAAGTTAACTTAATTTTATTCCCCATTTCTCTATACACTTTGGCTGCGTGAAGCGCTGCTACTATCCGACCCTCGTAGCTAAAGGCGCATCATCGTTCATCACCTATATTTTACTATGGACGCTGAAGAGGGCCAGGCGCCTTCTCTCCCCCTGCGGGCTCGGCGCCAGAACAACGCAATGTTCAGGTCGACAATGCCATTCGCGCTATTCAGGAGAAGAAGCCTCTCCCCGAGATTGACTTCAGTATCCATACTATGGAAGATGGTACACAAGTTAGCACTATGGAACGGGTCTGCAAAGGTAGGCTATTCAAAACCAAATTCTTAGGAACTACCCCGCCACTTAGACAAAATACTGATTGACTGACCGACTGGGTATCTAGATGTTCAAGCGCCCGCCACATTCAAGCCCACCGACGAGCAGTTTTTCGAGGATGATACCCATACGAAACCCAACATTACTTTTTTGAAGCAGCACTTTTATCGCGAGGGTCGATTGACCGATGAGCAAGCCTTATGGATCATCAAGACCGGCACTGAGCTCCTACGTAGCGAGCCAAACTTACTGGAGATGGATGCCCCTATAACAGTCTGCGGTGATGTTCACGGTCAATACTACGATCTGATGAAGCTTTTCGAAGTCGGTGGCGACCCGGCTGAGACTCGGTATCTCTTCCTTGGCGACTATGTCGATCGAGGTTACTTCAGTATCGAGTGTGTTCTATACTTGTGGTGCTTGAAGATACATTACCCAAAAACTCTTTGGTTGCTACGCGGAAACCACGAGTGTCGCCATTTGACCGACTACTTTACCTTCAAGCTTGAGTGCAAGCACAAGTACTCCGAAGCTATCTACGAAGCTTGTATGGAATCGTTCTGCTCCCTTCCGCTTGCCGCTGTCATGAACAAACAATTCCTCTGCATCCATGGAGGGCTCAGCCCCGAGCTGCATACTTTGGATGATCTGAGAAATGTAGGTCCTCGAATATTCCCCTTAGCCTTATCTGTAATGTAAGATATGGTCTGTTGCTGACCTGAGATAGATTGACCGCTTCCGGGAACCGCCTACCCAAGGATTGATGTGCGATATCCTATGGGCCGACCCCCTAGAGGATTTTGGTCAGGAGAAGACCAGCGAATACTTCATGCACAATCATGTGCGCGGTTGTTCGTATTTTTTCTCCTACCCTGCAGCATGCGCGTTCTTAGAGAAGAACAACCTACTCTCCATAATTCGAGCACACGAGGCTCAAGATGCCGGTTATCGTATGTACCGTAAGACTAGAACTACTGGATTCCCGAGCGTTATGACCATATTCTCCGCGCCCAACTACCTCGACGTTTACAACAACAAGGCGGCGGTATTGAAATACGAGAACAACGTTATGAACATTCGGCAGTTCAATTGCACACCGCATCCGTATTGGCTTCCTAACTTTATGGACGTATTTACTTGGTCTTTACCATTTGTTGGTGAGAAGATTACCGATATGCTGATTGCCATCCTGCATACCTGCTCAGAGGAGGAGCTTAAAGAGGAAACACCTCTATCGTCATCTCCTGGCCCGCAGTCGCCTCCGCTCGGGGGTCCTTTATCAGATCCGGATCGATCGATCGAGTACAAGAGACGGGCCATCAAGAACAAGATCTTAGCCATTGGTCGACTATCACGAGTGTTTCAGGTACTTCGGGAGGAATCAGAGAGGGTTACGGAACTCAAGACCGTGTCCGGCGGACGACTACCTGCGGGTACACTCATGCTTGGCGCAGAAGGGATCAAGAATGCTATTAATACCTTTGAGGATGCCAGGAAAGTCGATCTCCAGAACGAGAGGTTGCCACCTAGTCATGAGGAAGTTCAGAAGCACCATGATGAGGAACGACAGCAGGCATTGGAGAGGGCCTCCCGGGAGGCTGATAATGATAAGAAGTTACAGACTCTCTCCAGGAGGTTGAGCACGTAAGTACTAATTTGTTACCATCCTGTCAGCATCCGCTTACAATTAAGCAGGGATCGCAAGCGATGATCCAGTGCGAGTAATATATCAGCTAATCGTTGAGATAGTGGGTGAGCATCACCTCGGTGTTCACATTTATAGTGGTTACGCTTGATGCATATCTTGGCTTAGCAGATTAGAACATCCTATCGAGGCAGTACTTTTGGTAATTCTTCGAATGATACTAGTGAAGGCTTGCCTGGATTATTGCTCTAATAGCACAATGCCGAGGATTCAAGGGGCTCTAATGAGACAAGCTAGACGATACAGTTTCATGTGACTGGCACAGAATTGAGACGAACACGGTGTTGGGGAAAGGATGTCTTACGATACTTGGCGAGTTAATGAAAACCTTGGAACTGTGCTAGAGCCGTAGGACGGTACTAGCCCTACGAACATCTGACCCTGATCTACTGTTTTTTGTAGAACCGATTTGACATTATATTAAAGCACTTAGACATGTGATTACTGAATTGGATAAATACTTGGCGCATGGGACGGCTAATCATGATACTGACTCCCCTGCGTCAACGGCTTCATAGCACATCCTTAGGTGGTTAATGGATAGCGTGGCTAAAGTGAAGCTTTTCGTCCATCTTCTTAATTGGCCTCCCAGTCTCCTTTGACAGCGCTAGAAGCTTCCCTTATCCTACCTATACACAACATCGCCCAATTCCAAATCTGCTCATATATCTACATTGATCGTACAATCTAGAAAATAGCGAGTATATTGGGCGGACTAGCGACGCCGCCGGGGACATTACACGGCTCGCTGACGACGAAGAAAGACCAGCGCTTCTGCGCCTCGCAGTATCTAGCAAGCTTCTCAAGGTCAAAAAGTTCACCGATCGGGCATCCCCAACCAGAAAGAAGGACTTCGTGCAGGATGTGTGGGGAGTCGGGGGGTGCGGGCCAGCTTTCAACTATGGGATGTGTGTTAGTGGTAAGGGGGAAGGGTTGGGAGAAGAGGATACATACAAGAAGGTTGATCTCCTGCTACGGCAGAGAAGTGCTCCCAGATCCAGCGCAACATAGCTTCCGACCGCTCGACGCCGCCGAAGTGGTGCGGGACTACGGCTTGGTAGACGCTGAGCTCGTCGGCGGTTTTCTGGGTGTAGGTTGCTGTGAAGCCTGTTGGTATTGTTAGTTAACTGCCTACCTAAGGTACCTATCTGAAATAAAGGTAAGGGGCTAGAGGTTGAAGTAAAGAGGATAGGAAAGGGGAAATACGCGCCTGAGCGGATGAACAAGATATCACCGAATTTAACCTCAGTCCCTTGCGCAGCTAGGCACGCCTGTAGATCCTCAAGCGGGATCGCATCGCTCTTAAATGGGTCGTAGGGCTTAAGGTCAGCAGCAGGTTGCGCGAGCCGCCAGCTGTGGTAGTCGACTAAGACACCGCGGCCTACGATACCCTGTTCGGCCCATGCTGTTGGGTTGTAAGCTCATTACGCCACATACACATATATATGTACCAAGCCCTCCCCTTTCTCCGGAAAGCAGACGCACCGTGTATCCCATTAACCGTAGTCTTCCCACTACCATCCTCGCCAACGTCGTGTATATCCTCCATAGTCACGCCGTTATAGAACCGCGCCTCGCGCTGGTAGGCATAGTGGCGCAGGCCGTCCCACTGCGTGGATACCTGGGAGTTGAAGGTCCAGACGTCGTCGTTGACGACGCGCGGGGACTTGCGGATGAGGGATTGCGTGAATATGTGGCGTGAGAAGAAGGATTTTTGGGGCTGCGCGTTGAGCGGCCAGTTTAGGGAGATTCTGGAGGGGGATGTGGGTTAGTTTGGGTTGGGTACCTAGTTGGGTCTATAGGGGCGGAGTGGGAGGGGAAAGGATAGGGACTGAACTGGTCTGGACTGGTCATACGTACCTGCGACCTGTTTTGATCTCATCCTTGGCTGCGGCGGCTACCCTTGAGTCTGTTAGTCGGTTGAGTGTTCCTAGCTCGTCTTTGTCACGTATAAACCCCATGCTGAGTAGTGCGGGTCTGTTTGCCGTAGGGGGAGGTCCTCGAAGCTCGGGATGTTGTTGCTGTTGAGCTTGAATCCGGAGACCGGCGGAGCCATGGTTGTGTGTATGTATGTATAAGTCAAGTGAGTATTTGGGATTTTGACTAAATTCCTCTATTATTGATCGAGTGTTTTCTTGCGATGGATAAATCAGTAAAGTGCTAGCCTCGTAGTATGTTCTGTATAGGTAGTTATAAAATAAATGTATTCGATTCATTTCGTGAGCTATTTCCTCCTTTTATGTTAGCACCCTTTCGATACCGTGTCGTGTCGGAAGAGAATATGATGCCGATCGCAAGTCATCCATCTCCCCGCATTCGGATACGTTCCACGGTTGAGATGCAGATTGAGGTTAACCTAGATCTTTACGTCTTTACCTTGGAGTATAGCACTATCTCGATTACTATTTATTATGTGACCCCACAATGGGAACTGGTTCGCTTGGCGGGTTAATATGTAGCGAACCCTTCCCATCTGATCTATGGGATTGGTAGCATTAGTACAGTGGCCTGTCTAATGTGATAAATATTTATCTACTTGCTTATATACCTACGGCTATCTCCCATCCAGAGAGGTATCATCGCGGTTTATATGTAAACGCAATGACTAGATAGTCACATAACTATGCCTGTACGAAAATAATATTGTTAAGGCGCATTTCTGTTACCTACTACCCATGGTTGAATGATTCGTGTTCTGGGGAACAACAATACCAAACTTGTCATAAGGGAAGTTTTCCAGGCTGGCGAGCTGTTCAGCCCGGCCATCGTCGATCGCGCCGAGCTGCTCGTCATTGCCAATCGGATATAACGCTGTTCTCCCGGCAAGCACTTCTTTCTCCTTGCCCTTGTACTCGGCGACGAGGCCGGGGTGAGGAACCCATACGGCCCTCATGCCTGCCCTCCGCCCTGCCTCTACACCCAGGACGCTGTCTTCGAAGACTAGGCACTCAATTAGGCGTGATCTTTGGAATGCCTTCAGGTAGTGATGAATTAATTGCCTGTAGGGCAAGTAGGTAGATATCAGGAGCCGGCTTGCCACTTTGGATCCTAGGATCGTCTCCTAGGACTCGATGTTTTTCCGGAATTAGATCTAGAACAGCCTTCGTTTCTGGCCGCGAAGTCTTGAGCTCATAGTTCGCTCTATGGCTACTCGTAGCAAGGGCAATTTCAACAGGTAACCCCTGTGTATTCTTCGCGCTCCTGAGATCCTTGAGAAGTTTATCTACCCCGGGGAGAGGCTTGCATTCGGGGAAATGGATCCGGTGTTGTTCGGCCTGTTCCTCTTTGAACTGCTCTCTTGATATTGGTAGCTGGGCCCAGCTGTGAAAGGTGTCGCCGTGGGATGAGCCAGGGACGCCCATGAGCTGAGCCTTAATAGACCAGGGGAGACGGGGTCGTCCGTACTTGGTCAAGACTATGTCGGCGCAAAGAGTGTATAAATCTTCGGTGTTAATAAGGAGACCGTCCATGTCAAATAGGCACGCCCGAATTGGGGGAAGGGTCTGAGAACCAACCCCAGAGATCGGTCCCGGACCCTGGTTTTGGTCCACAGCCACCATAACTGAAATAACTAAGATACAATGATAGATAATTCGGATTTATAAATAGGTAGATACGTATAACCTAGGAATGTTTGGAGGCTCGTGTTTTGCATTTGGTATTGCACCAAATACTAAGTAAAATGCGATATTGTGAACCGGTTACTCCCGCCGGGGTTTAATGGATTTGTTCGTTTAAGCTAGACTTGGTCCGTCGGTGGCCGGAGGAGATCGGCTCAACTACTTGTCCCAAGTTTTTGAGTTCTATTAAACATGCCACTGAGACAATGTATAGGAAAGGAGCATGAAGAACTAGAAACCCGATTAGCTATGTATTGGACGCTATCGACTATATATGTCGTACATGTTGATGAACTGCAAGGGCTTGTGTCTTGTTATTGGATAATCTGCTAGTTTCTGCATAAGATTCCCCCACTCAATTATATCAATTATCTCAATTATCTATCTTACTGCTGCTTGCTGAGGTAATTGACTGTGAGACTTTGAAGATATAAGAAGCTCCCAGGCCGTTGGATTAAACATAAGCCTATACATAAACTGTTTTCGTTATATTTACTTAAAATTTGCGAAACTCATAGGAATCATTCATAATGGCTGGAATTACGAAACTTGAACTTCGGACGGCTCTTGGCCCGGTCTATCGAGATGTACTACCGAATCCTCCTCGAGACTGTACGACTGATGAGATCCCGATTATTGACTTGGCACTTATGTTTTCCGAAAAGCTTTCCGACCGTAAAAGTGTCGCCGATAATATCAGATTAGCTGCTACTAATAACGGCTTCTTCTATATCAAGAACCATGGCATACCGGAAGAAGTCATTGCTCAATGCAAGAAGCAAGTGATCAACTTTATGAGACAGCCTCTAGAGAAGAAGATGCTAGTCGACTCTAGGACACATAGCAAGTATTATAACGGATACCTTGGAAACCGAAAGGCCCAGATCTCCCGAACCGAGAGTGTCGACGTCAGAGAGTCATTTTCATTTCGGTATAGCCCGGAGCTCGATCCAGATCATCCAGTGAACGTTTCTGAGCTTCCCGAGGAGGTGAGATCATGGATCCGCGCAGAAGACTTCGTGGTACGTATATTTGGCCTCTATTTATCTACTTTGAGTGGAACTAAGTTGACTGATTTTGGCATCAAAGTGGGAGGGTACAGAGCATTTGCCAAATTTTAAGGAGGACGCTCTCGCATATTGGAGGAGTTGCTTGACTCTAGCTAGGAGGCTAGTTAGGGCATTTGCTCTTTCGCTAGACCTAAAAGAAGATTATTGGGACGACAAAGTCACACACCCAGGAGCAGATGGTGTCTTCAATTACTATCCGCCCAGGACCGTAGAAGAAGTCGAAAATAAGTTTGTTGGTCTAGGAAGTCATACAGACCTGCAACTCTTTACGCTCTTGTGGCAAGACGGGTGGGTGGTTTGCAAGTGCTGTCTAGAGAGGGACAATGGCTGAGGGTAAGACACGAACGGCATGAAGAACTAACAGATGCTAATAATTCCCAAAGGCACCTCCAATTGAAGGAACTCTTGTTGTCAACATTGGCGACTTCATGATGCGGCTCTGCAATGACATTTATAAATCCACTGTTCATAGAGTCACAAACGAGTCCGGTGGAGAACGCGTCTCTCTACCATTCTTCTTTGGTATATCACTATACCGTTGCTTTCCTTGAGATGTTCGCTCACTCGCTTAATAGGTCTTAACTTCAACTGCGTCGAGGGCGTTGTTCCCTCGTGTACCTCGGAGAATAATCCTGCCAAATACAAACCCATCTCCTGCGGCGACTGTAAGTTTCCACATCTAGGCCGAAGGTGACCATAATTAATGAACTTTAGGGTGTCAAATGAGATTCAAGATCGAGAGAGATGAATTTCTCAAAAACCAAGAAGCCAAAAAAGGCAGTAGCTCCAAGTGCTACCGTGGTAGCTATGTAGATGAGGTATTTCGATTCATTGTACCCGATTCTATTAGAGGTGGGGTTTATGATTTTGCTTGTCTGATTTCTCGGCCATCTACAAGACCTTTTGAACGAGTTCAAGGACGTCAAAGAAGGCTTCGCGTTCAGGTTTAAGCGTTTTGAGACCAAGTCCAACGAGGAGATCCCGATTCTCGCCCGAGTTTTTCCTTGCGATGTGACTAGCGATTTGAACAGCATACAGCTGGGCTAAGGATTCACGCTCTTCACCACCTCCACCAAGTAGTGTTTTGGGTGTTAAGTGAGACAAGGGCAGCAAGCTGGAATTTGCTAAGGCCATGTCTACGCTGGCTGGTGATGGTGCCGACAATGATACTTGAATCTATCATTAAATTAATAGTGCGGTTTGGGACATGGATTTAGTACAGTAGTAATTTACCCATTGCGACAATCTGCCCTCTTGAGATAGAGTCATAAGTATCTTGTCCGAAAAGTGCATAGCACAAGCTTCGGTTTCTATTCCGTCAATAAGTCCATTAGCAGTTATTGACTGAGCCGGGAACGGCCATTCGACTGGTTCTGAGGCATCCATATGTTTAAAATGCCAATTAAAAGTTGAAAGTTGAAATTCGAGAATTGAAAGTGGAAAGCTGAAAGATGATCAACTTGTGAGATGTACGTAGGTAATCAGGATAGAGGTAGTCAAACAAGAAGCTGTGGCTAGCATTAAAACACCTATGTACCTAGGTACCTAAGGTACTTGGATATCCACTATAGCGGGTCTACAGCTTATAAAATGGAACCACTACCATTGAAACGACCTAATGTACCCCGCGCTAACTTGATTTGATTCAATCTGGAAGAAATTCTGCCAGGCGGTCAAAATTTCAATGTCGTTTCTCTTCTCAGTACATCACTCAAGTTTTCATCATCGACAACACTAAAAATGCCAAAATTCGTGCCGCGTCAAAGGAAACACAAGGTCCTTGCGCGTGAGAAAGCGTTACAAAATGGCACCCAAGATGGCGGAGATGCACCTCCCCAGATCGACAGCAATGCGCTGGAAATTCTTCCGGACGCTCAGAAAGCAGACCGTGAAGCTAGAAGAGCTCAGTTGAGAAATGAACTGAAGGGTGAAGTTAAGGTTAGCGGCAAAAAAGCTAAGCGCCTTGAGAAATATATCGACAACAAGCTCAAAAAGGATGAGAATCGAGTTCTCCTAGCTGAATTAGCTAAGAATAAGATTGACACCAGCTTATTTTCGAGTAGTCGAAGTCTCGGCCAGGGGAAAGAGACGAGACGCCAGGAACTTAGTCGCGCTCTAAGAGAACGAAGAGCAGGCGTTGGTGAGGACAACGATGATGTTCTCTTCGAAACTAAGGATACTTTCGCAAGCGATGAATCAGAAGATGATTTTGAAGCACATTCGAAAACTAGTCTCTCGGAAAGTCGAGAAGGTGGATTTTCTCAGAATGCTACGCCGGCGGTCAATGGCTCTATTACCAGCAATGCTAAAACTGCTTTAACAGAAAATTCAACAGTTTCAGTAGGGTCGGGGTTAAAACGTCCGTTGGAGTTAGACGACGAGGGGCGACCAGTTATACAAAAGAGACAGAAGCGTGGTGGCGTAAAGTCGAAGGTGCATGCGAAGGTACAAATCATACTACCTGAAATATCACCCGAGAGTGCGGAAGAACGTATGGACGAAGATGACGCTAGCGATGACGAGTGGAATGGGTTTACCTCCGACGCGTCTGCTCATGATTCAGCCAAGTCTCAAGAATCCTCAGAGGACGAGGCTGAGGAAGATGAATCTACAGATCAAGAGTCAAGCAGCGATGATGAATCATCGGAGGAGGAGGAAGACGTTTCGAAGAGGAAAGAGAGATCCTCGGCTTTCAAATCCTGGGCCCATGAACAGCGTAATGTAGCCCTTGGATATGAGCCTGTCGACAATAATAATTCGGTTTTGAATATTACGGTCCCTAAGGATTTTAAGCCACGGCCGCTGGAGCAAGACCCATTACCCATGGAACTACTTCCGACAAAGCACAGCGGGAGAAAGGCGTTTAGTGTTCCAGTCCAGAGGACATCTGAGATACAAGATGCGCGGCTTAAGCTACCGGTAGTAGCCGAGGAGCAGAAGATCATGGAAGCCATTCACAATAATAATGTTGTGGTAATTTGTGGTGCTACTGGATCAGGAAAAACAACACAAGTACCCCAGTTTTTATTCGAAGCTGGGTACGGCTCACCTAACTCACCCACACCAGGTATGATAGGAGTGACACAGCCACGAAAAGTCGCTGCGGTTAGTATGTCAAAGAGGGTTGGACAAGAACTTGGTGATCGATCAAACGCTGTTGCATACCAGATTCGATTCGAGGGCACGGTTGATAATAATACAGCAGTTAAATTTATGACGGATGGTGTGCTTCTTCGTGAAGTCGCCAACGACATCTCCCTTCGCAAATATTCTGCTATTATTATCGATGAAGCTCACGAGAGGAGCGTCAATACAGATATTCTTGTTGGGATGCTTAGCCGAGTTGTTAAGTTGCGAGAGGAAATGTCTAACGAAGACCCCAAGTTAGCTCCACTGAAGTTAATTATCATGTCCGCCACTTTGCGGGTAGACGATTTTAAAAAAATCAAACACTATTCCCAATACCGCCGCCGGTTCTTAACGTTGAGGGCCGGCAACACGCGGTGACTATGCACTTTTCTAGGCAGACCCATCACGACTATGTTGACGAGGCCTTCAAGAAGATTATGAGAGGACATCGTAAGCTCCCACCAGGTAGCTTCCTTGTCTTCCTTACTGGACACGATGAAATACAAAGGTTGAGCAAGAAGCTCAAGCTTGCGACTGGTACTATGAATCCTATCGTATATCCAAAGGTTCGAATATCCGCCAACGACGCTCCTTTAGAAGTCGAGGATATCGACTTTGGAGAAACTAATGAAATGGCGAATGATGATTATGACCTACCATTTATTGACGAGGACGATGAGCAGGATGAGGACGATGGTGAATTCGACATTTCGGAGGAAGTTGGTTCAGGACCCCTGAAAATGCACATACTACCCTTATACTCATTATTACCTACGAGAGAACAAATGCGAGTATTTGACGATCCGCCCGAGGGCTCGCGTGCCGTTATACTTGCAACAAACGTTGCCGAGACAAGTTTGACGATACCTGGTGTTCGCTACGTATTTGATTCGGGGCGGTCCAAAGAACGAAGATATAATAGAGAAACCGGAGTGCAAAGCTACGAGATCGGCTGGATCAGCAAAGCTAGTGCGAATCAAAGAGCCGGACGTGCTGGTCGAACTGGACCAGGTCACTGCTATCGACTATACTCTTCTGCAGTGTATGAGCGGGACTTCCCCGCGTTCGCCGACCCCGAGTTGCTGAGAATGCCCATCGAAGGCGTAGTGTTGCAACTCAAGGCAATGCGGCTGCAACACGTAGTCAACTTCCCCTTTCCTACACCACCAGAGCGGCAAAGCCTTGCTAAAGCTGAGAAACTGCTCCAATATCTCTCAGCCATCAGCGAATCAGGGCAAGCTACTCAAATTGGCCAGACGATGGCAAAGTTCCCTCTCCCGCCCCGCTTTGCGCGCATCCTTCTTGTTGGACATCTCCACGATTGCTTGCCATATACTGTGGCACTCGTTGCAGGATTATCTGTAGCGGAGGTGTTTATCCCAGAAAGTCAAGCAATTCCAGCTCTGGCAATGGATCATGAGCATGACTTCCGCACTAACCAGGATGTAGCCGCAGAAAACCAGCAGATCCTAGCGCGACGTAAGTATAACGGAGTTCACCGAAATTTCTGCTCTCTAGACGATAGTTCCGACGCCATTAAGCTCCTCCAAGTCGTCGGGGAATTCGCACACGACCCGACAGAACATTGGTGCGAGAACCACTTCGTGCGCTTCAAAGCGCTCCAAGAAGCCCAGAAACTCCGCCGGCAGATCACAAGCCTACTTCAAAAAGACATTCCCGCATTCGCCAACCTAACTTTCAAAGAAAAGCTAGACCGGCCTAGTCCCAAGCAAATCACAGCCCTGAAGCAAATGGTTGCCGCAGGCTTCATCGACCAAGTCGCCATCCGCGCTGACCTAGCTCCCTCCCCTCCTGAAATCTTCCGCAAACCCCGCCGCGCCATCGACGTCCCCTACGTGCCCCTTAAGCCCGCCGAGTCGGACCCGCGCGACCCCTTAGCCGGCCTAGTATACATCCACCCGTCGTCCTCGCTCGCGCACCGCAGCCCCCAGGAGTGTCCCGAGTACATCGTATACACCAACCTGCAGCGCGCAGCCGCCGATCCGTCCGCGCAGAAGATTCCCAAGACGAGGATGCTCGCGCTGACGGATGTTACGGGCGCGCAGCTGGCCGCGCTGGCGAAAGGAACCCCGTTGCTGTCGTACGGTAAGCCGATTAAGGAGGTTCCGAGGACGGATGGCGCGCGGGAGTGCTGGGTTGTACCGTATATGCGGGCGGAAGGAGGTGGCGGGTTGGGCTGGCCGTTGCCGGTGAGGAAGATTGTGCAGAGAAAAGTTCCTGGGAAGGGGTGGGTTGCGGAGTGATATGGGGGTTTGGATTATGCTGTTTTAGAGTAGAGTGGGGGGATGGGCGGGGTTGTGTGTTTGTGAAGAGTAATTCGCTGTGGTTATGTATATAAAGGGAGTCGGTGAAATTAAAAAGACGATTTGTTTGCATTCTGTGCTGTATATTTACGCTTTTGATATTTACGAGAATGTATGTGTGTGCTACGAGTTTTGACTATTTCGATGAAATAGGATCAACATGTTTTACGTTTAGTATGTTTATCCCATGAAGTTTCTCCCCTTAATCATATCAACAGATCATTGTATTGTACTAGGTATAAAAAATAAAATTTAGTAATTATTAGCAAATTAAGTATGTTCAACAGTGACTCAACAGAATATAGTATGAACACTCCGCAAATTACAATCATCAAACCAACACATTCTAAATATTCATAACGCACGCGCATCTATTCCGCATAGCGGCGATCTATAGCAAGCAAGCAGCCAATCGTCACGGCTCATCTACTATACAGCGAATCCTCCGCGAATGCAATCGCCTCATCTCGGCGTGATACTCGTCCCCGTCTATATTGCGAGACTGCTAATTCCCCAACGCCTTGAAATGCCAGACAGAACTGTTTGTTATGCTATCTAACTTGGGTTATGTTATGTTATGCTATGTCTTAGTCCGATGTAATAATTCTGCCTTGCGGGGAGAGGTTATAATATCCTCTGATCATGCGAAAACGACATCTATCCTGTGTCTACCAGTTCCATTACTTAGTGTTCTCGGTATGGTGGTGGTGGCGCCGTAGAGGGTCCGGGAAGTGTAGGGAGGAGCGGCCGCTCGTTAGCTGGAGGTGCTGGTTCGCTTTCCAGTAGTCGTGTTACCTTCACCATCATTACGGGGAAGTATTGCTGGATAAATGACTCGCTATTTCATATTAGCATATACTCATAATGATCAATATAACTTAAGTATACTTACGTGTAATAACTGTGGTCTGCATTATGCATCTGAACAAGGTTGTGAGCTAATTCGTGGGCTAATACAACCCACCACCAGACGGAGGCGGCAGCTTTGCCTTGCCCTGACATATTCTCGACGTGAAGCTGGATGAAGAAGCGTAGATTGCAGAAGATACTACCATCACGATTGAAAGCAATCGTACCTCCCTCCTCATCGTAGAAAATGTGTAGTGAGGAGCGGTTGATGGAATAAACATCACTAACGTCGGCTAGTATTGACGCAAAGGAGTTGATAGAGATGTGATTATTCGTAAGGAACTGAGCAGGGTTGAGATTTGGTATCGTCCTTGATACGAATACGCGCATTCCGTTTGATGCGTCCGCTACGAAATTGAGATCCTTTCCTATAGTGTCATCGCAATAAGTAGCTTGTTCCTTAACTTCTCGAGTTGTTGGCGGTGAATAAACCTGGGAAGAGTCATGGGCTCTTGTAGACATGATGGCATTGAGAAGGTTCTGTTGGATTATGGCGGGATTCGTGACCTTGCCGTCGTCCTTCTTGCCAGGTTTGGACCCTGACCCTGTTGAGGGCTCAGCTGGCGGTAACTTAGCTGGCTCTGGGTCTGGGTCTGACTCTATTAAGTTCCTCAGATTATCCTCCGCCTCGCTAGAGGTATCAAAGCCAAATCGTTTAGAGAAATTCGAGAAGAAGCCCTTACTTCTCCTAGTCTGTTGTTGTGGCGTGTTGGCTGGTGGTGGCGAGAGTGATTCGCTGTCATCAGGAGATCCAAATCCGCCAGGCATGCGTGGCGGCGGCGTCCTATTCCTGCTCCTCGAAGCAGCAGCCTGAGTGTTTCTTCTAAATTCTGCTTCTCGTTCCCTGATATTGGCCTGTTCAGCATCCAAGGCCTTGCGCCTTTCTTCCTCTGCAATTCTAGCCTCGGCAGCCTTGGCTCTGAGGATGCGATCAACATTGTATCCGCGGGCTCTCAGGTCCAGTAAATCAAGTTTCAGGAACGGCTCAAAGAAAAAGTACGCTTGCTGACTTGGCCGATTTAGAATAAGTTGACATACTGCTTGTCCTACTTGGTACATATCGGGACGAGAAGATTCGGATGCAACATAAAGGATCCAGCCGTTGGTAGCTTTCAAACTCGCTGCTGACCTCTTTTCGGTGTGCGACTGACTTTGGCCGCGAAGTGATCGGCGAAGCGAGACGGACCGCACAGCTTCTACAGTCAGATTCTTCTCAAGCCACCTCGCATCGTGCTTGATGGCATCCCGCGTGTATCTGGCATACTCGTGGATGAAGATCTTTGAACGTTCGAGAACATGCTTCCGAAGCCAAAGCGCGCCGTCTTGTTTCTCACTCTGCGGTCCAACTCTGAGATCCTCCTGGACAATAGCGGAGAGAGTTTGAGAGCCGAGAGCCATATAGAAGGCTTCTAAAGCGTCTTCCTCTGGCGCACAGATCAAGTGGTCTTTAAACAAGCGGTAGCTAATGTAATCGTCTAAGATAACGATGCTAGCCGGGGTCGCAAGTTGATACGATCTGATTGGTGCCTCGTCTTCCTCAGTTTCCGATGTTTTGTCTTTAGCCGGTGCGCTGATCTCTTTGAATGCAAGGAGAAATGGAGAAGATTTCATCTTCCGCCATAGCTCCTTGTCTCTTTTCAAAGTTGCTGTCTCTTCAGCTAATAGTTTCAAAACGCTTAGGTATTTCTCTGAGCTTTGAAGAACACTAAGCAATCTAGCAGGTTCGCCTGCTGCTAGCTGGGCAATTTCCAGCTTGGTCGGTTCGGTCTTCGAGCCACACGCTGATAGAAATGCATTCGCAGAGCTGCCAAAGTCAACAAAGTCAAAAATATCTCCATACATCGTTGAGCTACCTAGATAGCATTGACGGGGACTTAGGTGGACAACATTGCCGGCCTTATCTTCTTTGTCTGTCGCCAGCCGGGAGGTTGCTAACTCTTTTCTGCGCACTACAGGTACGATAAGAGCTTCTCGAAGCTTTACAATCGCGCTACCATTAAGCTCATTTAGGCGAGTAGCAAAATAGCCAAATAGTGAGACGGCATCCTGGTGGTTTGAGGGAGGTTTGGCCAATAACCGCTCAATGCATTCGTAGATAGGGGGGTCCGCAACCACGCCAAATTTCTGTGTTGCAATTAGTAAAATGACATATAAAACTACAAGGGCAAATAAAATTTTTATACGGCGCAGGGATGAGGATGGAGATCACTACGTAAGATGTGGAAACCTAACATAGCAGCGGCCTCATTCGTAAAACATTGAGATGGAGTCGTGAGTTGCTGAGCATCTCCTTGCAAGGGGAGGAAGGCTTTGGTCGATGCCCCAATATTAGAAGATGCATACTGATTGCTATGGTGGTAAGAGATGAAATAGTTCATAGCATTAGCCCTTACTGTCGGATTGATTGAAGCCATCATGACGACAATTATAGAAGCTGGAGGATATGGACGAAGGCCAAGATCGATTAAAAATTTCCCTTCGGCGCTTCCAGGCCGTAGGTTTCCACCCGGCCATTGAATGAGCCTGAGTCCAAGTGATCGAAGTGGGCCTTTAGGTTCATAAAGATCAGAGACTTTATACAGCTGTGAGCTTGCTTTGGTTGACTCTAGACCATAGGGTCCATCTTCGGCCGGACAAATACGTGATTCCTTGAGTTTTCTTAGATCATCTTTTGGAATATCTTGCCGTACTGATGCCAAATATTTGATAAGTTCGACATGACTCCATTTTGCTTGTCCAGAATCCTCAGCCTCTGCTGAGCGATTTAGCAACCGTGTGAAGATCGTATCCAGATCAACAGTTTTTCTGACTCCGATAGCGGTGAGAAATTTGTCCTTGAGTGAGGAGCATCCCTCAATAGTTGGAAGATCATCGAACAATTTCACACTCTGGAAGAATGACTCTGTTGGCTTCCTCATTCCCAACTTGGTGGGCATAACAGTATGGTTCTGGAGCAATGACGTAACGGTTCCTTTGGAGCTCTGACTAAGATTGTCCCAGCTTTTTGACAATACCGTTAGGATTTGTATCGAAAACTTAGGGGACTTGGTTAAGTTCTGTTCATCTGGTCTCCTCGAACCGGTTTCGATCAGGAACCGAAGCCAAGGAACAATCTCAAGGGATTCCCACCCTAGAGCTTGCAATTGAACCGAATTGCAGTGCTTAGTAAAATCGTACGGCAAAGTAGTCGGCGGGATTGGCAAGCCAGCTGGTATCTTGTTTGGGCTAATATAATTCTTGATGTTTCCTAGGGCGATTATACCGCCTTGCTCATCAGCCCCATCGGTGACGAGGCCCACTGCAACATCAAGAAGTCTGTCCCTACTCGGTAAATCAAGCTCGCCTTCAGCAGCCTTTTTACTGGCCCAATCTATGAAACTAATGAGTTGGGCTTTATTAAGCGGGTTTCCAGATAGTTCTATCCGGACATCGTCCACAGTTATGGCAGAAAGTAAATCAAATTCTACCAATTTCTGAATGAAGCCAGTAGTTCCAAGTTCGGGTGGAATTACCGGAATTCCATCAACAAATTTAGCAAGTTCTTCTGAACCAAGCCGAACTTTGTTAGTAGGAAGAACACCTCGACTGCTGTAGACTTCTACGAAGGGTTTTTTGTATGATGTCCAGAATGCTTCCTCAATTATCTGCGAAACATGACCACTGGGCGTAGAATCTCCGAATGTGAAAGCCTTTAGCGTATGTAATGCTTCTGGCATATATTTGGCGACCTCTTTCGATGTGATGCCGGCGTTTGATGTCTCCGCAGCTCGCTGCAATTTGATCTGCAATTCGGCCATCTCATTCGAAAAAGCAAGGCGAGTCATGATACCAGCAGCTCGCAGCATTTCAATATTCCATGTCCTGACCCATCTTGCATTTAAGTCAATAGCCTCCCGTTCTACAGTAGGTATGACGGAGGGCGCTGAAATATGAATACCAGCACCGGTCGTCTGGGTAGTTGGAAACCCAATGAAGATTCGTCCGCCTTTCTTGCTCGGTAGTACAGAGGCAAATACATTAGTAGCCTTAGAAACAGCTGTAGAGCTCGTAGAACTCTGCGAGGCTTGCGTTTCATCATATGAAGAAGTCAATACTGACAACTTAGCTAGCTTTGGTGGAGGCTTTTTGGTGGCCCTCTCTAGCTCTGCCGAGAAATTAGTAGTAACGGACGTCTTGATCGCAGCAGTAGTCACCCTAAGAAATATACTGCTTGACGACAATGTAGTTATATCTTCAGATATGGCCTCTTGGGCAAGTTTCTCTTCTTTCGCTACTTTGTTGGCTTTCGCTGTGGTAGGGTTGGCGGTGAGCCTAGAAAAGAAGCTCCGTAAAGACGGCATCTCCGAGCTACCTGACCCGTAAGCCTCGCTCTTGGCCGTTGCTGCTACTTCGGGTTTCCACCCGATAGCGCCCATGAATGATGCGTCTATCTGTGCGCTCGCACGTTCAACGCTCTGGACCTTCATGAGACGTTCTTTGGTCGTGGTTTCGACATCTCTTGACAGCGCAACGTCGACGCTAGGACTAGTTTTCTTTTTCAGATGGAGGATTTTGTAGTCATCGATCCAGAATTCAATATTCTGGAGCGCTACGAATGTTAAGCTTGTAGCTAAGAACTGACTAACAGACAGTAGATTTGGCAAAGTTGTTGTCGCATTTCGATAGTCTAGAACGAAGGCTGTATCTGAGCTGCATTGATCCTCAGGGACCTGTAGTTTTCTTGTAAAGAGAGCATTCCCTTTCCAATAGAAGGCCATAGCCTCGTGGCCTGAGCTGACAAGGGTTCCTCACAGTCCGCGAAGACACTATAGAATCCTACACCAAAAGCGCCAATCTTAGTCTCGTCGGGGTTGCCCTCGGCGATCCTCTTAAGCCTTCCCCAGTCAGTCTTTGTAAATGGTTGGCCATTGTTCTGAACGACAAGTCGCTTGAGGGTATGATTTGCGATTACGTGCTTCAGGATCTCGGATCGATCTGTAGTAGGTGGTAGAGGAACTTGAGTCGAGGGTAGGGTTTCCCACTTTATCTTGACAGTAGTGGCTTGGGCGTCGGCGGCATTCTGAATAAGCTCCCGCAATGTAGTCCACTCGCCCGAATATCTCGCTAAAACCTTGTCGATTAAAGCTCGAGTATCAACGGTTACGGCTTCCTCATCTTCGCCGTCCCGTAAGGCAGCGGCTCGAAGCTTTCCATAATCCATTGTTACGGTTAGTAAAGTAGATGGTTGTTTAGTAGGGCATAATAGTAAAGAAACGTGGTTGTGATTTGTACTCTAGCGAAAGAGGGAAAAATAAAGAAGTATTTATTGACTCGAGAAAGACATCTCCTGTAAACAAGAGGCGCGTGGTTTGGTTTGGTTTGGTTTGGTTTGCGGAATATGAGGCAGTCATCCAATTTAATAGTGGCAATTGCTGAGGCTGCAGCTGCGGCAAAGACCCGCGTAAGGTATTAGCTCTTAGGCAAATTACTCAGGTAAATTCTAGAACAAACAACATGTAGAACAATAAACATGTAAACGGTAAAATAAACTAAATCTCGGTGACAGTGAATAAACGCATACACGCGACAAAGATAAATGTATGTACACTGTAAGGTCGAAGGGGGGTTTGAAGCCTCTTGATTCGTCTTGGCTTTTTGGTAATGATGCAGGTCTAGCCCCCAGCTCCAGGTTTAGGGGATTGATAGGTCCGAAAATAGGTATCTACCTCATATGTACATATATCTGTAGTAAACTCCACTTAACTCCGCATGTTCATGTATGTACTTTGACATTTGACATCCAGTTACTGTAAACATTGGAAATCACCTACAGCTTTAATTTAGGTCCATACCTATATATACCAGGTAGGTACCTAGGCAGATAATGTTTAAGGTACATCCTTCCTTCTTACGTCCCCGTGCTACCAGCTCTTGGGCTGTTTACAAACACATAGTAGGTCATACTGGGTTGTTCTTTGTAAACACTGTTCCTTGCAAACTCGAGAATAATCTCGTAAACATGAGGCATCTCATGAATATGTAGCATTAACTACTAATTTAATATCGGCCTAGCAAAATTATATAGTATACCTATTATAGCTTATGTAATTTGTTTTATGGCTATCGGTGGTGATCGCCGGGGGAATTCCTTCTCCCACGTCGCTGGGGGCTTCGACTTCGCCGTGGTCTCCTATCCCTTGATCTAGGCCTAAAGCTTTCTTTCCCGTCTCTTTTCCGCTCAATCCTCTCTGGGCTCCGAGAGCGGCTATGTTCTCGTCGGTGAGATATTCTATGTCTATGGTCCCCCTGCTCAGGACTATAACTCCTCCGCCTCCGATGATCATGCCTGTCGTCTTTTTCATCTCTTGATCTATGATTATAGTGCTCACTTCTTCTCCTGGGTGATCTGTCCCGATGTCTCTCTCGACTACGGCTTCTGCTCCTATGTCTCCTCCGGTGATGCCGTCCAGAGTCGTGTTGTTTTGTGGATGTCTGCCGGGCGTCGTTGGGTAACCGTTTAGTATCCGCTGGAGTAGCAGTAGAATCTCCACTGTCCATCACACCTCTTCCTTCGCTTACACCTATAGCATTCGCACCTGTAACGTTTCGGGGAGCAACGGGCAAACCTAACGCACGAGCTAGCGCATCTTCTTCTGCTTCTTTAATTCGCTTGAGCTCTTCTTTTCGCTCCCTGGCTGCCCTTTCCTGTTCCGTCTCTGTAGAGGATGCTTCCGTCGCGTCAGCTTTCGCGTACCAGGTGAGATCTTTGCCTTTTGCCCAACGACCGACTGGGGCTTTCAGACTATGACCGAGGTAGTTCTCGCGGTGGTTCGAAGTGGCGACATCCTCCCAATTGAAGTTGACCCCGCCGCGCGAGCCCGTTTTACGGATGCTCGATACAAGATCCATAGCGTTGTGCTAGCTGGTTATATGGTTGAATCGAATTAGGATTGATATTTCTCGGGAAGTCTTGCGAAGTGCTGTGGAGGTATAGAGATGGGAGTGTTGATGGATGATTGAAGCTTAAGAATATTAATTGAATTGAGGATAAGTACGAAGTACCTAAGTACCTAACTAAGACACTAAAATGTACCCTGCATTACCTAACAGTCCCACTTGAAGCCACTAGGGCGGTACTGTACCTGTCTAATACAATATCGATAAGAGCTTCCCGCAATCCACTCTCCACACCTTAGAGTCAAACTTCCATCTTTCGAGCTTCCGACTACTTCTCACTTCCTAGTTAAGGCCGATCCGACGGGAAATCGACAAAAATGGCGACGAGCAACGAGCCACTAGACGAGATTCAATGGCGCCATCCAAACTATGCGCAAACCCTAGGAGGCCTACATTCCAATAACATACTCTTTTACTTCGCCGAGTCTCCCTTCTTCGACCGTACTTCCAACAATGCCGTTCTCTTTACCCAAGCTACATTCAATGAAAACATGAAGTTCATAATCTCGACCCGTGAGCAATTTGAGGGCCGCCTCAAACAAATGTCAGGATTAGAGTATATAGTCGCCCAAGAGCCTGCCGAGTCGGGTCCCGGTATGGGGACTGGCGTCTGGGTCATCCACAAGCAGACGCGTCGCAAACGGGATCCCGAGGACGAGGTCACTGTCCATGCGGCGTATTATGTCATCGGGGAAAATGTGTATATGGCACCAACACTTGCGGATATCTTGAGTTTCCGCATGGTATTTATCCCATATATTACCCTTCTCATTTACAAAATATTCGAGCCTAACATTTGGTCTCTAGGTTACTATCTCATCAGCTTTGAGCAAATGTTTCGCGGCTGCGGATAACGCACGAACCTGGTCGCCAGCCCACGGACATATGTACAAAACAGCACCCAGTACTACAAACAATAGAGCACAAGCACTAGAGTCGAAAGGGGCGACGCCAATGCCCGAGGGACAAGGGAACAAGACAGCTCCGGAATCAAAGAAGACGACTCAATCAGTAGCCGTGGACTCTCGATTAGCCGAGCATTCATTCATGATACACATGCAATACGGTGGGGACTACATGGATGAGAATCCCATCACTGGTAAACCTGGTGAATTCCACCTCACATCCACAGGTCGTAAAGAAAAACTCCAAACATTAGCTTTGCCGAATCTCGACACATCTTTTAAGAGCTCTACGATTACTCAGCCAGATAAGAAGGATACGAAGGGTGATAAGACGCCAAAGACCCCTACAGGAATGCCGTCTAAATCCAGGCGGAAGAAGAGTAAGGCTGGTGCTACTCCGACTTCTGCGTAGAACGCCGAAGGTTCCGAAGGTAGTAAAGGTGTTAAAGGTGGTAAAGGTAGTAAAAAGAAAAAGAAGGCAAAAGGCTCTTCTCCTAATGTATAGTTAGAGGGTTTTGTAACAGGTTGGCGTTTAGGGGACCAGGTAACCGGATATTGATACCCCCTACTATAGGTATAGTCATAGGTATTTGACTTTAGCGACAGACTAATTCTGGTCTCAGGTCCTGACCTTAATATGAACTTGATGTTGAAACGATTTCAAGTGGCCTGCTACTGTGTATCCCGTTTTCAAGTATTACAACTTCATGCCGATACCAAAATATCATGAAAAGGAAAACGAGCGTGGCAATAATAAGGGATAAGCAAATTACCAAGCCGACTTCTACTACATTACAGACTATCCAAAAAATTATATAGCAGACAAAAATCAGCCCATCTTCACCTCCACGGCACTATACGGTTTCTCTGCTTTGCCGCTCCCGTAGCTCAACCCTCTTCTCACCATCGGACTTTCCGTAGCTCTGGACCCATCGTGCAGCATGATCGAGTTCATCTCGCTTAGCTGGACCTCTTCACCGGCCCGGGGGCGCATCTCGCTCTCGTACGCGTCGATCAATTCAGCCTGCGACCGGCCTTCGGGGTTGGCTAGTAATTTGACGAGGTTATAAACGTCGGCGATACCATGGCTTAACCCTTGTCCACGGTCTAGATGAAGCGTGTTACGTTAGTATTCAACTTTTTCTCCTTCAAGATAACTATGGAAACATCCGTAGATGTGGCAGTCATAAAAAAAGGGACAGGGAGTCTACTTACGATACGTCATAGGGTGCGCCGCGTCACCTACCAGCGTCACGAGACCCCCGTGATTATCCCACTTATGCTCCGGCAAGCTCGGGTCCCAATTCGACAGGCCAACCCAGTAGACCTCATCGTGGTCGTCAGGCAGCAACTCAAAGCACTTGCGTATGGGGTTCGCAAACGCCTTGCTCTTCTCCTTGGCCTGGCGCAGGCGATCGCGAATGCTCATGCCCGCCGCCACCTCCGCAGCCTGTTCCTCGAGACTGCTCGGCCACGCGACGTAGAAGGTAAATCGCCATTTCTCGGGTTGGTCCTTGTCGATCCCGTCCATCAGCGTCAGCGCGCCGAGCATATTGTCCGGGTGCGGCCAGATGCTAGCCAGTGCGTTGCCGGCGATTTTCCGCAGGGCCACGGCAAACTCGGCCGAGAATGATGCGGTGATAAAGGTCGCTACGAGGGGTAGTCGCTTGACTGCAGCACGCTCGACGCCGACTAGTTCCCTGCGAACTTTGCTCTGGCTTCCGTCAGCACCGATGAGCAGACGGCCCGTCTCTGAGGTTCCGTCTGAGAAGTACGCCGTGACGCTCTTGCCGTCGTCCGCGTACGAGATGCGCTCGAACTTCTTGTTATAGCGCAGGTCCGGGAGGCCTTCGGAGGCGAACTTGCGTAGAGCGATCGCAGGACGCGGCATAGATTTTCCGCGGGTTTTTCTGCTAAAACCTCGCCTGTCTTACCGTTGATTATGGGGAAGTACTCGAGCTGTGCGGGTTTGAGATAGGGATCGACCATTGTCCAGTCTATATGGCTCCATTTCTCCTCTCCTACCATGGACTCTAAGAGCGTGGTAGCCCAGTGCAGAGCGATTCCCCAGTCTCGTCCGCTAATAGGTTAAAGAATATTGTGTTAGTCTCCGATAACTCATCGTTTTTAAAGAAGGGAAATCTTCCACGATATCATTTTGCTTACTGCTACTTATTAGTCGCTACACACAAGATAATCAAAAAACACAAAGAAAATAGGAGTATAGGTATCAAAACGTTATGCTCTTATACATACCCTTCGCGGGACGAGTGTTTCGTCTCTCTCAAAGATTATAGATCGGATGCCTTTCTAGTCGTATCTTAGTAAAAGGGTCTCTAGAAAGGTATATGTTTGGGGCGAGAGAGAGAGAGCATAATTTACCATGTGAAGAGCTTGAGCTAGAACCATTCCATTACAGCCTAGGAGGGTAGAGTATATATTAGTACTTCAGTGCTTGTTTTAGAAATCTCTCATTGTGATAGAAGCTCTCTTACCGGCGCCAATGATGAGAATCGGCAGATCCGCTTGTTTACCGTTTTCTGCCATTATGGTATTAGACAAAAGCAGCGTTCTTATTAGTTCAAATGTAAAGTGTTTAGTTGTAAATATGATATCGAAGACTCCTAGATATAACTCTAGAATATCTTATAACCATGAGAGTTGAGCTAACATTATCCACAACTTGATGCGGAGTTAATGGTAAAATCCATCTCGTCCAGATATGTCCATTATATATTCATCCGACTCCGCGATATGTCACCCCTATACTCTAGTTCGCTGTCTGTCGTTAGTAACTTTTCAAGGACGAGACGTGGGGCATCGCGCTGAACAGAGTTACATCCGGCTCCTCTACCCCCATCCACTAATCATGCCCGCGATCTGCCCGGAAACCGAAGTGGAGTTCACCCCTGATGTAATTAAGGTTAACATCCAATGAAGAGCTGGTGGACTCTCATATCATTCGCCCTTCGCATCCTTGCGTCAGGCGCGAGAGCACAAAGCCTCCTATTCGAATTCCTCAGATCATTAGCGAAGAAGGTCTGCTGCCACGAGATCGAACGACGGAGACGATTTCGCGTCTACGATGGCACGAAGAGGTGGGGTACAGACCACTTTGGAGACCATTCGTGGTTACAATTAAACGCCTGCAGACTTCACGACGAAAGATGTTTCCTCATTCGGATAAACTGTCTTATAAGTATGGTAGATCAGATGCTCGATGTCACGCCCGATTCGAGATACACAACAAAGAGTATACCGTTTACCCGGGAAGGGAATTTAACTTCAAGCTTTCCTATCTTCTAGTTGCATTACAGCTGATGCAGGGAGTACTATGATTGGGTGGACTTTACCTGTGGCTTTACCATAGTTGCGAGCCCTCGAATTAGATCACATACCTAATATAATGCTAAAGCAGCCAAACCGGCTAGAATTGCAGATAATCACCAATATTACGTCAATTATATACCTCTATTAAATCCATCCGACTGATTACTGAGCGCATTTTATTAAAGTATCGCCGTTAAATCCGGTAGTGGTACCTCGTCCCACAGTTTGGCTTTAGTACCGAGAATAAGTATTTTCTTCTCATAAATTACTCGTCTCCTAGTAAGTAAGTACCTGTTATAACGGTATTCATAGTTGGCTAATTATATATTATCTTCTCTTTTATCTATTAGGCTAACGTTGCTAACAAGCTACCGGGCTTTTGACGTGATATAATGATCATAATCATGTTGCTAAATATCATAGGATTTTACCATAATAAGTATAACAAAATAATATGAATAACCAGAATTAACTGTGTAAGACAATGTATTTACTATTGTGTAGTGTTTATACTAAAGCTATTTGTGTAACACTAGAAGGTATGCTAAATCTATGACACGTACTACTGTTGTTAGCTGAAGAAGCACAATTCGTATATAACGTAGCATTATGGAAACTATAACTCTTTTGAACAAAGTTGACTTGCCGAATATATACCGGATGTAACATAGTAAGTTCTATCTGCGAAATCAGGTGACTTCAACTACCTACCTAGGTATGATTTCTCATCCTTCAATGTCCAATATTGTCAGGGGGTTTATACCCAGGTGATTGATGTTATACACAGAGTGAATATCTAGGATAGGTATACCAAAAGGATGATATGTTGAACTAGTAACGCCTGGCTTCCACTCTCTTTCGAGGGCTCGTAGCGCCCTTATATAGTAGATAGACCCCTGTAGGCCTCCTTACCTACTTATATCCTGACAAATATACTATCAACATAAGAGAATATTAAGTAGGCCTAAATAATGAAAAAGATTGTCATAAATTAAGAAGTCATACCTGTAAGAGACCAACAGCTTAGATAATTCTTAAAGGCCGAGATACTAATATTGTTTCTCTATCCTCTAGTTATAAGAATACCCAAAAGACTTCACTGTCAAAAAACTTTTGAAATCATAGGCAAGTTTGTATTTCCCAAGAAATATTTTGTGTCGTGATGGTCTTGTCTACTTTTTTTTACAATACAAACCACCGTTCAGTCCAACTTAACCAAAAAGATTGTTCTCGTAATATACGTTAGTTAGTTAAAGTCCAGCCAATGTTAAATCTCAAACTTTTTATTTTTATTTCTTCACTTTGTTCCCCCCTTTCTCCTCCCCCTAAACTAGGTAGCCTAATCCCTCTACAGTATCTGCCTCTTTCTATCAACGTGTAAAATGATTCATGCCTACCTATGTAGAACTAAGGTTTGTCCGCGCACCGTTATTCCACCCAGCAATACAGTGATTCGGTCTGATATTGCGTCGGCTCATACAACTGGCAAACTCAAGTAGCGTGAGTCAAGGTAATTGACCACTTTTGCAATCTTATTTATTTTTTATTCTTTACCTTAACTTTTGTTCAGCTATCTACTAAATAACCTCTGTCCGCACTACGTCTCTACTCCCTAAATTTACCTTGCTTACTTGGTACAAAGCAAAGCTTCATTAAGATCTACAAGCTGGCCTACGATAAGGTATCTCAAGATGGCATCGGACACAGTTGAAAATCCAGACAATCCAGACAATCTAGATACAGACATGATTCTTCGCGCTTGTTCGAGTCCTGGAGGAAACGACATGGGATAATATCTTTCAGACCCGCGCGAAACGCAAATGGTCCTAGTATCTCTTCAGACAGCCTTTAAAACTCCGCCCGCGTCAGGAATTGGTAACTTAGACCGTCTCCCTACAGAGCTGATATTGATGGTACTGATCATCTCGATATCCATTCCTACTTTCAATTTCGCCAAGTCAATCGTCGCGCTCGTGTCCTATCAACCACGCATGAATACGAATTAATTGCGAAACATGGGACGCAAGGTTTGCTGAGGTTACTGGGCACCGGTATAGCGCATAATCTCACCATCACAGACCTATACCGCCTCCTCATCAACCCTTACTGCAGTATATGCGGCTCCCTTGGTAGCTATCTTTTTGCAATCACCGCTACGCGTTGTTGCGGTTTTTGTATGGTCATTCGTCCGAAGTTCACGTCATTCACAGGACTACTTTGGCCAGAATTACACAAAAGTTCTTACAAATTCCCAACAGCTACCTATACGAGCTATTGGATCCCCTCCCAGGTATTACGCCCCGTGCCCTATTTCTAATTCATCAGAGAAATGACCAGCCAAACATCTGTTCGTGTACATGTACGAGCAAGCGATTGCAGTAATAAAATCGCTTGGCATCGACGAGAGAGATTTTTTTAATATTGTACTACCATGCAATCATCACTTCACTGACATGGTATTTACAAGATTCCCATAGTATAACCTGGATACTGAGCAACTCGAATACGGCGTAAGGTGCAAAGGATGCATGGCTTCTCGTTTTAGGCGTGAGGCTAAGCGTTCGGATGGCAAGATTCGCGGGCTGAAAATCTTTTCAAAAGCAGACTTTTTAATCCACTTTAAGAATTGCGCGAAAGTTCAAAGTCTGTGAGCTAAGATCCAACAAGGAACGGGGTCTGTTTAAGAGCCCAGGTTATCACGCAGTTGTAGCTACACGACAGGAGGCTAACTAAGATATTACCTTGCGGGAGAAGAGATGGGCATCGGATTAGATATCGTCGGATGCTATAATCTCCCGGGTACTTACCTGTACGTCTAATAAGCTAGAAAATCATGTTCCGTTAGAACTTTGACTAAGAAGGGTATAACTCAGGAGCATAGTCTCCGCATATTCGATAGGCTACTGTGCTTATAGAGCGGACTGGTGCATGGACGTTGTTGTGAGCTTCTGCCGTATTTAGTCAACCGCCACAACGAAAACTACCATCTCGATCCTATTCGCTCTGTTCTCTGATTGGAGCTGACGTGACGTTTAAATTCTTAAAGCTGATCCGAGTTTATATGGGAAAGAGGGGGCTGGTAGTACAATTGTCAATAAGTACTCCAAGAAATACGTTTAGCTTCCTAATATAGATTCGGCAATACAGTCCTATTCTGTCGGGAAACAACATGAATAAAATTTAGCATAGTCGCCACCTAGATGCAGAGTCTTTATAAGGGGGATATTTCTCCCACTGCATTGGAAATGGTGGGGTCAATATGCATGTATCACCACTGTATTACTTGCTAGACCCCTACCTCCTATTCAACATAGCGGTCTATGATTATTCGGCTTGACTAGACTTCGGACCCGAATCAGATTCTTATTTCCCATCATGCCTGTATCTGGGGTCTTTCTTAGACTCGTTTCGTTCGTTGGGGCAGATACTCTTTGGTATTCAAGTCGCGATCTAAAATTGGTATTAGTATTGCGTATGGTTATGAGATCGCCCTATTCGATGCCAATGGTGCATATGACGGGTATGCAGGAGATCACTTTTTGATTTGTCCTCCGTATATTG